AAATCTCGAACTATTCGTATGCAGATGATACCCAACTCTTGAAGCCTTTCACACCTGCGTTACAATCACCAGCCGTCCAACAACTAGAACTCTGCACTGCCGGAATAAAATCATGGATGAACGGCCAAACACTAAAGCTCAATGATGAAAAAACAGAGGTTCTACTTGTTGGCAGAAAGCATCACCTAACTCATCTCAGAAATGAAGTCACAATTGGTTCAGCACAAGTGTCTACATCGAGACTTGTGAAAGACCTAGGAGTTCGGATTGACGCAGACCTTTCACTGCAGGAGCAAGTCAACAGAATATGCAAATCATGTTATTTTCATCTTAAAGCCATAGGAAACATCAGGAATTACATCACAGCGGAATGTGCCCACATCCTAGTCAGATGTCTAGTGCTATCCAGACTAGACTACTGCAATGGACTGTTGATCGGCCTCAGCAAACACAATATCTCAAGACTACAGAAAGTACAGAATACAGCTGCAAGAATTATTTCTCTGAAGACTAAATCTGATCACATCTCTCCTGTTCTCAAATCCTTACATTGGTTGCCTATTCAACAGAGAATCAACTTCAAACTTCTCTGCATCACTTTCAGCTGTCTCCACAATCAAGCTCCAGAATATCTCACCGAACTCATCACAGAATACATTCCATCAAGATCACTCCGGTCCCAGAATCAGCACCTACTACAAGTTCCCAAATTCCACCTAGTTTCGTATGGGAAAAGGGCTTTCTCCTATGTTGCACCAACTCTTTGGAACTCTTTACCTTTAGAAATCAAACTATGTGAATCTCTCTCAACCTTCAAGTCAAAAGTTAAAACTCACCTGTTTCAAAGTGCCTATGTCTGACTCTTTTACTCAATTCTTTTCAGCGCATTGAGCATTCATAAGTGTGTGGACATTTGCGCTTTATAAGTGACATTATTATTATTCTGTAATCTTAAATAAAACGCAAAGCCTTCCAATTGCTCTGTGTCCTTGTGGTCTCAATGTTATGTAATGCCGTTTCAAGATGGGCCATCTTACCCACGTGGACCCCGGCTGGTTTGGCGTTATAGGGTAAGGGAGGCTACTCGACCGTAGCACTACATTATCTCCCCTTGCCATTCGGGAGAGGTCGTTTTGAGAGATATCGTCTCCTTTTCGTAGTGGTAATTTGGTACTCAAAAGTCACAGCTTCATATAATGCATTTTGCATTAAATCTCGCTTTTAATCCATGAATTAGTTAGAATTGGTCTTTAGCAACATATGCTTGTCACAAAAGGCGACTAACGGGGTTGGGTCGCTGATTTGGTTAACACATGTCATCGTATCCCAATTGCGTAGATTGATGCTCATGATGTTGATCACTGGATTGTCTGGTCCAGACTCGATTATTTACAGACCGCCGTCATATAGCTGGAATATTGCTGAGTGCGGCGTTAACAAAACAAACCAACTGGTCCAGACTCTCTGAGAAACAGACTCCAGCCAAACAGCAGGGAAATGTCTTTGTGTTGCTTTCAATAACGAACAAATAACATATTTCTATATTTGCAATATTATCAAACATAAAAAGAAGTTTCAAAAGAGTAACGGTGGTTGTTCAGTTGTGTATCTGATTAGAATCTAGACAGGTGTGTAGGATATGTGGTGCGTTAAACAACAAACAAAATTGATCTCGCATGTTGCCTTGTGTGTGAATAAGTTGAAGGTTCTAGTAAAGAAACAAAATATAACTTTATAGTTATACCTCAACGAAAATATGCAAAAAATCCTTTCTAATTTTACCAATCCTGTTTTTACCATGCACGAGATCGTTAGTGGGAATTTTTCAATTCTCGTTTGTCATTCGAAAAAAAACCTGTTTCGAGTGATTGACATGAGCCTCAATAATATGTGTCAACCTGGTACAGTCCGGAACATTTTCAAATAGAAGAAAGCTGTTGGGTATTAGTAAATGATAAACATGTGTACTATTTATATTTATGTGGCAATTTTGCACAATGATAAAATTTGCAATTCATCGGTCCGTTTCTGACTCAAACGGACTGTAATCAACGAGCCTGACCATCCGATCCCGTTAGTCGCCCCTAACTCGTTCTCAGTACGTTCTTGAAAAATGTTAGGCTCGGGCAGGAACTGTGTGCGAACGGACTGGACGTAGTGTCACCTGATTACAGTCTGTTTAAGAACTTAATGGACAGAACTATATTAGGTACGGAAGGGTGCTTCAGAACGTTGAACATGTCCAACGTTCTACCCGTTCTAAAATGGGACGGAGTGACAACGTACTTAAAACGAGATTACTACGAACAGAATTGCCGTACATAAATCTTACTGTTGACGTGTCTGCTCCACAGACGTGTGCGGGCGTAGTGCAGTCGGGCATCAATTGCAATGTGATTGTACACACTTTCAATCACGTCGATCACGTTCCCAGACGGACCTAAGGGACCGTTCATACTTTATGGCTACAGGGGAAGAATGATGATTTTCATGGAGAAGCATGTACAATGTGAATGACACCCCCTCCATGTCTTGTACAAAATCAATTACCCCCCTGATTTTAAGCATAATATTTTAATACTTCTATGTACAAAATTGATGACATCCCCCACCCCCTGCCACCCAGATCGAAATGGGTGACCCCCATAAAATCATCACCGCACCCCCTACATGTAAGCACTTTTACACTGAAAGGAATACAACAACAAAGATATTGCCAAAATATGCAGTCCCTAATGTTAAGTTGGCAGACTATTTAGCTTTATATATTCAGCCCTACCAATAAATGCACGATGTAAAATGTACTATAAACGTCTAACATTGCAACGAAATCAACATGTCAAATGTCCGAATTGAGGAGGGACAGAGAAAAAGCTTTCTCGACAGTTTCTGTTTACCGACTAAAAGCAGGACAGTATGCGTTACCAGCATCATTCATTGCACGTTGCCGACATCCAGACTTTGAGTTACCGACATCCTCGTGCGATATTACACATGCTTATTCTTCAACACATAGGCATTAATAAGAAAATTCAGTGCATTCAATGTATTCCCACCATCAAAGTTTATCAGTGTGCTAAATAATGTTGATTGTATACACGTGGAAGACTGCTAATTCGAGGGGAATAATCGCCAAGCGATCTTATCAGCCGCCATGTTGGAATGCTGGTAACGTTACCAGCATCCCGTTAGGTACAGTGTGAATGAAAACGAGTTGGTCGAGTTATGAACGAGTTAGAAAGAGGATGTTCACGCGTATTAAGAACGAGATAGGTCTAGTTCAGATATAAACTGACTAAGGACGGGATTGAACTGCTTGAAAACGTTGTCCACACAGGGTGAACGGCAACTTTACCCAGTCTGGACGTAATACCAACTGTTTGGGGACGGTAAACACGAGATACTGCATCGTAATATTTACAAACGTTACTCGTTCGAGCCCGTTTTACAATGATATTATTAACACGGAAAAACTAGACAAAGTTCTACCAATATTTTATAACGATATGCGCTATTGAAAACTGGAAATTTTACAGACTAACCGACTACGTTCCTCAATCTTAAAACCTGCCAAGGGTCACATTGATAACGAGCATCGGACTTAATCCGGGACCAATATCTCTAAAGCTAACAGAACCAAGGTGCATTACGTTTACCTGTCTTTACGGCTGTTTGTATTCCACGTTGGCCAAATCACGTGCGTGCCACATATACCTTCGTAGCATACTCGCGACTGGCCATCGATGCTTCGGTCCAACTAACTGACATAATCTCACGTTCACAATAACAACGTTATCGTAAGTTTTATCTGTAAACGCGATTATTTGCGATAGCTAGAATAGATATATATTACGGATGACAGTCACAAATCAGGGGGTGGCTGTCTAGTAAATTCACTCAAGTGTGTAGCTTTACTTTCTTCAAGTTCGATAAATCTTTACCATTGCTATTCTATCTTAACTTTAATCTATTGGAACTTTAATCTATCTCGTTACTATTTGTTACCCTTGGCGCAACCGTTAGGTCTATGTGGAACGTGGCGTCGTTTAATATATCTCACAATTAATCTGTATTACTGTTTAGGATTGTTTATTTGATAATGATTAACTCTACGTTGTTTTGTGGCTATTGTAGATTGTATAGAGTGTGTCGGGTATCCTAACTATTGCATTACGTGCAAACACGATGTTGTTTATTGACTGTTGTAGAATGCACATTGTATGAACACCCACTGGGGTGATGTCTAGATTGTATAGAGTGTGTCGGGTATCCTAACTATTGCATTACGTGCAAACACGATGTTGTTTATTGACTGTTGTAGAATGCACATTGTATGAACGCCCACTGGGGTGATGTCTGTATTGTATAGAGTGTGTATCCTAACTATTGCATTGCGTTATGAGCAATATGCTGTTTTGTGCGGTATGAACGCCCACTGGGTTGGTGTGTAGAGTATTGAACAATCACATTACGTTGTATACTTTTGAATGTGTATCATGATTAATGTAGTATGTGTAACCAATCCAAGTGTGATGTTTATGTACTTTGATAGATGATTACAGTGTTAACATGTTCTAATAATTTATTATAAACCATACCATTATTGATTGATTATGTGGAATCATCCTGTGACAGCTGTGTAATAAACTCCTTGTTTATTTTACTCAGGTGTTGTGTTGTGTGTGGGTTGGTATAGTCAGACCTCTTGCCAAGCGAGCTGATTCCCCAACACTCGGGTTTTAACAATACTTTTGGACGGGAGAGGTCGTACTAAGACCTACCATGATGTGACTCGGGCTTTTCGACAGGTATGGGTGGCTGAAGACACAGAATATCAATTACTGGATTGTCACGTCCGTGCTCAATAATTTGTTCCTTGACCTCGATTAAATAGGGCTGAGTAGAACAAAACAAGAAATATTTGTGTTGATGGGTCTCTTATCATTGTATCCGCCTGACGACTGTGTGTAACCACGTAAGTAGGTCGACACACGCACAGCCTCTAAACGAACAAACGGTTAGGTCGGTGTATCAGGAACGCCCTCGACATCAGGTACAGAAATGCATATCAATGACTTTTTATATCCTGTAACAATACTTCATCCACAATGTCTGTTCCGTAATAAGGTATTTATATTTTGTAGTAGCATATCCTAAGTCGATAAGGTCGAATTGCAGTAGAAATATGACAACGGTTCGATACTCACATTGTGACCCGAATGGGCGGTTGTGATTTAGGGACACAGTTCGAACATGCAACTGGCTTTAACTTATCCCATTATTATTGTTTTTTATAACTTCTTTTTTATCTGTTCTCACTGATTGATTGTCTTAAGTCTTATTGTCACTTAACTAGCCGTATATCACTCTGCTGCATCCACATCTCTTTATCTTCATTATATTATTTGTGTCAGTTATCTTATCCCAATTATCATCGTGTTTATAACTGCTTTTGATCGGTCCTCTGCGATTGATTGTACATACATGTACATATCTGGCTTTCTGTAAATCTGGTATATATAGTTTGCTTTCTACATATGTCTTTTATCACCGGAAGAAGGGGCAAGAAGACACGTTGTGTTATACAGTAGGCAAGAAGTTGTCATCCACATACTTGTCTTATATATTCACCAACTTCTACATGCCTCTCAAGAATCTCATACATCTGGTGTTTGTTGCTTCAAGGTATACTAGAGCATTAACCAGTGTATACTATTAACACGGAAAAACTAGACAAAGTTTTACCAATACTTTATAACGATATGCGTTATTGAAAATTGGATATAATATTACAGACTAACCGACTACGTTCCTGAATCTTAAAACCTGCCAAAGGGTCACATTGATAACGAGCATCGGACTTAATACAGGATCAGTATCTCTAAAGGATCTCTAAAGCTAACAGAACCAAGGTGCATTACGTCATCTGTCTTTACGGCTGTTTGTAAAGGGCAAGTGTACACGAAAATTAACCTTTTTGTCTTGCACGTTTTCTTCATAAAAAGTGTTTATCAAGTCGTTTTATATCCAAACCCGTACATAAATCAGAAGTAACTAATTTATTATTTGCGTTATATCAATTCATATTTTCAACATTTACCGAGAGTTCTATGTCCACAATAAACACACCATGGCTTATGTCCCTTGGAAATGACGTCATTGGTGCCCAAACGATAAACGAATGACGTCGTCAGACCTTATTAGACCCATTTCACGTGGTGCAGGTATAGGTGTGGTTCTTGTGTCTCGATGCGCAGGCTACTGTTTTAATCCACCTGTTGCTTGGCCGTCACCTGGCTATGTGGTCAGTTCTACACTGTAATGACGTTGCAGTTTGAAAAAACGTATACATTGTACTAAAAGTGTTACCAAGTAACCAAATTGTATAACATATTCAACCTGAGTCGGTCGTCTTTCTAACAGTACCTTTTTTCATGAAACCTATAAAACGTATATGCACTACATCTTGCTTGCCATCGGTGAATGTGCCGGCATTCTACGTTTGTTACTAAAGTTCTTACATAAATCGTACGATATGTCACTCCTCTTCCACCTAATTCACTTTTATATCGATAGTACTCTACATCACGCAGATAAATGCAATTTGCAGTTTTGAACACTTTTTGAAATTCGTTTTTCTATGATAGCATCCGCTGATTGTAGATAAAATTTACTGAAAATTACATGCATCGTAAATCTCGCCAGTTTTGACACATTACTAAATCACCATTCACTGCGTTTTGCGTAATTTATGGTAAAATGTCAAATTTTACTGGGAGAATTGAATTTAAAAGAAAAAGATGTATCATTGTGATCAGCAGTAGTTTTGTTGTTGTATGATCGAATCACCAATGCTCGTTCTGAAACATTATCAATGAACCGAGAATCGCTGAGAATGTTTTGGAAAATACGCAAACGTCAAAGTGAAGTTTCAGCCATATTACATAGTGTTTATAAAATCACGTCACATGTATGTCGGTTATGTTTCGTCCATAAAATTCAACACCATCTTCCTTACATGAATCCCTGAATTCCTCATACAGTTCAAAATAAACTGACAAATGGACTTTGTCACCAATACGAAGTGTTTCAGTGAAATCTAACGAAATATATCGAAGATATGAGTTGCCGTGCTGTGAAAGAATACTTGTTTGAAATGTATACAAAGCCAATCTCAGATTTTACACTGTGTATCCGTTCGCCTACTTGTTGCATACAATTGCTCATTAGTTTTAGAACATGCATGGGAAAGGTATCGTAGCAAGCGATAGTTAAATAAAACAGGTGTATGCCAATGATTTTCTAGATTCATCACAACATATTATAGTTTTTGAAAGCATGACGCCATAACTGACGCAAACTCACGCACAACGATGACGGTACTTCTCTTAATTTCTGACTATTTCCCTTGGTCACAATGAAAACAAAAAGAAAATAACAACCAGCAGACTGTCAGAAGTTTCGGACTGCTTACATGTCACATTTATGCATATACGTTGCTTGAAACAACGAAAATGTCCTTCGAAAACTCGTGTCAGTGAACACGCCATTTCGAAAAAGTCGCTTCCCGATAGTGATGTCATACGGACGTCAACATTGTTATACATATTTGGTATTTTCATTGAGGCGAGGTTATGAATGAAAATACACACGACCAATCCGTCCTGCTGCTTACATTTTCTGTTCTTATGCTTCTTCGTATTTTCACGAACTTTTTTTCACGTGATTAATATCAGTATTATTATCTTTTGATTTGGGACTAGACAGGAGACCAGTTTAAATTCAAGTGGCACCAATTACGTCATAATCAAAGGGCGGTAACTCTGGCCTGTTTAGCTCGGCAAAAAATACCTCATATTGGCATAACATTTCAGCACTTATTTTGAGGGTTATACTTACGTTGTAAGAAAAATGAGTGTATATTTTCAAACATTGGTATTAACTAATTAAAACAGTTCACTTTGATTCACATAAGAATAAATGTGATTTATTCGTGTACACTTGCCCTTTAATCTTCATTATATTATTTGTGTCAGTTATCTTATCCCAATTATCATCGTGTTTATAACTGCTTTTGATCGGTCCTCTGCGATTGATTGTACATACATGTTCATATCTGGCTTTCTGTAAATCTGGTATATATAGTTTGCTTTCTACATATGTCTTTTATCACCCGAAGAAGGGGCAAGAAGACACGTTGTGTTATACAGTAGGCAAGAAGTTGTCATCCACATACTTGTCTTATATATTCACCAACTTCTACATGCCTCTCAAGAATCTCATACATCTGGTGTTTGTTGCTTCAAGGTATACTAGAGCATTAATTAGTGTATACTATTAACACGGAAAAACTAGACAAAGTTTTACCAATACTTTATAACGATATGCGTTATTGAAAACTGGAAATATTACAGACTAACCGACTACGTTCCTCAATCTTAAAACCTGCCAAGGGTCACATTGATAACGAGCATCGGACTTAATACGGGACCAGTATCTCTAAAGCTAACAGAACCAAGGTGCATTACGTCATCTGTCTTTACGGCTGTTTGTATTCCAATGTACGCAACAATAGTTCAGTACACTACACATCACCCCAGTGGGGGTTCATACAATCGACATTATGTAACGGTCACAAACAGCATAGTATTCACAACGTAATACAATAGTTAAAATATCCGACACACTCTATACTTTCTATAATAGTCACAAAACAGTGTAGTGTCAATCAGTATTAAATAAACAATCCTAACTGTAATACAGAAGATATGAGACACATACTAAGGGATGCCTCGTTCCACATAAACCTGAAGGTACTGCCAGGGTTGTAACTTATAGTTAAGGTATTTACAATAGATTAAAGTTAACATAGAATAACAATAGTATGTCAAAGTAGAAGGCAGTAAAGTTTCTTACCTGAGTGAATTTACTAGACAGCCACCCCCTGATTTGTGACTGTCATCCGTAATATATATCTATTCTAGCTATCGCAAATAATCGCGTTTACAGATAAAACTTACGATAACGTTGTTATTGTGAACGTGAGATTATGTCAGTTAGTTGGACCGAAGCATCGATGGCCAGTCGCGAGTATGCTACGAAGGTATATGTGGCACGCACGTGATTTGGCCAACGTGGAATACAAACAGCCGTAAAGGCAGATGACGTAATGCACCTTGGTTCTGTTAGCTTTAGAGATACTGGTCCCGTATTAAGTCCGATGCTCGTTATCAATGTGACCCTTGGTAGGTTTTAAGATTGAGGAACGTAGTCGGTTAGTCTGTAAAATTTCCAGTTTTCAATAGCGCATATCGTTATAAAGTATTGGTAGAACTTTGTCTAGTTTTTCCGTGTTAATATATACATGGGCTTATCCAAGGGTTTGAGTGAGCGAGATGGAGTGAATTTAGTTTTACGCCGCACTCAGCAATATTCCAGCTTTATGGTGGCGGTCTGTAAATAATCGAGTCTGGCCCAGACAATCTAGTGATCAACAGCATTTTCATCGATCTGCGCAACTGGGAACCGACTGTGACTGTGACTGTCAGCGAGCCTGACCACCCGATCCCGTTAGTCGCCTCTTACGACAAGCAGAGTCGCCTTTGGAAGACCTTCTACCCAGGATCTTCACGGGTCGAACTGTGGAAGAATCCAAGGGTTTGAGGGGGGTGGGGTGGGTATTGTTTCTCTCTCTTCTCTCCCTACTCCCCTACCCCACCTCCCCCCACCCCCCGGGGTTCCGGTCAGTTTTCAGTCTAGAAAGGGGCGTTCGGGTAGCCGAGTGACTGTGAGCATTAGCCCCTTACGCCGAAGACACGGGTTCGATTCCCCACATGGGTAAAATGCGTGAAGTCCATTTCTGGTGTCCCCCGCCGTGATATTGCTGGAATATTGCTAAAAGCGGCGTAGAAACATACTCACTCAGTCAGTCAAGTAAAGATTTTATCACGTTTGTATATCTTGGTTCTTCTACTATTTTCAAGTCGTTACATACTTTCGTCAGACAGTTGATTCTAAAACTCACATCGTTTTCCATACACTGTTAGAAAAGTACAACTTAATCCAGCTTTGGTTTTAAATGTGTTTGGTTTGAAATACATTGAGATGTTTAAAAAAATATTTCTTTGCAGTGGTCAAAATGTCAACCCTGAAGTTGCTGACAGACAAGGGCGGTAACTCTGTATACGCCCACAGTATCGACGGCCATTATTTTCCGCCATTTACTTTGGATGTGGAATATGCCACCCACTTGGAGAACATTAAGAAAATGCACATCAGGGACGATGACGTCGTCGTAGTTGGCTACGGCAAGTCAGGTTTGTAGTCTAGAGGTTAAAGCGTTCGCTCGTCACGCCCCGGGTTCGATTCCCCACATGGGTACAATGTGTGAAACCTATTTCTGGTGTTCCCCACCGTGATATTGCTGGAATACAGAATCGGTCATGCACGTAGAAATCTAGACTAATGCTTAGTCTCTGAATGTATGTAATTTTGATGGAACAATTAATTCCTTTTAAACTGAGACGGGATATTCCTGATCCTGAGGAAAACTAAACTCACTCACTCACTCATATCTCCCAATAAGTGAGAAGTGTGACCTGCAAATACGTCATTCAAAAATATTATACATCTTATAGACGTGTGATTGTTAAATATACTACTCACATTTTGCTAAGGATCACAAAACGTCACAACTTTACTTAAACGTAGATTCATAATTTGGAATTGCATCCATTTAAATATTGATAAATAATAATATAGTATCCCCTCTTTAGACAAACAGTCACAAAATCTAACTTTATGCACTTGATACATGAGTAACCATAAAATGGTTTTCATGGCACCAATCAACCATTTTGCAAATCATGGAACTAGTCATTGACAAGTACACAACACCTGTCAATAGCAGGTCCATAGCAAAAATCACAAAGACTCCACTCTCACTGTGACCAAGTTCCCTACCACTGAATCTGTGTTGTGGGGATGTCTGGGCGTGCATGCATCGTGTGAGATGGGATAAGTGTACTACCCATCAATAGTTTAGACTCACTTAAAGCACTCACTATGTAATGTGTAAGTATATGGTTATATCAAAGATAGATTTCTCCACTAACATGGGGGAACCAACTGCAAACTTTATGCAGATGAATTGTACGAGGATCATGCATCAAATTGCTGAAAAAGCATGTGCAAATATCGTGCATGTGAACAGCTGCGTTGTGGTGTTAAGTTTTGTTAATAATTCACCAATTTTCACTGATTTTCATCATTTACTGAACTCATGACAATAATCTTTTCAACGTTACGAATTTGTTTTACAATACATTCGTTCATGTGTAAACAGTACCTTTATACTGAATGAAATATTTTGCAAAATCTAGTTTAGAACAATTAACTGAAGTAAGTGGCTACATTTACACTAGTGAGTCTAAACTTTTGATGGGTAGTATATATAAATATACAATTTTAACATTTTTAAAGTTATCCTATTTCACGTAGTATACTTATCCCACAGTCGGACGGCGGGTTGCAGATTACCCTGTGTCTGTAGACTGACTGACTGACTGACTGAGTTTGCTTTTACGCCGCCTTTAGCAATATTCCAGCAACATCACGGCGGGGGACACCAGAAATGGGCTTCAGAGTGTCTGTAGAAGGTACACAACAAAGTGTCAGGTAGACAGATGACAACCGTGTGATGTCGATGCACAAGGGAGGCCTGTTACCAGTACTATCCCTTGATTGACTCCATAACTCCTATGCTTGTGGTGGGTTAATCAACGGAACCCCTTGGCGTACTAGGTACAAAACCCCCAGAGAGTTGGGTGCTCCCGAGTAATGTTGTTTTCCGCCGCAACCTTCGTCCGAAGAGGAAAGGACGAAGCTAAGCAGCGTTGCACGACTCATCCCCGATATACAGAAAGCCCCAGTAAATTTCGACCTTAATCTGGCCCGCACCTGCTTCGGAACCATGCCCGCAGTCACACATAAAGGTGAAAGGGAAGATGCCCCGGAATGCTCAACTGTCTTAACGTTCACATCGACCCTCCCTCCGCTACACAAGCTTAGTCAAGGATGTGTCCAGTAACTGCGTCCACTTGAATTCGGCAGGTCACACTTCACTGACGTGATTGCGCGTTAGAGTAGAGGACAGTAAGCATGAGTGTCGATCACCTCTGCATCGTAGCACAAGACCATGCCTCGAGTCTATGATGAAGCCATGCCCGGTGACCGTACTACAACACCCTAGGATGTAACTAAGTGAGGAAGATCTATGCCCAAATAAAAAGAACGAAGATGAAATGGACATCATACATGCTTATGCCGTATATACAAGGTAACACGGAACCCACATGCCAATAATGTCCCTTTATCTGCGTTGTTGGGCCACAGACAGCTGCTGAGCCAGTACTAGTGGACCAAACTGGTGTAGACCTTTGACGTCGGTCAGAGAGAGGCCACGTAGGTAGTGGGAAGCGAAGACCGTGTCAGATTTCCCCAAGCATCCCTCCTTGATGGAAGCCAGTGAGCAGTTACTGTGAAGAGCCATGGACGATGCTAAAGCCAGAGTCTCATGAGCATTAGACGCCGCTGAGTCCGGCAAAGGACTGAGCTTGCTGGGCTGAGGCTATAGAAAACAGTGTGAAGACATTACTTGCTTGCGCAATCTCTGAAGTCTTGCTAGGCAGCAATGTAAATCTTCAACGCTCTAACAGGGTAGGGTGAGAGATCTTTGGTGTCGTCAGGCCCAAGAATGGTGGACAATGGTAGAATCGTGAAGAGATGGTCCGGTAGCACGGGCAACTGGTTCTTTGCAATATAGTCCATGCGGAAACTGAGGAAAACCTTCTCATGTTTCTTCCGCTCGAACTTAACCTGCTTAACGCCCAGCGCATGGTGCTCCGAGATTCGAGAAGCAGTAGCCAAAGCTATCAGGAAGATGGTCTAAATGCAATGCGCTCAAAGTCCCTCTCATGAAGTGGTTCAGTATCAGTGGAAACGAGATGTTGAAGGACAACGGAGAGGTCCCAGACAGACTGGAGTTCAGGAACAGTAGATATCTTAACTCCCGTGGTCACTGTATTAATAGCAGCTAAATACGTGGCTGGTGTTGATGCCTTCAGTTTCCTAGACGTACGCAGAATTTGCAAATACTCTGCAACGGCCTGAGTAGTAGGAGACAGGATATTCTTCAATCTTCAGTAGTCCGGGTGGAAATGCGATGAGCCCCAAGGTGATAGCCCCAGCCACTCACCTGGAGTATCCTTTAGCCATCAGGCATTTCTGAAGATGAGCCAAATGTGTCTCTGTGGAGACGCCTGCAGTAGCTCTTAGTGTGGGTGACCAGTAGGTCATCTCGACTGGCCAGATTGCATATGTCGACGAACCAACCTTAAGCAGTCATCTGCTTGGTGGACTGAAGCTTCTGTAGTACTCTGGGAAGTAGATCTGGCAGAGGAACCGCATAAGCGTTGAGGCCCTCTTAGGAGATTGCTAGAGCATCTAGGTCCCAAGACATAGCGTCTGGAATGGGAGACACGAATCTGGAAGCTGGTTGTTGAATCTGGTCTCAAACAGGTCTGTTTGAGGATTGCAGGTCGGAAGACAAATCGATCTGAAGATCTGAGGTTGTAGTTTCCATTCCGTCGGAGACAGCCGGAGTTGAGTGTTCCACTACCTCTACCCTAGAGGCAACTGTAGGTTTAGGCGTGATGGCTTCCGAAGTGGGGAATAAGAGACGAAAGTTCTCATTCAGGTTGGAATCTGACGATGCTTCCAAACAATCTTCACGTTCGGTAGTAGGAGTAACCTTGGCTTGGCCACTTTAATAGGACTGTAACAGGACTCTTTTTTGCCGTTGAAGTTCATGCTCTTCTGACCTCTTCCAAGAGTCTCTGTCCGCGAGATAGCGAGTCCTAACTTTACAGGAGGCTGCAAATACATCGTCAGTCACGCCCTTGCATAGATGACATCTTTTATCCCAACTGCATAGTCCAATACAGTCTACACATGACGAGTGGGGGTCCGTGGAAGAAAAGATCTTGCTTTGAAAACAAAACTTTCTTTTCCGAGATGTAAAGTCTTTTTGACCCATAAATCAAAATTGCTCCCTTCGTTTACAGCACGCTGCACTGCTGTGCGACAAGAAGGAGAACGACCAGACAAAGGAGTCACATGACCGTTCAGGAGGCGTTCTGCATGCTTCACAGAGGCTGAAGTTGTCCATGAATGGGAGTAGAAGGGGGGTGGGGGGTGGGGGGTGTTTGAGGAATGTTGGGCGAATGGTACAAGTGAGGCCAAAAACTCTGTTTGCAGTTCGTTTCCACTCAGCTGTCAAATCATGAGAGAGAGTATGCTACGTGAGGTAGGATAAGTTTTAAAATACGTGTATTTACATACATTCATCCACTGGGGTAGCCTAGTGGTTAAAGCATTAGCTCGTAACGCCGAAGACCCAGGTTCGATTCCCTATATGGGTACTACATGGTGATATTGCTGGAATATTGCTAAAAGCGGCGTCAAACTAAACTGACCTTCTCACTCACTCCAATTCCATCATGGGCACAGTTGACTAAAGTGCAGCAATAGCAATATCTGTACATATTTACCAAGCATAAAACATGGCAGGATCCGATGCCGTAGGGTGAGATAAACTGTCTCTCAATAGAATAAAAATGTCAAACGTCTAAGATCAGCTCTTAATGAAATATAATATTGTAGTTTTTAAAATGGCGTCATACAGTGTTGATTCACATCCTCAAGTTCCACCGTGTAATGTTGACATGTTTGTATCTGTCAGGTACACACTGGATGTGGGAGGTGGCTGGGATGTTGACATGTTTGTATCTGTCAGGTACACACTGGGTGTGGGAGGTGGCTGGGATGTTGACATGTTTGTATCTGTCAGGTACACACTGGGTGTGGGAGGTGGCTGGGATGTTGACATGTTTGTATCTGTCAGGTACACACTGGATGTGGGAGGTGGCTGGGATGTTGACATGTTTGTATCTGTCAGGTACACACTGGATGTGGGAGGTGGCTGGGATGTTGACATGTTTGTATCTGTCAGGTACACACTGGGTGTGTGAGGTGGCTGGGATGTTGACATGTTTGTATCTGTCAGGTACACACTGGATGTGGGAGGTGACTGGGATGTTGACATGTTTGTATCTGTCACGTACACACTGGGTGTGGGAGGTGGCTGGGATGTTGACGTGTTTGTATCTGTCAGGTAGACACTGGGTGTGTGAGGTTGCTGGGATGTTGACATGTTTGTATCTGTCAGGTACACACTGGGTGTGGGAGGTTGCTGGGATGTTGACATGTTTGTATCTGTCAGGTACACACTGGGTGTGGGAGGTGGCTGGGATGTTGACATGTTTGTATCTGTCAGGTACACACTGGATGTGGGAGGTGACTGGGATGTTGACATGTTTGTATCTGTCACGTACACACTGGGTGTGGGAGGTGGCTGGGATGTTGACGTGTTTGTATCTGTCAGGTAGACACTGGGTGTGTGAGGTTGCTGGGATGTTGACATGTTTGTATCTGTCAGGTACACACTGGGTGTGGGAGGTTGCTGGGATGTTGACATGTTTGTATCTGTCAGGTACACACTGGGTGTGGGAGGTGGCTGGGATGCTGATGGCCGGAAGTACAAACTACATCCGGAATATCAAAGAGAGCCAATTCCTGGAAGTCAAGGAAGTGGCGGTGCTTGAGGCTCTGACGTCACCGAGACTACTCAACACACACATGGGGTTCAGGTAGTACTCTGATTGATGCATATTTATCTCATGCGGAGTGCGGCGTTAAACAATAAACAAACAAAACGAAATCATCTTTATTGGTCATGCCACTTTAGCCATTGCTATATGGACGTAAATAGAATATTGGGGAATCTTTACCCGACTGTTGGTCCAATAATTGCCTCTCATTGGGCCTAGATAACTCATTGACCAATGGTCAATTCCAGATTCCTGCCGTCGGAGATCGTGACCAAGAGAACCAAGGTCATTTACCTGCTGAGGAACCCTAAGGACGTGGCGGTGTCCCTCTATAACCACGTGACCGGAATGAATGCCGGGGAGAAATATTTGTATAACGGGATATGGGACGATTTCCTGGACGCCTATCTCCAGGGTAAAGGTGAGTTAGGATGCTACCCTACAGTGGGATGTGAAGTCCAACAGTGAAGACTGTGGATTTATGAAAAGGCTGTCCGTATTTTTACTGTTTCCAATCTCCTGCCCTACCTGAAGTTTCACTTCAAAGTGAAATAATAAAAAAAAATCTTTTTAAATTTTCCCTGAAAATGTATACCATACTGTGATAAAAGTAACCCAACACTCTTACTCGTTCATCAAAAACAGGTCAGGTTGCATCTTTCATTATCTACATTTATTTAAAAAATGTTAAGGGCCTCACAATCAATATATAGACTATTGCGCGCCACGTAACGTACATTTTCAAAATTAAAAAAATGTAACACAGGGACTATTTATTTTTTTTAGAAAAATATTTTCCCGCCCGCACAGATGTGGGGCATGCGAAACACGAGAAACATGAAACATTTTAAAAATTCGGATGGCCTAATGAGTGTGCTCGTCTTGGATACCCGTGAAGATCCGGGTTAGGATTGATCTTCAGCAACCCATGCTTGTCGTAAAAGGCGACTAATGGGTTCGGGTAGCGCTAAGGTTGCTCTGTACAACGGCACCCTGAACGTGTTGTGAGACCGCCTCCGTGGTGTAGTGGTTAGAGCGTCCGCCCGGAGAGCGGAAGGTCGCGGGTTCGATCCCCGACCGCGTCAAACCAAAAGACGTTAAAATATGGCACTTGTTGGTCCCTGCCTGGCGCTCGGCATTAATGGGTACAACAAGGTCTGGTCGGCTCGGAGTCAGTATAATGTGTCTGAGTGGGGTATTCATGCTTCACTGCGGCATGGTCTCTCAGTGGGCTAGCACTATAAAACCAGCTTCAGTCTGGGCTAGTACAAGCAGCGGCACATACACATACACACGAATGCACGTCCTCATATGAGCGAAATATTCTCAAGCACGACGTTAAACCCAATTTCACCTCACCTCACCTGAACGTGTTGTGCCACTTACTTTGTGTTACGGTTTTGTTTCATGATCACCCAGTCTTTGGTGGGTCTTGGTTCGACAGTGTCTTAAACTGGGAGAAGACAGTTGCTGCTCTCACGGAATTACCCGTACTTACTGTGCACTATGAAGACATGAAAAAGGTAATATAAGTTATGTGTTTCAGATTTCAAATAAATCTTTAACTGTTACTTCACACCAAGCTTACCCTGTATGAAATGTAAATACTGTAGGTTGGTTGGATGGTGTGTTATTGTAAGTCACGCTCGGCAGTAATCCAGCTATTAGGCGGCGGCCTGTAAATAATCGAGTCTGGACCAGACAATCCGGTGATCAACAACATGAGCATCGATCTACGCAATTGGGATACGATGACATGTGTCAACCAAGTCAGCGAGTCTGGGCACCCGATCAAACCGAAACATGAGTCTCATTAACCTATTCAGACAATGACCTACTTTACAGCCGACCCGAATTTTCTCGTGTGAAAGTGAAAATAGACATCACAAACAACTATGGTTACACTGAATTCCAATTCCTTGTTTCATAAGAAATTGGTATTTACAAATGAATTTAAATAGTAAACTTTAATCACATCGTATTTCTATATTTTATGGTGAGGTGTAGGCAGTATGACCTTAACTATAATAAGACGTCACAGACTGCCCCTGTTTGATGAGGTCGTAAAATGATTCACAATGCATCTGGCTCACTGGTTACACCTGTTATGTGTTTTTTTGCGCTTATTCAGTGTAGTTCTGTAACGCACGTTATTGATATAATATCAATTCCGTACCAGACCGCCAAACTTTCTAGCGGCAGAGCCTCGTTTTGAGATTTCCACGATTTCCAGGTTTCCGTTTGTCAGAGCTCGTTGTACGACAGAGCACGCTGCACGACGTGTTTGCAAGGCTTAGAAGGAGCCTAGTGTTGCAATATACAAGTTCTTAGATGTATGAAATAATACTGATTAATATTTATGTATCCAGTTAAATGAATTGGTCTCAAAATTCTCGACTGGTTATTGTTCTAAGTTGCGCAATAGGACGGAACCCAGTCAACAGGAAACGAGACCAATGTTTTGACTTGCCACAGTCTATTAGTCGCCTTAAAGCAAGCATGGGTTCCTAAAAGCTAATTCTAATCCGGATCTTCGCGGTTTTAAATATTGTAAAACTGGAGATAAAATTAGACCTTTTTGCTGTGTAATTTGTATTTTGACTCCGCATTCAACAGTATTCCATCTGTGTCACGGGGGTTTGCAAATAATTCAATCTGGGCCCACATGCACAATGCAATCTTAGTGCTATGACTATGCTAAGTCTGTGTTAAAGTATGGGAGTTCCCATCAGCCTGTGAAGATCCGGGTTAGAATTGGTCTTCAGCAATTCATGCTTGTAGGAGGCGACTAACGGGGCATCGGATGATCAGGCTCGCTGACTTGGTTGACATGTCACTGTATCCACGTTGCCTAGAATTTCATGCTGCTGATCACTGGATTGTCTGGTCCAGACTCGATTTATTTATAGCTTGAATATTGCTGGGCTGTGTTAAACAACAAACCGCTAGCTGATGTTTACGAACTTGTTTTTAAGAGCACGCGCATCCTCGATAATCTCCAGGGTATACCTTACGATCACTCTCCACTATACTCCACTGGATGCATCCACGGCTTGGCCCTATGATTTTATTACCTCCCTTGGCTGGCTTTTTATCCAATCAAGTGTCTACGCTGGGAAGTTGAGCAAACCAATCACAACTCACTTTCGCTTCTTAAATTATCTGTTTAAACTTGGCAACACAATTGATGCAGAGGTACTCTGAAAGAGGTAGAAGGAGTTCTTTTATATATTTTTTTTGAAGTTTCAGATCTGTCAATTTGTCTGTATTATTTTCTCAAATATATGAATGGCACTGCGTACAAACCTTCGCGACTGCAACCGCTATCTTTGTTGACACTGGGAAACTCGGATGTAACGGCGGCTTAGCTGATTGGCTACTGTGAGAATGTGGAGCCAGCAAAGGGAGGTAATATAATTATCGGGCCAAGCCGTGGATGCATCCAGGGTATGGCTGAGAGTGATCGTAACGTATACCCTGGAGATTATCGAGGATGGGGAACGCGTAGAAATCTCAATTCCTTAACACCTTGTAACATCTGAGGGGTAAGGATTTTAACCAGCTCTTTTTTGTAGACTATTTGATTTTGCCAGAACTAAAACAGCATAAACTGAATAAACAAAATAACTGAAAATGTCCTTCTTTCAAGCAGGACTAGCTACAAGCTCTGAGGACTAATAAACTCAAGTTTACACCTGTCCCGTGGGTTTAGTCTCAGAATGGGTGAATGAGTGAGTTTGGTTTTACGCCGATATTCCAGCAATAGCACGGCGGGGACACCAGAAATGGTTTCACACATTTTACCCATGTGGGCAATCGAACCCGGGTCTTCAGCGTGACGAGCGAACGCTTTAAACACTAGGCTACCCCATCGCCCTCTAGTCCCAGAAACATTTCTCGTATTTCAGGATCCCTTGTCAAATGTACAACGTCTGTCGGAGTTCCTTGGAGTACAACGTGATTCCGAGTTCTGCCAGGAAGTGGTGGAAGCATGCAGTTTTAAGAAACTTAAACATGCAAAGGAAAACTTGAAGGAAAACTATCTGCGGAACGTATGGAAACCTGGCACTGCGGGCTTTTACAGGAAAGGTAGGACAGTCATCTGTCTTCTTTGAAATAATGGCTTAAAATCGGTTTTTGTATTTGAATACGGAAAGGTTTTAGAAATTATTGATAAGTTTTTAAAGGGCATGCTCAACAATTTGTCAGAATAGTACGCATTACCTCGAATGAGTTTAGCTTTATCGACGCTTTTAGCAATATCCCAGTAATATCACGGCGGGGGACATCAGAAATGGGCTTCACACATTGTACCCATGTTGGGAATAGAACCCGGGTCTTCGGCGTGACGAGCGAAAGCTTTGATCACTAAGCTAAGCCGCCGCCCTCTGATCACCTCGAACTGTGCAGTTTGTACAGAAGGGTAGTGATGTACACTTTAGTAATTTCGTTATCGAATTCGGTGAGTGCACAAAAAAGTCAAAGAGCACACATGGAAGAAACGTTCCAGAGTAAATCAATAAAACGATGTGTCTATGTTACAGGGGAAGTGGGAGACTGGAAGAAACGTTCCTGAGTAAATCAATAAAACGATGTGTCTATGTTACAGGGGAAGTGGGAGACTGGAAGAAACGTTCCTGAGTAAATCATTAAAACGATGTTTGTATGTTACAGGGGAAGTGGGAGACTGGAAGAAACGTTCCTGAGTAAATGAGTAAAACGATGTGTCTATGTTACAGGGGAAGTGGGAGACTGGAAGAAACGTTCCTGAGTAAATGAGTAAAACGATGTGTCTATGTTACAGGGGAAGTGGGAGACTGGAAGAAACGTTCCTGAGTAAATCAGTAAAACCATGTATCTATGTTACAGGGGAAGTGGGAGACTGGAAGAAACGTTCCTGAGTAAATCAGTAAAACGATGTGTCTATGTTACAGGGGAAGTGGGAGACTGGAAGAAACGTTCCTGAGTAAATCAGTAAAACGATGTGTCTATGTTACAGGGGAAGTGGGAGACTGGAAGAAACGTTCCTGAGTAAATCATTAAAACGATGTGTCAATGTTACAGGGGAAGTGGGAGACTGGAAGAACTGGTTTACCGTGGCCCAGAACGAGAGGTTTGATGCGGTGTATGCAGAAAAGATGAAAAATTCCAAACTAAAAATGCAGTTTGAATAAAAATGAGGAGAGTCTGGTCTGGGAATTGCCTTCAGAACGGGTGGCCGTCCCGGTCAATATTTGACGACGATTTTCTGTGCACAGAGTTCAACCTGATTTGAGGAGATGGAGAAACAACAGGTTGTTTCACACGATTATCCAATATGATACACATATGTTACTTTCATCTGATTCTGTTTTTCATTTTGTCGGCGCCGAATCAACGAGCGTGTAAAACGGGTGTTACTTCGGGATTCCCTCCCACATCTAGCTGACCCTCTGTAATTTAACTGAAATACAGGTCACAGCTGCGTAAAAACTATTCACTCTGTTAAAATACGAATCGATCATACGTCAATTATATCAACACAGGGACAGAATCGCCATTGTTGCTGAATGTCATTATCTTTAATTGTGAGAATACGAGTTCAGGCTAAGGCGTTCGGGTGGTCAGGCTTGGTTTATACATGTCATCGAATTCAATATACGTGTATCGATGCCCTCAACAATATCCCAGTATTCCAGTCAAGGCAGTGATAGTGTTAGCATCTATCAACGTCTAAGGGGTACGTTGTAACATCAGCAATATGTTAGCTACCCTGACCACCCAATCCACAATGGGAGAGGCGACCAGCACATTCCGCTGGGTGCAATTCCAAACGGATAACCACAGGTTCGGTGCTGTGAAATGTGGTTCAATGTCATGGTCAAGATATTTGTACATGCCTGGACTCGTGGCGGATTTACATGTGGTGCCAACCGAGTGAGTGAGTTTAGTTTTACGCCGCACTCGACAATATTCCAGCGGTATGGCGGCGGTCTGTTAATAATTGAGTCTGGATCAGACAATCCAGTGATCAACAGCGTGAGCATCGATCTACGCAATTGGGATATGATGACATGTGTCAACCACGTCAGCAAGCCTGACCACTCGCAGTGTATGAAATAAGGTCCGTCCTACCGCCCGAGACGGGCTAGATTTCTGACGGACGGTCTAAATTTACAGCTAGCCAGCCCGATGGTCTAGTAAAAATTCTAGCTGTTCCGTACATCTGAGTAAATTCACCATATCTTGGTGTGAGGTCTGGTTAAATCCATTTGGGGCTGGTATCATTTTGAAGTCCTGATGTCTGGCTGGGTTTTTGGCGTATTTCATACACTGCCACCCAATTCCGTTAGTCGCCTCTTACGACAAGCATGAGTTACTGAAGATCAGTTCTAACCCGTGGCCGGATCTTCATGGGTACCAACCGAGATACCATATCCTAATCAAACAGTGATATCCTTCTGAGACACAGTGTATGTATTGACTACGCATCGATCAGTCTTCGATCTTTTTCCGTAATGCCGAGCAGGGTTACTACTATTCCCATCTGTTAACGTCCTTTGGTAGGACGCGCCCGGGGATCGAAAATCATTCCGCTCCCCGGGCTGGGGCTCTATCCACTGGACCACATTGGCGAATTTGAAATATAAACCCTCGGAAGAAATGATTTTGCCAAAAAAGAAAACTTGCCGACCGGTTTGGAACATAAGATGAAAGTTATCCGAAAGACGACTGGCAGCTCATCATGCCTTGAAACCAAAAGATCAAGGAAAGGCAAAATTCGAAAGATTTAATTAGTGCACACACAAAATAAATAAAGAGCCAAAAGTATTGTCCAAAAATGTCTAAAATGTAAATAGCACAAGATCACACAATGTCACAAGATGCCACTGATTCAAGCGTCCATCTTGCCAACACGGAACATACTCCTGAGGAACCTGGCCACACGAGATCTCACAGTGGGCTGGGGCTGTGGGTCTTCCTCGTGGAGGTCGATCTCCTCCAAGTGGGAGTCATCAGGGAGGGTGGGGCTGGAGACGGGGGTAGGGGTGTGGGGGGCAGGCAGTTCAGACAGGGGCTCAAGGATGGTGAAATATCTGCACGTGGGACGCTGGCAGGGAGGTGGAGAATAAGTTGCAAATAGAAATAGATGTTAAATATCTGAGTTCAGGGACCCATCTAGATTCAACTTAGTGCTTGTGACAAGCAAATTGAAAATATATGAATTTATCAAGTCTTCATTTTGTTAAACTCGTAGATATTTTGGCACGATAAACAATATAAAATATGCATTATACATGAATACATAAGATTCTCTTGATTTTATTCCCGATTTAACCTACTTGGCGGGGAGGGGCCCAGATGTCAAAGTTGAGGGGGAACCTGATGATGAGGTCTGTTTGAGATTAAAGAAGAAAGACGTTACATTTGAGACTGTATGTGTGCTTATGATTAGGTGTGGTCAAGGGAAAAGTGAGTGAGTTTAGTTTTACGCCGCACTCGGCAATATTCCAGCTATATGGCGGCGGTCTATAAATAATCAAGTCTGGATCAGACAATCCAGTGATCAACACCATGAGCATCGATCTGCGCAATTGGGAATCGATGACATGTGTAAACGAGCCTGACCGACCGATCCCGTTAGTCTCCTCTTACGACAAGCATGGTTTACTGAAGATCAATATTCTAACCGGGGCCTACCTTTAGAATACAGCACCACAAACTTTAAAAATACGTCATAATACCCTTTTACGTAATGTAATGTGATTTTGTTCGAAAGCACGTTCTCGAAACAATGCCTTATGACGCCTGCATGGCAACACGGTTGTCTGGCTCAGCGAGTGCGTATAAGCTCCGCTCACTGGTGTTTCATCTCTACGAGCTATGTCATTGCATAAGCCCAACGATGTTGAGAGTTTCCAGTAGTTGTATACCGGCGGATGCGCAATATTTTGCAAGCACCAGTTTGAAATATTTTTCTTTTTTCACTAATACGCTCATATTTATTTGTATTACGGGCTGCTGAGGTGTTATGTTTTGTGTATTTTGTATTTTTGTATTTTTTTAATTTACATATATATATTTGTCATTCAGTAATTTGCACCATTACATAGAAAAGTGTTTTATTAGTATTTTATTTTTCGAAGCGGTAATAATGCATTACACTAGACACGTCAGTCGTGTTTGCGCCGGTTCGGTCAATGCATTCTATTTATTAGGATTAATTCAAGGGATTGGGGTTAGGGCTAGGGCTAGGGCTAGGGCTAGGACTAGGACTAGGGTTAGGGTTAGGGTTAGGGTTTAGGGTTAGGGTTGGGGTTGGGGACCTAATGCAATATATAGTAGGTACATGTCCGGTGGTTCGGTCAATGCATTCTATTTATTAGGATTATTTCAAGGGTTAGGGTTAGGGTTAGGGCTGAGGGTTTAGGGTTTAGGGTTAGGGTTAGGGTTAGGGTTAGGGTTAGGGACCTAATCCAATATAGCAGGTACATGACCGGTGTAATACGTGAGTACCATTTGTTGTTTTTCCTTTTTGCATTTTAATACTTTTATTTCACACAAAAACGGGAAACCAAAAACGTCGAAAGTACATTATGAAATGGGTTAATGTAGACATTTTGGGCTAATGGAAATTGGTCTGGAATTTGCACTCAAGCCTCTTTCACACGCAACATAAATTTTGTAAAGTAATGATTCGAAGGCTAACTCACCCGAGTGCCGTCACTACATGCTCATGTCTCCCTCGTTCCTTAGTGCGATCCACATTATCCTTACAGTGTTCCCTACATCACTTTTCTGTCACAAAATCACCGATCTCCCTAACCGGGACCTTCACGGGTCCAAGGGAAAAGTCCAGCACGCCAGTTCATTAACCGTTATGTTCTACTTTCTACTTACATTAGTAGGGTAAATTATTTCCTAAAAGCCAGATATTTCGGAAAATTTTAAACGACCATGGTGCATTGTTTGTAATGTTTAGCAGCCTCACACAGCGTGTTGTTTCAGATTCATTCTCAGTCACAGATCTATCATAAACAATCAGGTCATTTTTTAAATGTAAAATAATGATTCTCTGGCAACAAATTAGGTGAGGTCTCCCAATAATATCAAACAAAGTTCTAAGGGCAGTTTTCCTATGTAAACATTATGGTGACATGGAACATAAAATAATTGTTCTCGTACATAAGAAAACAAATACCATTCGATTACTATCCGGTTCGCCTCACTATCTGTCATGTTAGTCCTCATGTTCTTAAAGATGAAGATTAATATGTCTTTATTTCTGGAAATATCCTTTCTTGATGCATATCACATTCACATAAAGTAGACTTCAACGGCTGCCAAGAACCGTTTTGTTCGAAAAATGCAGTGTATTATGGAAAGGCATGGGTACAGTTTTCTGTTACAGTTATTTTTGTCGGACACAGATGACAGCTCCAAGAATGTTTTTTAAGAGATTGATTACACTGAATTTGAAACATTTAATGGGGTTTGGAGTTAATAGTAGACATAAGAATGCTGACAAGTCTACCAAGAATACTACTTGTTGGTGAAAGGCCTAGATAGATGAAGCCTGGGTGTAGGATATTTTGTACTTTTAGTCTGTAATATTTTGTTCAAATATTTTGTGCGTCTGTCTCGAAAATCTACTCCTTTCCATGGCCTGTGATTGATTCTGTGATAAATTGCAAAAATAGAACACCAAACTGATGCGTGAAAGTCTACAATATTTGCATTCTTAAAAAATGACAATAGCTACAGCTGAAGAAATGGAAAAGACGTGTTAAAATGTTCCTGAAGTGAAAAATATTTTTCATTTTTTGGCATCTTTTTCACCCTTGGCTGGATCTAGCCAAAATGCAAAATTAAAACAAAGAAATGCGAGAGCTATGACGAAATGACCGATCTAATATGACCTCGGTACCTTTATCGTACTGATTCATATTTGCGTAGGTAGCCATGATCCCAATACGTGGTAACAAGTGATAAATACTGAGTGTAGCAAGTTCAGAAACAGCAATGGCGGCGATCGTTTAGATCGAGAGTGATGCGTCGTCAAGACAACGTCACGAATCTCGCGAGAAGTTGCTGAATCTACATGACCGGTTTTCCTCCTGTGAAACGCCTGTGGGCCCAGTCGCGTCAATGTTTGGTTGGCGCTTCGATATAAATATTATCAAAATTATGTATATAGTAAAGAACTAATTTTTATTAATACGATGGTACTGAATCACTTGAGTACAATGTGTGAAGGCCATTTCTGGTACTCCCCGCTGTGGTATTGCAAGAACATTGCGAAAAACAGTGTAAAACTAAACTCACTCACTCACCCACCCAATCACTACTGAAGATTCACTTTTTGTTGTTGCATGGAAGGGGTAATATTTTACAGTGACAATGACCCTTTGGAAATCGAGTTGCTGTAATAGCTGCAAGTGTACACATAAACGGATTAAAGACGCCATTGACATCCAAATGTCTATTTTTTTCACCCGTCTTCAGTAACCCATGCTTGTCGTCAGAGGCGACTAATAGGATCGGGTGGTCAGGCTCGCTGACTTGGTTGACACATGTCATCGTATCCCAATTGCGCAGAACGATGCTCATTCTGTTGATCACTGTATTGTCTGGACCAGACTCGATTATTTACAGACAGCCGTCATATAGCTGGAATATTGCTGAGTGCGGCGTAAAATTAAACTCACTCACTCTATTTTTTCATGATTCTCACCAAAACAGAAAATCTTAAAGTCACAGAACTGATTTTAAAATCTCTCACCAAAAATCTTAATCTTTGGATAACCAGAGGACTTTGTTATCATTACAAACGTTTTAACATTGTGACTGCATTTATATCGATCCACAGTATTTGCATATGTTGAGTATGTTTGAAAACTTATAATAATCCCGGGGGAACATAGCTCTTCGAATCATTACAAGTGTTTCCATGACCATAAGGACAAAGTTAGAAATTGTATTTCAGGGGTCTCTGAAAATTCCCAGAAATAGTAAGTCCGTAAAGAGTTATACATGGACAGTTCTGGGTTCATTCCCTCAAGCACTCCTTGTCTGTCCATTTGCCTGAAAGGGGCGGTGGGGTAGCCGAGTGGTTCAAGCGTTCGCTCGGGTTCGATTCCCCACAAGGGTACAATGTGTGAAGCCCAATGTGTGAAGCCATGGTGTCCCCCGCCGTGATATTGCTGTAATATTGCTAAAAGCGGCGAAAACCTAAACTCACATTTGTATTATATTTGATGAGTTTGAGGGTTTAATCACACATTTAATTCGGTATCTAGTGTTTATTTAAAAAAACGTAAACAGAAATCGAAAACCTTTATAACGCATTCTAAATGGCCGACAAATATGTGTTCTGTTCAAATGACAGATGAAATACTATTTTTTTAGTATTTTGTACAGTGTGACTACGCTAAGTTAATGATGATGTTGAATGCCTGGATGATTCTGATTATTGCAGAGCTACAGATAACTTTTTGGGTCATTGAGTTATGTACTCGCTTGTGTTCATCTCAATTGGGTATCCTAATTTTCCTTTGAGTAACCAAATAAATTGTACTCACCTCACTCAAACTCAGTTGGGTATTTTGCCATTTTCCATTAATTGTAAAATTATAATAAAGTTTAAATATTGGTTTACGTGTTTGAAACTTATATTTGATCTATAATATGGGAAACGATAAGAAAGACTGCAAGTTGCCAAGTTCATGTGCTCAAATAGAACCTTTCAATATACCTCAGTTATTTTATCTATATTTGTGTGTACGCATGTAAGATCAAATGTATGGAGTATTTACAAAAAATCAAGCGTAACCTACTTGTACCCGAGACCATATAATATGGTCTCCGGTTGTACGGAATAGACATAGTTTTCACATAAATATTTGCGTAATGTACGCACGCACAGTCGCACCCACAAACACTAACACACACTTTATAAATATTACACCTATTCCGTGTTTGAGACAGACCGAAGTTCATTTGGACTGGGTTAAAGCGGAAATATCTAGGTTCTAGGCGGGACTCCATATGCAAAGACTCAATGGTTCTGTGAAACGACGACATTGCAATTATTTTACGGGTCAGTAATGGAAAATATTGAGAGTTACCTCCCTTGGATACTGTTCCTGAAACTGCGGGAATTTCAACATAATATTTACGTCAACACAAACGCAGTAATTGGAAACTATGGTGAGTGCAGATGTAGATAGATACATATACATGTCCTCATATGTTTGACTACTTGCTTAATTGTAGGCAATCTCGGTCAGCGAGCTTTTCAAGATAATGTCAAGCTACTGATAACGGATCCATATTGTGCAACTGCTCGCTTCTGACGAGCTGTCACTAGTTTAGTGTCAGGCTCATTGCTGACCAAAGGCTCCCTACCACTTAGACTAACATCTAGTCTCAGAAACATACATTTTGTCTTAATAATGGAACAAATCACCTCGATAAAATACGTTGAAAAGGAGACCTAGCTGAGACTTTATTTATGTTCAGTATGTATCGTAATTCGTATGCAGCAATCTAGCCACACATGTTGCATTTGCATGTGCAGTATTATTGTATTTTTCCTTTTATTATCTGTACAACAGGCAATACCCATTGCACTTACTGCACTGACATTCAGGCTGGTCAAATGACCATACAAATGGTGATAATGTCTGTTATCTTTGATACACTAGACTTGAACAGCAGGTAACAAAACACATCATGGTATGCAAATGCCCAAATATTTGTCATATTTCATCTACTTGTCAACTATCTTGCCGTTCAAAGAAAAAAACTTAAAGATTCTCTGTGTGTTTGTTCCTGAGATGATGTTGTTTGAAGATGGTGCTGAAAAAGACATTAACAGTTTACTAAGGGTGAAATGGTATGCTCTTACTATGGTACAATTCGTACTGCGGTACAAGGTCTTTGGTTCGGTTTGGTATATGAGATATGATAAAGAAAATTGATATCTGGCAAAGAAATGCATAGATTTTGACAAAACGATTTGAGTTCTAGACATTTTAGAAAATGTTTAAAAACGTTAATAAAATGACGATACGAAAACCATATTGTTAGATTGCATTACGGCATACCGAACTGAAGGCAAAATACCACGGTTCTACTAATACCGCGGTATACCGTTTCACCCCTACAATTTACCCATTATTTCCTTTTCAAGAAGAATGATGACCCAGTAAGTATCCCATGTCAATGTCAGTATGCCATGAAAACGTACATGTAGACTGTGTGGTTACTGCATTGATGCGTCTAACATAGTATGGTGTTTCTACTTTGAAAGAACTATTTCCTCAAGGTCATAGCTATAAGATTTTTTAATTTTTGAAAGCAATGAATGTGTGTTTAAATTTCATTATTTTAATCTTCTTCTTACGTCACTTTCAGTCAAGGAAGAAAGGTCTAAGTGTGGATGAGAAGAGGTCACGGATGATGGACTTCTTTTATGAAAAGGTCAGTGAAACATACAATAATTTCATGTCAATAGAAAATATTGTGAAAAGAATCATGTTATAGTTTATGTCAGTTTCCATAAATACATTTGTGAGATTATAATGCCTCATACCTTAACTGTTTTCATGATAAAATGCAAGAATATTGAAAAGAAAGTAAGGTACAATAAGAGATACTGCAATGTGATCACAAAACAAGAGAGTAATCATGAAAAATCGAGTAGAATTAGTTTACAATCAAGCAAAACGATGCAGCCACCTTTTATTTCTATAACTTTCAATCATTAGATAAGCAGAAAGAGTATTAAAATTGTACATGTAGTTGTTCTTGTGCCTGTAAATTTGATTTGTAACTGATGATTTGTTAGGCGAAGGTTTAAAAATGTTTGCTCATCAAACACCCACAATTCTGACAATATCATCCTGCAATTCCAGAAAGAGATTGCATAATGCATATCAGCTTGTCATGATCCCCTGTAATCGATATTTACTGGATGTTTTCAGAAAGACTTCTTCCAGCTGAAGGAGATGGAGAGGATGTGTCAGAAAGAGAAAGGCATCACGTCCATGTCAGTCAAGGACATCTTGACCAGCCTGGTGGACGACGGAATGGTGGACACAGACAAGATCGGGACCTCTGTCTACTTCTGGGCCTTCCCTAGTAAAGCCAGTCAAAATGTAAGGATTTTTCAGTCACATGAACGTTTCTGTTTTAAAGGAAGTGAATTAATTTATGGGTAAATTGGCCATTATTATTAATTATGACCCGGTGAATGCCAAATATTGATAATATCAGTATTTTTAGGTGTTGCTGGAACATTTATGACTGAATGAAAACTTTGTCATTCCAGATAAACTTTGTACTCGTGAGTTCAAGTTAAACACCGTAACCCAGTTATTTTCAGCTGCTTGTGCATACAAATATGATAAAAAATGAAAAAATTTGATGACACGGCTGTATAATAACACTGTGCTCAGTTATCCAATGAATATGCCGCTTGCATACATGTTTCTACAGATATTTTGTTGACAAATGAATGCAGACATCATATATACATGATCTCTACTGCTGCAATTATACAGTGAGTGAGTGAGTTTAGTTTTACACCGCACTCAGCAATATTCTAGCTATATGGCGGCGGTCTGTAAATAATTGAGTCTGTACCAGACAATCCAGGAATCAACAGCATGAACATCAATCTACACAATTGGGATACGATGACATGTGTCAACCCAGTCAGTGAGCCTGACCACCCGATCCCGTTAGTCGCCTCTTACGACAAGCATGGGTTACTGAAGATCAATTAAAACCCGTATCTTCACGGGTCTGGCAATTATACAGAGATGTGCAACATTTCACTTATTGTAGTGAGTGAGTATGGTTTTGCATTGTTTTCAGCAATATTACAGTGAGTGAGTGAGTATGGTCTTTGGTTGTTTTCAGCAATATTCCAGTAACCACTCTTTGTCTGCCGTTTTGAAGTAATGAACATATTTTCACTCAAATTTTTCCTTATCCTGACTCATGCTTATTGCTTGTCTCCCTTTCCTTCCAAATGCTAGTGGAACACTTAAATCCCCTTTTGAAGCTCCATGGGAACTTCTGATGGCACTGCTGCTGCTGATCCTTATTTCCATCTTTTTCTGATGAGTTTGGGGGGACCAGGTGCGCTCACAACCGCCCACTCGGGCGAATCAGGAGAGAGTGAGGAGCATGGCGACAGGTGGCGCTGGTTTCCCGCCAAAACCTGGGGAAGGGAGATGACTCCTGGTGAGTGATTTTACGTCCGCTTTTTTGAAGGGAGCTTCAAAAGGGGATTCAAGTGTTCCACTAGCATTCGGGAGACAAGCAATAAGCATGAGTCAGGATAAGTATAAAATATCAATTTTATTAAGAAAATTACATTTTTTAGCGAAAGAGAAAAATCAGTGACCTGACAGGTCGCTTGGATGAACTTGAGGGCAAGCAGAGGTCACTTGAAGGTCAAGTTGTCAAGGCCAAGGTTGGCAAGGAGGAAACTGTGAGTACTGTGGGAGGTTTAGAGTGTTAAAGAAGCAAACAGATAATCAGCTGACATTTATTTGATGACATATGGCACACTGTGTTGAGGGACAAGTAAATACTGACCGAAGGTACTTGATGTTCAGATTACTGTGTGATCTGCTGTGTCGTGTCCTCTACAGAGCGAGAGAGAGGAAGCGCTGTCAAGGCTGACCGACGTCCGAGGGAAGCGTCAGGCTGTCATGACAGAGCTTGAACAGTACAAGGAGTGTGACCCAGAAGTTCTCAAGCAGGTCAAGGTCGACACAGTGGTTGCAAAGGATGCTGCAAATCGATGGACAGGTGTGTGTAACCACTGTAACATCACTGAATTTCTAAACCAGTTTGATTGGTGGTGTACAGAGAGCTTATTGAGATGAGGTGAGGTGAGGTGAAATTGGGTTTTACGTCGTGCTTGAGAATATTTCGCTCATATGACGACGTGCATGCGTGTGTATGTGTATGTGCGGCTGCTTGTACTAGCCCAGACTTAAGCTGGTTTTATAGTGCTAGCCCACTGAGATACCATGCCGCAGTGAAGCATGAATACACCACTCAGACACATTATACTGACTCCGAGCCAACCAGTCCTTGTTGTACCCATTAATGCGAAGCCAGGCAGGGACCAACAAGTACCATATTTTAACGTCTTTTGGTATGACGCGGTCGGGGATCGAACCCGCGACCTTCCGCTCTCCGGGCGGACACTCTAACCACTACATCATGGAGGCGGTCACCTTATTGAGAAAATGTCATTTATGTATTAACTGAATGTTGATCGAGTGGGTGAGTTTTACGCTGCCTTTAGCAATATTCCAGCAATATCACAGCGGAGGAATGTTCATAGAGGAGTTCATCGCTCTTCCTGGTATGTATCATGGTAAAACCCTAATTATTAAGTCTGTTTTATGTAGCCCTTTCGGTTCAAAATGGAATGGAATGTTGTAAATGTATTGTAGTGTTGCTGAAGAGACATGTACCATTTCCTGCTATATATGGGCCTTGATGAGATGTCATTATGATTTGTAACACTTTGTGGACACTACTCAACTATATCTGATGTGATGAAAGTTTGGCATATTAAGGTTATATTACTTATGGGACAAAACACATATGTCCTGTTATAAAAATATTTTGTGTTTTTAGACCTTTGTCCGACTCTTGCACTTTGACCTTTTTCAGAATTAGTACCAAAATATTTCAATATTAATACTGACCCAAAAATATATAAAAATATAAAAAAGTACTAGAATTTGTACTTTACTAGGAAAGTGTAATCTGAAATATAGCATATGTTACACCCTTGTTGACATTATAAATGTTAAGGTGAGCTACAGGGCCTGGGTAATAGTTTGTTTATCGGATAAAATGTTTGAACAGCCACTTTCATTCTACTGTTGCTGTTGTTGCAGACAACATCTTCTCCACAAAATCCTGGATCAAACGCAAGTTTTCTTTTGAAGACTCAATGATTGACAAACAGTTTGGGTTGCCGGATGATTTCGACTACGTTGAGTGATCAGAGGATAACACCTGATCGGTTGTTCCATGTTAAAAGTGACATACAAAACCTTCACAAGGGCGATTGTTGACTGGAGAGCTCAACAGCAGCTGAAAGGTTCCTAACTCCAGAAAATGTGACTTTCTTTAAAAGCCTTACTGGAATTTATCATTGTTTTTATGTTAATTTAAAAGGCAATGAAATTATTTTTCTGTTTTGCCAATTTGTAAGTAAGATGTGTACATTCAGTTCTGGAGTGTGACTCCTAGCTGACAAGTCAAAGACTTAAGGTAACATCACAAATCAGGTAAAGGATGTTGGTCATGGCAAGAAGTGTGATGGGTGGCAGTGTTCGGCAGCTTGACTCATGCAAGTTTCATGGGTTTTGGTTCTGCACCACACTGAAGCATTTGTGGGGTCTCCTTGGGCAAGTGACTTTTGTGTTGGAAGTTTCCTCTGTTCACCCAGTAGTTAATGGGTACCTGGTAGAAGGAGAATGTAGCGTGCAGTAACCTTTCTAACAGGCACTTGGCTGTGTACTCCCCAGGAAGCTGAGAATGAAATTGGGTGCACACTGATTCACTGACTGGGTGTAGAGCATGGAGCACGTTCATTATTATAACTAGATTCAAGATTTTTCACGAGTTTCTGGACAAGCATGTAACCATCCTCTTGTTTTCATTATATAAATAACCCAAAATATTTCATCATTTGTGTATTATTTATTGTTTGTGTTTTGCACTTATACATCACTGTGATTTACAAAACTGTACACAAGCATGTTGTATTGTAATAGTGTCGCCACAAATAGCTGCTACATTGCTGGTGTGGCGTTAAACAATATTCACTCTCCCTTGCAACACTGTATGTACATCAACAAAGTGTCAACTGTAAGTATATCCTATTTCCCTCAACACTGTACATACTGCTCCCTAAGGAGTAGTTGCTGATTATCACTAATTTCATTTGGCACATATGGAGTTGTTTAAAGGTTTCTGACACACAGTGTGGAAATAATGCCCAACTTGAATACTAGAGCTGTGACGATATATTGTAGATCGATAATCGTGATACTTTATCTGACAATAAATATATCGATACTTTTGTTCGTATCGTGATATGTATCGTTGACCTAAATAATGTTAATGTTCACTAGAAATTGACGGTTATGTAAACATTTACACTGTTACTTGCTATCAAAGTATACTTTTTAAAAGAAAATAACTAAAGATAGCATATCGTGATATGCATCGAATCGAATCGTATTGTTCCAAGATATCGCGATACGTATGATATCGTGATATTTCCTATCGTCACACCTCTATTGGATACTGTGTTACGCGAGACCAGACAAACGAAATAAGTTGCCTTCAGATCTATAAATGGAGATAACTTTTAAACAAGGAAAACCAAGTTCTATGGATAGTCAACTTCTTTTTATTGCAATGAATAGGACGTTTAGGTGCAGGTACTAACACTGCAATAAAGAAATTGACTATCCATAAAACTTGGTTTTCCTTCATCTTCATCTTTGAAACAGTAGTGATGAAATATTCAGACTAGATTGAGATATGTTTTGTTTACCACCGCACTCAGCAATATTCTAGCTGTATGGCAGTGGTCTGTTAATGATCTGGACAAGACAAGCCAGTGATAAAGATCATGAACATTGATACAATGGGATACGATGACATGTCTCAACCAAGTCAGTGAGCCTGAGCCCCCGATCCCGCCAGTCGCCTCGTACAACAAGCATGGGTTGCTGAAGACCAATTCTAACCTGGATCTTGAGGATTTCTAAAAATATTCATAACAATACCACTATAGTTCCTGAAAGTGACACACTGTGAAGAGGACCAATCCAACTGAATCCTTATTCTGGTTACGATCAAGCTTTAGCACACACACAAACACACACACTGATTGGTTGATCCAGCTTTAGGACACACACTCTGATTGGTTGATCTAGCTTTAGCACACACACTCTGATTGGTTGATCTAGCTTTAGGACACACACTCTGGTTGTTAGTACCCATGAAGACCCGGGGTAAAATAGGTCTTCAGCAACCCATTCTTGTCATAAAAGGCGACTATGCTTGTCGTAAAAGGCGACTAACAGGATCGGGTGGTCAGGCTCGCTGACTTGGTTGACACATGTCATCGTGTTCCCAATTGCGCAGATCGATGCTCATGCTGTTGATCACTGGATTGTCTGGTCCAGACTCGATTATTTACAGACTGCCGCCATATAGCTGGAATATTGCTGAGTGCGGCGTAAAACTAAACTCACTCACTCACTCACTCAGAGTATCATGTAACTGCACCACATACTGTAAGAAGTAAAGTCACACCAGACTGAACGCTCATGAAGACAGTGATATAAAAACTGATTCATCAATGTCAATGTTGACAGTATAATACTTAACTAACAATAAAACACTATGTTGGGTCAATTATCTTGAGAAATTGACTTCATCTGTGGCTAATAAAATGTTTGTGCTGGAACAAGTTCCCGATTTCAAAAGTTTAGAAATTCACACACCTGCTAAGGACTTGTAAAGCTACAAACAGAGGGATGGTTGTCCTTTTGTGGTGCTCCTCCTTCAAGTTGAGCAAAGCATGACGAGTATTACATAAATATGGACATATTTGAACACCAATCCTAGACCATGTAGTTATAATTGGCTGGTAAGGCAAGAAATTGTCACAGTGCTCTTGATCTTATATAAATCCATTTACATTCTTTTTTCCCCCACATAGTCTGTCAAGACCCTCACAACCTGTTGTCGACAATCTCATATCCACATGGAGTCCAGAAATTGTCAACATTTTCTTGTACAAAGTCAAGAATTTATCAACATTCACTCCTCCACATAATCAGTCCAGAATTTTGTCAACCTGTTGTCAGCATTGGAGCAAAACAAGCGGAAGTCTGCCAGCATCTTGTCCTGGAAGTGTTCATCGCCGGTGTTGCCCGAGCGCCATCTTTTGGACAACATGAAGTTCCATGACCACAGAAAGCCGTTCTCAGACTGAGGCTCCTCAGAGAGGACACTGCTTGTCTGGCGAGCAATGTAGTCCTTGTGGAGATCTGACGAGGACTTCTTGCCGAAACTGGAGGAGTACGGAGCCTCGACTGTGATGGGGGAGGAAGTCTTGATGTCTGGGATCAGGATAAACATGCCCCCAGTGCAGTGAACAAATTGATAGCGGTATTCATCCGGGGTTCGAACTCGGTGGAGATCTGTTTTGGACTCCGGCATCTCAACGACAGCTCGAAGAAATCCGAACCTACAATAGATACAACTATCATCAAAAACAGAAAGAAAGGAGTAGGTTACTCCAGTCTATACAGCAATGTATTGTTGGCAATAAATTCAATATGTTTCATTTTGCTTTTTTAAATCAATTAAAAATCCATTAAAACTGTGAAATAAATGGCATTATCACTATCGCCTGCGATGAAGTGTATCAGATGTTTGTTTGTACATTCCATAAAGCTCGTACACCGAAAACAGGAAGGTAACATCAGACAAAACTTGATTAGCAAATCTCCTGATCTCCCCTGCCCAGTTTGAGAGAACATAATTTGACTTTAACTTTAAGTCCAACTTCATGAGAGAATTTCTCGGTAACCTTTCTGTGTACTAAAGTAGGTATTGAGCGGTCAAAACAATACCATAGAATTGGAGCTTGGGACTTTAATCAGGTTAGTGTGTACATGACATAGAATGTAAATATTTTCCGTAACATTTCTAACCACCCCTAAATAGCAAAAGCCACCAGTCCTCAATTATTTACTGACTGCCATCATATAGCTGGATTATTGCTGAGTGCGGTGTTAAACAACAAACAAACAACACCCCACACCTTCCTTTACTCAGTGATACGACATTTAGGGTGAAGATGTGCGGAAGTAGATACTGGCTCTTTTTATGCCAGACAGCAACTAATAGTTGAATACAATATGTTCTTCAAATCCTCAGTTGATACAGTGAAGCCCCGTTAGTCCGGACTCCGATAATCCGGATGTCTCGTCTCCCGGAAGATTTCAGCTTGTTACCAATCTATGCCTATATAATTTGCCTCGATAATCCGGAAATTCGGTTTCCGGAACCGGACGGTAAGTAGCTGTCACCAATCAGTAAAATAAACAGTAAATTGCTTCACAGTCCGGACGCTGTAAGTCGTGTTCACGAACCGTAACAACACCTCCCGGCGATGTTTACTTAATTAACTGGCCAACTGGGTTGTTGTTTTAATTAGACATTAAAAGCTCCGGACTGAAGATGCTGTACATTTACACTTTGATTGACACCACAATACAAAGGCGTGGATGACAAGTGAGCTGTTTTGTGATTGGTTAATGTACTTTGACAGACAGATGCGGTCACGTGGACTTAAAGAGATTTTGCTTTACGACAATGCTGCAAGTCACAAGTGTGCTTTGCTAACTTTGCAAAATGTGACCAAATACCACGTCTCATATACAACTGATGGATGCAGGAATAATTCGGACATTCAAGGCATACTACAATAGATCGCTTGTTAGACATTACCTCACCTGTGCTGAGGAAGGACGTGATCAGACATGTCGGATCAACATGCGGATGTCACTCGGTAAAATTATTGATGTGATGAATTAAGCTTTACATTAAATGCTTATTTGTTTTATCCAGATTCGTGTCGTTTTTGTAATAGTCTTGGGTCTTGATTCAGTAGTCCGGACTATTCGCAATCCGGACGAATTTACTGAGAAACGCTACCGTCCGGATTAATGAGGCTTCACTGTATATTCAAACAAACTTAAAGGGAATCGAGCAACAACGAGCAGTATCACTGACCTCTGTATGATGGCAAGTTGAAACTGGATGGTCTTCGCCGTCTCTGTATGTCATACTCTGTAAACAGCAAGTCCATGAAACAATGATGATGATGATGGTGCAGTTAATAGAAAGGAGTTAAAGAGATTTAGTCTCTGCTCGTCATACTCTGTGAAACAAATGAGTCCATAAGTTAAAGAATGATGATGATGAGTGGTGCAGTTAATAGAAAGGCAACTGTGAGAATATACCTTTATCCTGAAGAAACATACACACTGTCTGAGCATATCAAAGCAAGCAACTGACCTTCAGAATGTACCATTATCCTGAAGACAGTTGATAGATATACACTGTTTGAGCACATTACATTGCAAGCAACTGACCTGAGAATATACCTTTATCCTGAAGACAGTTGATAGATATACACTGTCTGAGCACATCAAATTGCAAGCAACTGACCTGAGAATATACCGTTATCCTGAAGACAGTTGAAACATACACACTGTCTGAGCATATCAAATTACAAGCAACTGACCTGTGAATGTACTGTTATCCTGAAGACAGTTGATAAATATACACTGTTTGAGCACATTACATTGCAAGCAACTGACCTAAGAATATATCGTTATCCCGAAGATAGTTGAAAGATACATACCATCTGAGGACATCACATTGCAAGCAACTGACCTGAGAATATACCATTATCCGAAGACAGTTGATAGATATACACTGTCTGAGCACATCACATTGCAAGCAACTGACCTGAGAATATACCATTATCCTGAAGACTGTTGATAGATATACACTGTCTGAGCACATCACATTGCAAGCAACTGACCTGAGAATATACCTTTATCCTGAAGACAGTTAACATTGAGTGGTACAAAGATAGGTCCTCGTAGCGGGTCTGAGTTTTGTGTGTAGGGGAGAGCGAAGGGATCAACTGGAACTGGCAGGAGATGGAAGCCACAAGATGTCGCCTTACGAGCCCAGCTGTACACCTGGAATGATAAATAATGGCAACTGTGTTGTCAGTAAGGCTTTCGTGGACTTCTCATTCACGTTACAGCAACTTGCTGTGCAGAGTTATGTCCCTTGGAGAGGACAGAATTCTGTGAATGTGGGTTCAAATCTCAGCTTTACCCTGATTGTGTTTTTTGTCTTCTCAGAAACACCTCATCTTTAGATTTAGGGACCGTTCATAATTTATGGCTAGGGGGGGGTTGATGATGATTTTTATGGAGAAGCTTGTACAATGTGAATGATCCCCCCTAAAATTTATGTACAGAATAAGTGACCCCCCTGCATGTCATGTACAAAATCAATGACCCCCTTCCCCTACCCATAATTTCTAAGCATATTTTTATGTACAAAATTGATGACACCCCTCCCTCCTCCCCCGTCGTGTGCACAAAATTGATGACCCCCTAGCTCGCCAGAACAAAATGGGTGGACACCCCCACCCCCATCATCACACACCACCCCAAGCAATCGATCATGTTTTCTCATAATTGAACACAAACAATTCTGTAACACTTGTTTGCATCAACAATATTTTTCACAAGATTGGATTTGTCTGTAACATTTCATAAGCACAGCAAGCTTGTTCCAAGTCATGATTGAATTTATCTTAAAGACTCCAAGAAATTTATGTTCCTAACATACTAGTCATCCTTTAAAGATGTGAAATTTGCAAATGCATTTTGTACAATTTGCAAGAAAACCCAAAACAACTACATGTTTTTTTCTAGATTGTTTTGTGCATTAACAAACACAGTCAGAAACATCTGATAAATGACGTTAACCAATTATTTTCGATGATTGATCGGTTGTGATGAACCAATCGTCAATTATGAGATTTAAACCAATTCCCAACACTAGTTGCAGCCTGATATTACTTGTGTTGCTAACACAAAGCTACAAGATCTCGGGTTCAAACCCCAATATTTGTGAGTCCTACAGTTCCTAAACTCACCAGATCCCCCAGGAGCCCGCCTGTAGCCACCATCCACTGTATCTGCAGTTCGAAGGCACAGTGAGGACTGTAGTATGCGTGGTACCTGGCCGTTGCCCACTCCGTCCGCTCGCTCTTGCTGTTGATGTCCATGTCCACGTTGACGTACTTGTGATTGCGTGTCGCTGTAATGATAATAATAACAATGATGATTGTGGTGACGATATCAATTATAGTATGTACTCCACACCCTAAAGTATTTTTATTTTCAACTCCATGGGAAGGATACAATCCACGCTGCTTGTGTAGGTTAACAGAGAACACCATCTCATCCAACCTTGCATTATTCACTCACTCACCAAACCAGCGATTGATATCATGAGCAATATACCATGCCATTAGAATTTGATGAAACATAAAACACTGAAAATTTAAAGCAGTTCTATTTCCTCATTTGGCTGGAAGAAAAAACTCAAACATGATTATGGATTGGTTTTAATATTGAAATCCAGTCAGCAATCATTGTTTTATCTGGGCTTGCTAGGACACCGATATGCAGCCATAAGTCTGCAGTAAATGTCATACAAATCTCTAATTGGAATAATAACATTCCAAACATGTTGGGGTGGTGGGATAGTCTATTGGTTAAAGTGTTTGCTCGTCAAGCTGAAGACCCGGGTTCTATATGAAGAGAATGCTATAACGCTCAGTATCATATTTGTAGACTGAATTTATTTATATTACATAAAGTTAAAATATCTTACCATTTAAAAAAATTAACATAAAAAAATACCAAAGAAGAAAATAAAGATTTGATGAAAAATTTGCCTGCCAATCCCAGATAAATAAACATGATGACCTAAATTAACCTGGACAAGACAACCAAGTGACTGACAATGTGAAGAATGGCATCCAAACAGGCTGTAGCTGTCTGTTGTATGTTCCATGAATGTACACAATCCAGTGATCAACACAAAACAATTGGGATACGATGACATGTGTCAACCAAGTCAGCGTTCCTGACCACCCAATCCTGTTAGTTGCCTCTTAAGTGAGTGAGTGAGTGAGTTTAGTTTTACGCCGCACTCAGCAATATTCCAGCTACATGGTGGCGGTCTGTAAATAATCAAGTCTGGACCAGACAATCCAGGGATCAATACCATGAGCATCGATCTGCGCAATTAGGAACCGATGACATGTAGCGAGCCTGACCACCCGATCCTGTTAGTCGTCTCTTACGACAAGCATGGGTTACTAAAGATCAATATTCTAACCCGGACCTTCACGGGTCAGTTGCCTCTTACGACAAGCATGGGTTACTGAAGATCAATTCTATGGATATTCTATGGGTATGGATGTAATGATACAAATGAAGCAAACCATGGTTATAACAAACATGGATACAGCGTCATAACAAAATGAATGATGTACCGATATATGGTCGCTGTTAGGCCAAATGTTTTGTTATTCTTGGGGTGGGTGGAATTACAATTCTAATAAAAAAAATTATTCCTTCTAAATATGGTATGGAAAACAGGAAGACAAAATTGGGTGAGGATTTTTTTCAGAAATATTTTTAGCATGTCTTAAATATTTTTTTAATTAATAAATAATCCATTTTTCAGATTTCTGTGATCAATAAATTTTAAAGTTCCACTATCTGGTTATCATTATAATACAATCTCTATTCTCACCAAATCATTGAGTGAGCGATGAGTGAGTTGGGGTTATGCCTTGAACAGTGTTCTTATCATGATCGACCGCCTCCGTGGTGTAGTGGTTAGAGCGTCTGCCCGGAGAGCGGAAGGTCGCGGGTTCGATCCCCGACCGCGTCATATCAAAAGACGTTAAAATATGGTACTTGTTGGTCCCTGTCTAGGGCTCGGCATTAATGGGTACAACAAGGACTGGTCGGCTCAGAGTCAGTATAATGTGTCTGAGTGGGGTATTCATGCTTCACTGCAGCATGGTATCTCAGTGGGCAAGCACTATAAACCCAGCTTCAGTCTGGGCTAGTACAAGCAGCCGCACATACACATACACACACATGCACGTCGTCATATGAGCGAAATATTCTCAAGCACGACGTTAAACCCAATTTCACCTCACCTCACCTCTAATCATGATCATGGAATGTATGTTTAATGTCAAAAGAAATCCGAAAGTAATACAGGAATTAGACCTTTACAGCTTTGATGAAACCCATTAGCACAGGTATGGTGCTGACATCAAGAAATTGGAGAAAATCAGGTTTCAAAGTAATGTTCACATTAAGGGACATAACTCTGCAGGACCTTAAAGGATTGGCACATCCCAACCCGCTTCAAACCACCAGGCAAGAACTTGGATACTGTTCCATTCAATATCTACACTGAAATCAAATATGATGACTTGGAGAGTAGCAAAGAAGCCTACAGACATGAAAGACCAATTCCAATTGTTCCGTATTGTTTGCTATAACCATGTTTAACTCTATTTCAAACTACCCTCCAGTCTCGGAATATTGACCAAAATTAGCATGTTTAAGTTGGGTTAAGACAATAAGATGTGATATAAGGTTTTGGTTTTATAAAAAGTTACAAGACATTCTGGATGTTTCATGCCTTTTTGATTCTGTAACAAATCATTTGAAATTCTCATTTTCTAAGACCAGATCAGAGTACTAGTGTCAACCTTATTTCACCAGACCTCAGTGCTTGTAGCTAGTCCTACTTGAAAAGACAAATATTTACAGTTTCTGTTTCAACTCTGAGAACTGGTTCAAAATCATCATCGCATGAATATCGTAGCCGAAGGAAGGTTTTGTTCATGAATATTCAAGCAGAAGGAAGGTTTTGTTCATGAATATTGTAGCCAAAGGGATGTTTTGTTCATGAATATTGTAGCCAAAGGGATGTTTTGTTCATGAATATTGTAGCCAAAGGGATGCTTTGTTCATGAATATTGTAGCCAAAGGGATGTTTTGTTCATGAATATTGTAGATAAGGGGGGATTTCTACATGAATATCAATGAATTTCTTTCTATAGGAAGAAGGGAGTCTTGTCATAATGTCACAAACATAATCCTGCCAGTCCATGGAACAAAGTTAATGTGCTGTGACACGTAACAGGCTGTTGTAGCATGCGATAAAATACGACGCCACTGACGTAGCTACACTACTGAATCAGGTGTCAGTTGACTGGTGCTAGGACTGTAAACCAGGACTGTGTGATGATGTTACTCGTGAAAAAGACAACCAACATTAAATAACAAACATTTTTGCTTAGAGTTGCAAGCATAAGAGAGAAAACCCCAAAACACTGTCAACACGATACAGTCAAACTGGACAGGAAAATAAAAAGATCTAGAAAGTCTTATAAAAAAGGAGTAATACATTGGCAGATACCTAAGCACAGAAGGCGAAAGCTTATAAAATCTATGTTCTAGGCATTGAAGAAATTGGCATTTATTTACAGGTTACTTAAAAATGTGTGAAAAAAAGCTGACAACATCTTCAGTGCATGAGAAATGCTAAAAAACATTTAGGTGTCTAATTTTGTCAGTTTCAATTTGATTTAGAAATGTACATGCTCATATGAAACTACTTTACTGAAGTGAAAGTATTTTCAGACTCAAGTTAAGCTGTACATTTGAAATATTTAGCCCTGACACCTCTGTAAACTATTCACCATCTCCCACATCCACACATCTCCACACCCCAACCAACCTATTCCCATCTCTGTGACTCATCTCTGCACTCCAACCAACTAATCCCGATTTCAGGCTCCTATCTCCCACACCCCAACCAACCTATCCCCATTTCAAAGACCCATCTCCACACCCCAACCAACCATTGCCATTTCAAAGACCCATCTCTGCATTCCAAACAACCAATCCCCATTTCAGGGAACCATCTCCACACCCAAACCAACAAATCCCCATTTCAAGGATTCACCCACATCCTAACCAACCTATCCCCATCTCCACAGCCCAACCAACCAATCCCTATCTCCACCCAACGAATTAATCCCATTTCAGGGAACCATCTCCACACCCAAACCAACCAATCCCCTTTTCAAAGACACACCCCACCTCTCAACTTACTCATTCCCATCTTCTCACACCATTCAACCAATCCCTTATCTCAACCAATCTTTTTCCACTTAACTAATTCACTCCTCTTCCTAACCATCCTTTCTACATCTAACCAATCCACCTCCCATCTTTACCATTGTTTCCATTTAACCATCTATCCCCACTCCCAACCAAACTATTCTCATTTAACCAGTAGCGGTGGGGTAGCCTAATGGTTAAAGAGTCTGCTTGTCACACTGAAGACCCGGGTTTGATTTCCTACATGGGTACAATGTGTGAAGCCCATTTCTGGTGTCCCCCAACGTGAGTTTGCTGGAATATTGCTAAAAGTGGAGTAAAACCATACTCACTCACTCACTCATTTAACCAACTTATCGACATTCAGTCAATCCACCTGTCTGTCCCAACCTTCCCAATCCCCATCTGTGTTGGTTACATTTACAACACCACAGATTATCATAGTACTTATTGTTATCAAATTTTTACAAAATTTGAAAGGCTATTGAACACATGTAATTTCATTGATGATGTACTTCAATATACACTAATGCACATTATCAATACAAAATCAATAAATTAATAATCAAAATACACAAATGATATTGACAACATAATGGTCACAGAAATACATGTAACACGCATTGCTATTTGGCCACTATCCATCTATTGCTAAGCTTGACCTCAATGGCTCATGACCTGCCAAAATATACAATAAGGCAAGATATTTTAGGATGACAGCTTCTTTCTTCTACTGTGATGCAACATTTCGGTATAAATCCTTACACTGTTGTCAGGCAAGAGGGAGCGAGTTTAGTTTTACGCTGCTTTTAGCAATATTCCAACAATATCACAGTGGTGACACCAGGAATGAGCTTCACACATTGTACCCATGTGGGGAATCGAACCCGGGGCTTCGGTGTGAGGAGTGAACACTTTCACCATTAGGCTACCCATATTCACTCACTCACACTTTCTTGACAACGGTATTAGGATCTGTACACAAACGTCAAATCATACAGGATAACAGTATTGAATAAAGTTATAAAAAACAAGTTGTCATTCATAAAATATCTTGCTTTTACTGTTACTTACCAACTTGTAATGCCAATCAGACTGCACACAACAGTCTCACACAACAATCTAGGCCATTGCTACGCTAAAACATAGACTAAATATCTACACATTCTTAAATGCAAGTGGGAGCCCATACACCCTTCACAACAAATAGACTCTTCCATTTTTTGAAAACTGCATTGATATGATGATGTTTGTTGGGTTATACTCAATGTTTCTAGGTGTGAAAGGGTACTAAGTACATTTCAAAGCTTAATTAACCCATACCTTGCTCATGAAATCTTCTATGCTATATAAAAGTCTACTATAGCAACCTTCAACAAGTAGTACCTCCACCTAATACTGCCAGGTTTGGCTAGTAATCATTCACCTGTTAAAAAATCTTCCCACAAAACCAAAACATTTTCACTTTCATATCTAGGCTGCTATATAGAGGGAACCTCACCTTGGTGAGTTTTGATATGCTCAATATCAAGCCACACCACAGTCAGATTCTAGTTATCAACCAAGGCCATTCTTCAAACTATCCTTCCAACATTTTACACTTTGTAAACAACATAAAACATTGTCTTGAGTGTAAAATGAACAGCTAAGAGGCCGAGAGATAACTGATGTAATTTGATTGTGATGTCATGTAATCGATTTGGTTCCAAAGGACAGCAAAGCATTGTGATACAATTTCATTGATTCGATATCTCCTTTGGAAGCTAATATTGGATGATAAACCGACTTATTGTTTGAAGCCTATTCATTGTCTTTCTACTTAATCTTGATCAATCTATGAGTAATTCTTTTACAGATTTTCTGTGTAGGAGGCCATCTTGCCAGTGTTGATTCATTTTGAATTTACTGAAGAAAAAGCTTCCACAATATGAAAATAAGAAAGATCTTTAAAAACAATTCCAACCCACAAGTCTTTGTTTTTCCTACTGCCTGTGTTGTTAATTAGAAGAGTTGTCTCAGTTCAAGGTGCAGAATGAGAGTTACCTCCCTTCAAACATGGCTTAAGATGCTGACAAATGTGAGGTCAAGAGAAAAATGATTGTGCCTTTGTTAATTACTTAGCATACTTGTTAAATATTACTTGGCAGATTTTCTGGAAGATTATTTGAGTTGGTATTGGAGAGTTAATGTCTTTCCCCCCAATATTTTTCTGCCATTTTCAATGTTCTTGGAAAGTCAGAACGGTGAGCGCCATAAAACAATGTGATAAAATGATGCTAACAAACTCTCTGATACAACTAGAATGGCTGTTTTCAAACATAACATTTGATTCTTTCATATCATTAGAGTTCATCAGTAACTAAAGCAACAGGAAAGAATCGGGTAATTCTTACTTTTTTCGAGTAGTAATCATACAAATTGTTGGGTAACTTCAGCGACTCGACGCAAAGTATGGAAGTTCCCTTTGACGATGAACGTAACAGTGGACAAAAAAGCCAACAATAACATTGTGCAATAAAAAACAGATCCTGTGACTAGACAGTAGGCAGGTAAGCGTGTTTAGACACCAAGTAAGTAAAGTTGTGAGTTAGCTTACCCTCCAAATGAGATAATGCTTACCTTTTTGTGCACAAATGTTCAACTTGCCTGCAAACAACAGTTAAATGAGCACACACTTCACCACACAACTAGTGTTAGGTCAAACAATACAAGAGTTGTTTCTGTCTGAACCTTACATCTGATCAGACAACAAAGGATTAATATTTGTCTAATTCAGATAAGTTCAGACAAACATATTTATTTGTATTAGATATATGTACAAATATATATTTTATTGATATTTAAGCTGATAGTTCTGGCAGAGTATTGTCAGAGATTTATCTGATTCTGCCCCAAACCCGGTATTCAACAACAAGTCTGCAGCAAACGTCAGTTCAATATTGTTGAAGAGGTCTTCGCACAGGTACTACAGATGTGTGTACCCCAGTTATGTTTCTGTAAACAGAAACGTACCCTAGCCTAGATCTGGATACAGAAAAGTACCCTAGAATGAGTCAAAACTGCACCATTTTCTTGATCTAAACTGTCATACTATTGTATTAGATGCATACGATTGTGTTATATAAGATTCGAGCATACAAAGTAACAAATATTTTTTGCCATGCACAGCACTTAACAGGAACAACTACATACGGTTTTGGTTTTGGGTTGCGGAATATGGACTCGTCCGACTTTAGGGTAGCAGTTGCATTTCTCTATTTTGAATTTGTTTAGGGTACATTTCTGTATATATCTGTTGTACCTGTGATGACAATGACCCAAATTTTCAATTCTTTTAAAAACTGATAAAAACCGATGAGAACTGCATTCCCCATGACCAACAAAGAGGAAGAGGCTTTGAATCAGAAATGTCATTACTGCATTGGGTGCAATATCAAAACACAATCTGTAAATAGCTTTAAAATTGAGAAACAGAAACTCAGAATATAGACAAAATGAGCCATATCGAGGCGATCTTTAAATAAATCGAGTCTGGACCAGAAAATCCAGTGATCAACAGAATGAGCATCGTTCTATGAAGTTGGGATATGATGAAAAGTCAGCGAGTCTGACCATGTGACCCCGTTTGTTACTGAAGACCCAATCTAACCTGGATCTTCAAGGATACTTGTTTGATTGAATTAGTTCAGATCATGAACATAGCCAGTCTGAACAAATGTCTGATGAATCAACAAACTGTAATTCAGACAGCATGACACAAAAACTCGACATGATTCCTCTTCAGTATGGACTGACTGAATAAAACACAAACATGGCTACCTACATCTGGTGCAGATTATATTTCACAGCAAAAACTCATTAATGGATTAAAGATTGTTGGATTGAGGGACAGAATTGACTCCCCTTGAGACTAGCTTCACAAATAACAATGTTATGGATACCAAAACTTCAACAAACATGGCTGTTAATTGCACCGCAACTGCATGCTGTACAACTTGTTATCAAACACGTCTTACAAAGATTCTCCTCAGTTTTCCTGAAAACTAGTTATCACTCTTACAAAACACCCACTGGAGTCCATAAACCTAACTTTTTAACAAACAATTTCAAGAATACAGGGGCTTGTCTAGACCTGTCCATAAAGCTGATATTTAGACCTATCTAGACCTGTCCATATCCCAAACCTGTAACAAATGTTAGTAAACCTTCCCACACTGGTACAAAAAATATCCCAGTAAACACGCTAACACACTGATAATACTAACTACTGTTATGGGTTGGTGGATGTATCTGATAGACATAGACAATAGAAACAAAAGGGACGACTTCAGCACTTCGTCTTACAACATTGCATTGAATAAAGTATTAGAATACCTCACAATTTGGGGGAATATAAACTTCAAAATCTCAACATAAAACCAAATAATTATTATTTTCCCCAGTTTTTGCTGATGAAACATATTTTAGAATCCTACATTACTCCTTGCAACTGATGAAGAGGGTTCTCTGGATGCAAGTGAATTACATTAAAAAGTAGCAAGCTCATGCTCCCTATTCACAGTTGATATCTGTCGCTCTCCGACATGGTTTCCGTAGTGACAGGAACGACAACTCTTGATTGTAAGATGTCCGAGGTGAACTCACCTAGCTGTTGACCCCAGCCCTGTTTGTTGAGGTCAGTCTCGACCCGCCAGTCAACATGGGCCTTGATGTCTCGCTCGGGGCTGTCTCCGCTGGGGAGGTAGAACTTGTCCCGTTTAGGAGCATCCTCATCATCGTGAAGCACCGTCACCTCACAGAACTCATTCTGGAAACACATGTTGTAGGGGCAGGAGGCGTTCGGGAGGTTCAGGATGTCTGAAACAGAGTGAGTGAGGGGTTAAGTGAGTGAGTTTAACGGAATGAGTGAGTGACAGAGGGATGAAGGGAGGGAGAGCAACAGAACAACTAAGTTATCAATCAATATGAGTGATACATGGAAAACTGTTGGTGGTAACTGCTGAGTAACTTGTGTATGGTTCACTACTCCCCTCCCCATCCGTTATCCCCAGTGTGTGACTCACCAGGTTTGCCTTTAGAAGGTGGGATGAAATAGAGGTAGAAACCGAAGATGAACTTGTGTTTCGGGTTGCCGGATCGTGTAGGATCAGTTTGTCATCCACCAGCTCCTGAAAGGGATACAACCAAAATAACTCCACACAATGATGCTGAGTGACATTCAGGATAATCAGAGGTATTATCATGCCTCATACATGAATGTTGTTTTCTGACTGGCCGAACACTCTTATATTATTTTCAATATACCCGGATTACAAGCGAGTAACATTTTCCATGTACCCCGCTGGTAATGCCGAACTCATTTGGTACTTCGTGGTAGTAATTCTTTATCTCAAATAACATTGAATCATGTATGATGTACGGATATTACTGATGTTTTGCGAATGCAAATTGATGGAAGGGAGATAACTCTAAATTTGTTTTTCTTGTCGTCTGGTACTCCAAACTATGATCCAATACCCGTGCTTCAAACAGTTCAAAATTACCATTGAGGTGTTCGGTACGATAAACATGTTTTTCACTGGTCCTTCGGGGCCCATGGGTTGATGCACCCTCGATGTTTCTCATAAACAAACATCGAGGGTACATCAGCCCATGGGCACCTTGAGACCAGTGAGCGACTTATAATGTATGATGCAGGCAGGGAGTGCACTATTGACCTTTTGTTCTCCAAGCAGGAGTCCATTATGACACAGAGGTCCTCTCCAGACAGACTTGACAACTCCACTAAACAACAGACTCTCTCTCCCCGCAGACTATCCGCTAGACCAAGGAGGTCGCCCTCTATAGTCCGTTTGTCTCAAAAGCGGACCGATGAATTGCAATCTAACTCGAAAACTAATAAACATAACATACTCAATGAAACGTTGATCATAATCAAAACATCATACCCACTCTGTGAGGTTTTTTGCAGAATTTTTGTCCTAAAAATAAAAAAGTTGTTTAACAAACTATCATTAAAATATTGACACAGTTCACTATTTGTTACGAGGGAGGAGTGCAGAGAAAGGGACAGCCAGGTGTTCAAGAAGCACGTTCACAGACAAAGTTATTTATTCATAAACCTGTGCTGTGCCGTCTCCATCCGTTCTCGAACACCTGGCTGTCCCTTTCTCTGCACTCCTCCCTCGTAACAAATAGTGAACTGTGTCAATATTTTAATGAAAGTTTGTTAAACAACTTTTTTATTTTTAGGACAAAAATTCTACAAAAACCTCACAAAGTGGGTATGATGTTTTGATTATGATCAGCGTTTCATTGAGTATGTTATGTTTATTAGTTTTCGAGTTAGATTGCAATTCATCGGTCCGCTTTTGAACCAAACAGACTATATTTGTGTTTAAACCAGTGAGACCCAGTTGACATACCTGCAGTTTGTCCACAGCATCCTTGGTTGACTCTATCCCAGCAATGTACATCTGACACCACAACACAGCCTCCCGCTGAGATGAATGTGTTGATGGTCAGACCGGGCTGCTTGGGCAGGAAGGCGAAACCAGTCCTAGAACAAAGGCACAGAAGATAGGTGATTAGTTGGAGATTATTTACCACTGTGTTCATAATGGTGGACATATTTTGGCTAATGGATCTTTTAAACCAAGGCCAGGCTGTTCTTTGCACAGCTCTGGCTAAGGGAACACTCTACACAGCACGTTACTGCACCCACAAACCACTAGGTCACCTGGCCCTCTATTCTCGTAAAACCTTAGGTTCAAACTCATTAACAGTTTATTTTTGCGTGACTAAGGGAAGAAACTCTACACGGGAAGATACAGCCACTCCCAATAAAGACAATGGGACAGATTTCCCTTTACCCTTGTAAAATGTATGTTGTTGTATGATCCCCAGGGAGTTGAGATTGACAATACGATGTGCCGTTGAGATTGACATCCAGTGAACGAGGGAAAAACAAAGAGCCTTTGAGCAGCTGAGCTGAGCTGGATATCGGCGCTATACAAATGTTTGTCTGTCTGTCTGTCTGTCTGTCTGTCTGTGTGTCTGTCTGTCTGTCTGTATGTCTGTATGTATGTATGTATGTCTGTATGTATGTGCGTATGTATGTATGTATGTATGTTAGTATGTCTGTATGTATGTATGTATGTATGTATGTATGTATGTATGTCTGTCTGTCTGTCTGTCTGTATGTCTGTATGTATGTAAAATGTGGAATTAAAACAAAACATAAGATCAGTGGATTCAAACCCATGATCTTTGTAAGGCTAATGGAAGGAACTTCTGAAATAAAGGGAATAAATGAATGAATTATACAGAATCTCAAATTTATTTTGGTGTAGAATATATATATACTCCTCGATATAATTTACAAACTCTCATGTTTTACTTGTGTTCATATATTTTATATATATAAAGAGTGTGATTCTATTTATCATCCAAAAGTCATTCTTCAAACTGATTACTGACTTCAGTAGCAGATTGATGTCATTTGATTGTCATGGCAACTGATGACAACAAGATGGTCACCAAAGCACTCAAGATACAATTTTGTTGTTGAGATATATCTCCGATGAGAGATCACTTCATCTCAATGAAGCGATATTTCCTTGAAACCCAGTTATGGATGATAATGGTGGACCTAGTATTTCTAAAGGAAGAAGGATTTAAAGGAAGAAAGGGTTTTGAAAGAAATATAACAACCCAGGCATTTCAAATGAACTTCAAGTCTTCAGCCACTTACTGTGCATCTGTGAAGGCCTCTATCAACTTGGCTGCAGGGGTGCTTCGAGACAGACCTTCGTCCTTGGAGCTGCCCTTTTGACTGCAAAACCCAAAATACATTCACAGTCATGGCAGTGTGGTTTAACCACAGACATAATCATATGTTATACCCAACATTTGAAATAGAATGTAATTCAAATGAAGCCAATAAATAGAGGACACTAAACGACCTTCCCTGTAATACCATTTTTATTAAACGAGTTAATGATTTGGTATCAAACGAGCAAACACGAGTTTGATGCTAAATCTTTCACGAGTTTGATAAAAATGGTATTTCATGGAAGCCAGGATATTATTCTGTTTATTACTCTCCAACATAAATTGATAGAAACTGCTGACAGTGTGCTGACTCAGCCTTCCGCGAGTCAAGCAAGGTCTAATACCATTGTGACAGGGGTATTAGCATTGTGACGTCATAACTATAAACCATTATGACGTCATATGTCTAGCGGTATTACACTAGTGTAATATTGACGTACAAATATTACACTGCAGTATCTTCCACGGGAGAGTAATAATGGCCACAATGCAAGAATCTGTCAGAATTTAATCGTTCAGTCTGTGACTTTATCAACTAATCCGAAGCACGTGTCATGGTCTTTCACATTAGTGGTGTACATTATCTCTGACCAGGCAATTGTCCTCTGAAGATGATCTTACTATCCAGCTCAAATGGTGTTAACTAAAGAAAGATAGAATAACCACATGACAAAACATATGTACATCTCTGAGTATTTAGTTCCCAAGCTTGTACTTAACATGACTGTATTAAAGAACTAATGGTGCTATAGGGTTTCTCAACTGTTTGTTACTTTAGCTCGTCAACATTAAGCCATCATTGATACACCACTCACCTGTCTGTCTCCTGTTTGCCAGGGCTGGTCTCGCCACTGCCGGCAGTTCCGTCCGGCTGGAGCTGTCAATGTGATCAGTTTACACATTCTTCCATACAGTCTGAGGTTCAGGTTGAATTTGGTGGTTCAATATCACTAGTATTGATCTCATATAAAGTCTGTAATTGCTTTATAATGATACACCGACAGAAAACATCAACTTATGTCAACTACAATAGTCAGGAGTTCCAAGGAACAGAGACATCTGATTGGCTTAGGTTTAGGGAATACCCCATGAGGGGAATTCCCATTCTATTTTTAGTACAAGTTTTGGCAGTAAATAATTAGGCATGATTTGGAGTCAATATGTGTTTCTGTCAAATGATACCAACAGCAGATACCAATGAGTGTGTTTCTGACTTGCAAATATCAAATATTTAGAATAAATATGAACGCATAAGTAAGATTAATAATATATGGCATTTATGATATGACCACACTTGGATAATAATCTGTATATATTTGTTCATTTTTTGGATGTTGCTTGTAACTAATCAATAACGTTCTAATTACCAGCAAAGGGCACACAGCCATAAAAAATAATCCTCAAAGTATTGAGGCTATGTATCTGTTCATATTTTTTTGATATGGGTAAAATGAGTGAAGCCCATTTCTGGTGTCCCCTGCCATGATATTGCTGGAATATTGCTAAAGCGGCTTAAAATCAAACTCACTCACTCACTTATAACTTTTTGACGGAAGTTCAACAACTATCAAGAATTATACAACACAAAAACGTTAAATAATAAAGAAACGGAACAAAAGTATATGTCTTTTTATTGAACTCACGTATGAAACATGTATTCTCATCCGATGTGTTGCTGTAGACAAAGTTTTCTAAACGCATACAATGGTAGCGATAACAAAATGATATCTTCTGTGAAAGTGAGTTTTGGATAAACACAGCTAGTTAAGTGAAGGTTGCATTGACTGACCTTTGACCTGCGAGCTTGATGGGTTCGCTTGAGCTTGTTGATAGTCTCCAGGTAACGGACGAAGCCGAGATGAGAGTCTTCACCTCCTGGTGGGACCTCTTCTCATAGATGTCACATCTAACAACAAGCCTCCAGATAATTATTTCAGGCTTTGAGTATCAACTCAGAACTCACAGTATTTGACAGTTTTTCTTGGGTACTAGATATGTCTTTCACCTCCCTTGGGTCCAGCAGGTAGACATTTGTAAAAATACTGTGACTATATATATATATATATATATATATTGCTGTTTCAGGCGATTTCTATTTTTTCACAAGCTGCCCCCCTGTCACAGAAACTCAATGTTTATTGTGTTACAGTTATTTATGTTGTATTTTCTGGAGCTTTGTGACAACAAACATTATTAAATGTACTAGGAAATATTAATAATAATCACTGTCATGTTTCCAGTCTCAATCTACCGGGTACCCATTCAGTGATGGGTGGTGAAGTGAGGCATGTGTCCTTAAGAGACATTATACAAAACTAGTGTTTCAGTGTGGAGCAGGCCCAAAGCATTGAAATACTGTCAGTAGTCTAATTCGTCAGACACAGTCCCCATGACAAACATAGATAACTTCGCCTGTCTACACAGAAACACGTGCCTCTTAAAAGGTACAAGGTCATGATATGTCTTATACAGAAGCATCTTGCATCAGCTCCCTCATCCTGAATAGAAGTCAACTCACCTATGATGTCCCTCTATGATTTTCTTCGTTGCAGAGTTGTTGCTAGGCAACAGGAAAAAGCGACTTCGCCAGTACTTGAGTGACTGTAGACAAAAGACAAGGGTCTCATTCAAACACAAATGTAACACAAAAATAATTGTGGAAATTTTGCAATGCAGGTTAGTTTTGTCTGATCACATTTAAAGAGAAAACTGGTGTTGAAGACAAGTTGGGATCAGTAGACGCAGGTTTTGTTGATTGACCTATCAAGACCTATTCCCGACATCCAAGAGATCTCAGCTCCTGATCTCCATGAGATCTATGTCCCTGACCTCCATGAGATCTATCTCCCTGACCTGAACGAGATCTATGTCCCTGACTTCCACGAGATCTATGTCCCTTACCTCCATGAGATCTATGTCCCTGACCTCCATGAGATCTACCTCCATGAGATCTATGTCCCTGACCTCCATGAGATCTATGTCCCTGACCTGAACGAGATCTATGTCCCTGACTTCCACGAGATCTATGTCCCTTACCTCCACAAGATCTATGTCCCTGACCTCCACGAGATTCATGTCCCTGACCTCCATGCCCCTGACCTCCATGAGGTCCAAGTCCACGAGCTCTAAGCCCATGACCTCCAGGAGATCTATGTCCCGGATGTCCATGAGATCTATGTCCCTGACCTCCATGAGATCTATGTCCCGGATGTCCATGAGATCTATGTCCCTTACCTCCAGGAGATCTATGTCCTGGATGTCCATGAGATCTATGTCCCTGACCTCCAGGAGATCTATGTCCCGGATGTCCATGAGATCTATGTCCCTGACCTCCATGAGATCTAAGCAAGATATAAGCAAATGACCCCCATGAATCCTATACCCAAGACTTCCCGAGTACTATGCCCTTCACCTCCACGATTGCTATGATGCTGTACCCATAAGTAACTTCGTTTCCCTTGAGGATAAGGAGATTTATGATGCTGACCTCTAAACAATTTATGCCCCTTGCCCCCACAAATCCAGTCTCCCAGACCCCCATGATTCCAAGCCCCTGACCTCCACAAGTCCGAAGTCGCCCTCCCCGCGGGTACAGATGTAGTGGTCGAGGTGGTTCCACACATAGTTCTCAAGCTTCTCGTTGCTGAACTCAGTCCATGACACGTCGTAGCTGTAGGAGTCCGGGGCCTGGAACCGGTACTGGTACTTGAAGTGCAGCTGGGGCTGGTTGTGTCTGAAATACCATGAGTCAGTGAGTTTAGTTTTATGTCACTTTTAGCAATATTCCAACAATATCATGGTGGGGAACCCCAGCTATGGGCTTCACACATTGTATCCATGTGGAGAATCGAACACAGGTCTTCGGGGTGATGAGCGGATGCTTTATCTACTTGGCTAGCCCACCGCCCCTTCTGAAACAGAAGGGTCGGGTCATTGTCCTGAAGAACAGGCTGCATGTGCGAGATACACAGATGGGTTAATGTACTGTCATAAGGAAATAGGCTGGTCTTACTGAATCAACTGCTTTTGTGTATCTCACTTGAAATGAACTTAACCATGAGGCAGTACCTCTGCAATATCAGATACTATTTGTATGACAACACTTCCAATGTCTTGAGACTGCCTCCGTGGTGTATTGGTTAGAGCGTCCACCCAGAGAGTGGAATTTCGCGGTTCGATCCCTGTCCACGTCATACCAAAAGACGTTTAGGTACTTGATGGTCCCTGCCTGGCGCTCGGCGTTAATGGGTACAACAAGGACTGGTCGGCTCAGAGTCAGTATAATGTGTCTGAGTGGGGTATTCATGCTTCACTGCGGCATGGTATTTCAGTGAGCTAGCACTATAAAACCAGCTTAAGTCTGGGCTAGTACAAGCAGCCACACATACACATGCATGCATTATCAAGTACGATGTTAAACCCAATTTCACCTCGCCTCACCAATGTCTTGTTCAGCAACGTTAAGTAGTAATATGAAGCTAGTGACAAAGCGAGTTGGTTTGGATGGTATTTCAGTTACAAGGTCAAGGCTGAGGCTGGCTTTACCAGTTTGGCACTCCATGGATCATTAATATGGTGATTTTGAGCCTCTGGGTCCTGGCAAAGCTAAGGGAAGCAACTCTGTAACAACAATTCCCCCTTACCTAGGTCTGTATCTGGTCACTGTGATGGTTGGCCCAGTCAGGTTCAGTTTGTGGAAGATGCGGCCGATACTTAGGTAATATTCTTCCTGGAAACAGAAACAGTGAGTGAGTGAGTGAGTGAGTGAGTGATGGTGAGTGAGTGAGTGAGTGAGTGAGTGAGTGAGTGAGTGAGTGAGTGAGTGAGTGAGTGAGTGAGTGAGTGAGTGAGTGAGTGAGTGAGTGAGTGAGTGAGTGAGTGAGTGAGTGAGTGAGTGAGTGAGTGAGTGTTGGTGAACACTTTAGTCTCCATTTAACTCAGCAATATCATACTTGTATGGCAACAGACAGTAAATAATTGAGTCTGTACAAGTGACTGAGTAAGGTTTTACACCGCTCATAGCAATATTCCAATATCATGGCGAGGGCTTCATGCATTGTACCCATGTGGGACTTCGGCATGACAAGCGAATGCTTGAAACATTAGGCTACTCCACCGCTCCCAAGGTAAAGACTGATAGTATAAGTGACATGTATCAGGTCCTCATAGACTGTCAACAGACTTGGTTGACTGTGCGTCACTGTAGTCTGTCGGCTTGGATATTTGCTTCTAATATCTATCACTGGTTGTCCACACTTGATTATATACATGTCTCGCAATAACGAGCGAGTGAGTGAGTATCGTTTTACTCCGCTCTTAGCAATATTCCAGCAATATCATGGCAGGGGACACCAGAAATGGGCTTCACACATTATACCCATGTGGGGAATCAAACCTAGGTCTTCTGCATGACGAGTGAATGCTTTAACCACTAGGCTACCGTGATGGCCACTAGCCATAGCATCAACTGAGGACAGGATACAAGGGTATTTACCGATTGTTCGACGCGAGCCCGGGCCCGAGTGAGAACTGTTGCATGATGGTATTGTGGACTTGATCCAAGTGTGGTATTCTCTCTCGGGGAGCTGGATCTAGAGAACTTGATCAACTGGAAGCCCTGGAGAGAAACAAGTGACCCTCAATATTTATATTGTATGGTAATCTTGAACCCCACCACCATGCAAGTTTGGAAAAGAATGTCATGTTCTTGTTCATCTGAACCAGTCAGACTTGCACTACAGTATAGTTGTGACAACATCATCTAAAACAGGGGCGGTGGGGTAGCTAGTGGTTAAAGCGTTGGCTCATCACGCCGAGGAACCGGGTTCGAATCCCCACATGGGTACAATGTGTGAAGCCCTTATCTGGTGTCCCCCGCCGTGATGTTGATGGAATATTGCTAAAAGCGGCGTAAAACCAAAACTCAGTGAGTTATCTGAAACAAAGCCCTGCCTACTCCAACATCAGCAAGTTGAGAGTGAGTGAGTGAGTTTGGTTTTACGCCACTTTTAGCAATATTCCAGCAATATCACAGCAGGGAAATTCAGAAATGGGCTTCACACATTGAACCCATGTGGAGAATCGAAACCCAGGCTTTCGGCGTGACAAGCAAATGCTTAACCACTACGCTACCCCACCGCCCCAGCAAGTTGAGAAAAACGTTGATGTGGCATTATGCATAAGTCACACATTGAACCCATGTGGAGAATCGAAACCCAGGCTATTGGCATGACAAGCAAACGCTTAACCACTACACTACCCTACAGCCTCAGCAAGTTGAGAAAAAAGTTGATGTGGCATTATGCATAAGTCAATCAGATTACATACATCTGGGTTATACGTTCAAAGAAGTGTGGATACCTGTGCGAGTCGCTGGAAGACCAGTTCTCGGAACACATGAACGGTGCTGAGTGGCTTGCTGCGGAAGAACGCCTCGTCCTCAGATGGGGGGTTCCTTCTGATACATCGAACAATAGAATTAATATTCAACATGCTCATGCACAGAAGACAAAATGAGATGCAAAATACGAAACGCAGAATTGCCTGCCACATAGCGACATACTTCATATGACATTCATTCACTGATTGATGTTCAAAATAGCAGTTTCACTATAAGACAATTATTTGAAAGTCAGCAAAAAATGATGATAATATTTGATTTATTCTGAAATCTAAAACAAGATACAGTGTTCAAAATTAAGGGTGTTCTTGGGTCCTTAAGGGTTGTGAGACCCCAGATATCCAGACACATTCGTTTTTGCGCGAATCGTCCGGATAACTGAATATCTGGATATCTGGATTTCTGTCATCCAGGCTTAGGTGTTGAAACGGTAGCGAGCATACACTTCTGGTTTAAAACCACTTCCAAAACAGCATGGTTGTTTTGATTTGCCAATTACAATTCACTCTGTGCCAGATAGGCCTACTAATCATCACCAATACCCTGCTAATCGGTCATTAATCCGGATTAGCAGACCTTTGTCTCATGTCAAGACCGTGGGACACTCGGCTTCACTTCACACGGTCAAGCGGAAGATCAAAGCTTCGATGCGTGTATAAGTGAGTCAATTTTGTGTTGATTTACCCGGTTGGTTTGTAAAATTTACCGTCGGGAGCGGAAAACGCATATAACGTAAGAGATTGTTTTTGTGAAAATTGACCGAAGGCGAGGTTTTCGGATATTTGGGGTCGGGTATGGTGGGGTCTCACTGTACTACTAAAACATTTAAGAATTACACAAATTCTTTATATTGCTACAGTTCACCTGTAATGACATATTAGTAGTAATTTGTTCACCCAGCAGAAAATGGGTACCCGGTGGAATAAGTCATATGACTATTAACCTTCTAGAGCCTCACAGGCAGCTTGGGTTATCTGGGGTAATAATGTCTATCATGTTACATGCACTTAGAGTATACCAGTGCGGTGTGGAGTTCAGAGCCATATAAGTGGCCTTATTATCATTATTATTATTACAGCAATTTTAAAGGATCCAGTGATCCTAATCTTTTTCAGTAGTATATTTGAATTTAAGGAGCCGAAAATGTTCAACTTAACAAAGGGTCATGACAAGGATCCCAAGGTATTCACGCTTAATTCTGAGCACTGGATTTTCATCAAGTCCTACTCTCTAGCTATTTCAGCATTGGCGTCATCAGGCAGCAGGTTATAGTCAGACACCGCGTGAGTCGTAATGAAGGCTAAGCTGGTCGGGAAGAAGTCAGTTGTCGTTGGCAGTGAAGCCGGGATTGTCAGCGACTTCCAGTCAACACCTGAAAATACATTCACCACTGTAAGTCTCTTTGAAGCTATGATCTAGCTTAAATCCTGGATCTACATAGCAATGTCTAAATTAACATGATTGGAAATCTCATACTTCATAAACAACATAAAACAGCTGTAGTACTAAGATGATCGTAACTCCTATACTTTAACATTGACTAATGACAGTTGTAGTACTAAGATGATTGTAACTCCTATACTTTAACATTGACTAATGACAGTTGTAGTACTAAGATGATCGTAACTTCTATACTTTAACACTGACTAATGACAGCTGTAGTACTAAGATGATCGTAACTCCTATACTTTAACACTGACTAATGACAGCTGTAGTACTAAGATGATCGTAACTCCTATACTTTAAACACTGACTCATGACCCTAGTGCTAAGATGATCGTAACTTTCTATAAATTAACAATAACTAAACACAGTCATAATGTTAAGATGATTGTAACTCAAATGCTTTGACATAGACTAAAGAGAGTTGTGGTGCTAAGATATTCATAACTCCTATCCCTTAACATATACTAAAGAGAAAGAGAGTTAGAACTTAAAGAGAGTTGTGGTGCTAAGATGATCGAACTCCTATACCTTAACATAGACTAAAGAGAGTTGTGGTGCTAAGATGATCGGAACTCCTACACATCAACGTAGACTTTTGACAGAGGATCATAATACCTATACTTTAACATAGGGTTAGTGCCTGTGACCACAACTCTCCCAGTTTAACCTTAATCAGTTGTTGGTTTATAATCTCTTCATGGAGCGGGGCCCAGTCCTACATTATCTTGAAGTAAACGACCATGTATGCTTGCAATAAACATACCTTTCCTGTTGCCTAGAACACATTGACTTTTGCAGATTTAAAACAATAAGACTGTAACATAGTCTTGTTGCTATGGTATTGGTAACCATGACAACAGCAAGTCATGCCATATCACTATGGTATGGTGCAGTTTTCATGCAGAATATGATTCTAATGGCTGACTAATCCATGCATGAATCACAACTATATACGACAACACCAACAATATTTAATAAAGCTAAACCTTGGCTAAAGGTGACTACTGTGATTAATGTTGCTATGGTAACAAAAGACCATTCCATGCAAAAAAATATGAAAAAGTCAAAAGTTTCCAATGGAGTTACCACTTCCTATTACTGTATCACCAACAAATGATTTCCATGGAAACAATCAATCTTCCCGATAAACTTGCAACACTAACGAAATGGTGAAAGTGACTGTTTCCATGGAAACCTGCTATATCTAATGCTACATCAGTTACTATTCCTATGTTAATTGTATCTAAAGAATACCATTGCAACAAGTGATGTTCTCACTTAACATGTGTTGCTATGGTGACTGTTTCCTTGACAACCAATTCTATGTTATATATTTCAATCACATCAAGACTATGACCCCATGCAGAGACAGTGTAGTAGTCAAGTTGGTATTTCTAAGTTAAGTTTGAAATTAGCCAACATGTTTATGTACCAATAATGTAATAAATCTGCATCACTGGAATTGTATATTCATAACTTGCAAGAGTGCAATATAAATAAATTAGTAAAACAGTTACAAATTATTTCAATCTTTCACTATTAGCCAAGGTACAACAAATCTGTAATTATTGCAAAACTGACAGTAAGATAACCGTTAATTGCCAATCGTGCAAAAATTGGCAATATATAACACAACAGTCAACTGTCAAGCTTGCAAAACTGACAATAACACAAAAGTCAAATGTCAATCTTGCAAAACTGACAATAACACAACAGTCAATCTTTCAAAACTGATAACACAACAGTCAACTGTCAAATTTGCAGCATCAGCAAGAGTACGTTGTTATCTTTCAACTGTGCACTATATATAGCCGGAGTGTGATAGCAGTCATACAATAACAAGACAAGAACAGTTCAACCTGATGCTACTTATCTTTGTAGAACAGTAAACAGTCAACATTACATGACTAGCCATACAATAATAAGAGGTTACTACATGACAATTTTCCTTTCACCAGTCATATCAGCCTGAGACTACCGACTGGCGAATGGGAAACTGTCATATCATAACCTCTTTATCGTATACCACATCAAGGGACGTAACTCTAAAATAAACTATATTCTGTCTATTGAAGTCTCAAGAGTTTGCGTGTATTCATTCCGTACCAGTTTAGTAGCCGGCCAATACGGCCTAGGGCTGATATGGCTGATATGCATTTTCGGCCCGGGTGGTCAATATGGACATATGCCAACAGCCAGTATTGCATGTGCAAAATGGTCCATATTATCCATAGGTATATCATAAAAGATCATATCAAACTTGTAATCCTATTAAATGTAAAACAGTCAATGGTTTTTATTACATGACTAGCCATACAATACAAGACCATATTAAAGTTGTACTCCAAGTAATCGTGGAACAGTCAATGGTTTTTATTACATGACTAGCCATACAATACAAGACCATATTAAAGTTGTACTCCAAGTAATCGTAAAACAGAGAACAGTCAATGGTTTTTATTACATGACTAGCCATACAATACAAGACCATATTAAACTTGTACTCCTAGTAATTGTAAAACAGCAAACAGTCAATATCATATGACTAGCCATACAATACTAGATCATATTAAAGTTGTACTCTAAGTAATCAGTAGAACAGTCAATGGTTTTATTACAGGACAAGCCATACAATAGAAGACCACATTAAAGTTGTAGTCCCTAGTAATCGTAGAACAGTCAATAGTTTTTTATTACAGGACTAGCTATACAATAGAAGACCAAATTAAAGTTGTATTCCTAGTAATGCATTAGAACAGTCAATAGTTTTTATTACAGGACTAGCCATACAATAGAAGACCACATTAAAGTTGTACTTCTAGTTATCGTAGAACAGTCAATGGTTTTATTACAGGACTAGCCATACAATAGAAGACCACATTAAAGTTGTACTCCTAGTAATCGTAGAACAGTCAATAGTTTTATTACATGACTAGCCATACAATACAAGACCATATTAAACTTGTACTCCTAGTAATCATTAGAACAGTCAATAATTTTTATTACATGACTAGCCATACAATACAAGACCATATTAAACTTGTACTCCTAGTAATTGTAGAACAGCAAACAGTCAATATCATATGACTAGCCATACAATACTAGATCATATTAAAGTTGTACTCTAAGTAATGCATTAGAACAGTCAATGGTTTTTATTACATGACTAGCCATACAATACAAGACCATATTAAAGTTGTACTCCAAGTAATCGTAGAACAGTCAATGGTTTTTATTACATGACTAGCCATACAATACAAGACCATATTAAAGTTGTACTCCAAGTAATCGTAGAACAGTCAATGGTTTTTATTACAGGACTAGCCATGCAATACAAGACCATATTAAAGTTGTACTCCAAGTAATCGTAGAACAGTCAATGGTTTTTATTACATGACTAGCCATACAATACAAGACCATATTAAAGTTGTACTCCTAGTAATTGTAAAACAGCAAACAGTCAATATCATATGACTAGCCATACAATACAAGTACAGCAGTAATCATGGTGAGTACATGAACTATACCAGTCAAGGACTGGTCAAGTGAAGGTGACAATGTAGCGGTCTGAAAGAAAGGAAAGCAGAGAGATATTAGTAGCTGTAGTGATTATGAGACGATGCAAGCTCACACATCTACATCCAGACAAGCTCGGACAAGCTATGGCAGAAAGGATACCACCCACTGTGGGGTTATGCCTGAGTTGGCAATGGCAATGTTAGTTCTATCTTGGCAGCCTGAAATAAATGCTTGGACCAAACTAACCGAGGGATGATAGCATGAACATGTTTACCTTACCTAAATTTGTGTGTGTGTGTGTGTGTGTGTGAAAGGCGCGTAGCTATTTTTTCGTGTAAGCCCGATAGGTTGCAACCGTTAATATTTAGATAGATAGATTAGTATTGAGGGCTTGTCCAACCTTTTTAGCAAACAACATGTGCAAGCCTGGTTTTTTTCTTATAATGGCAGCTACGCCTCTAAAGGGGGGGAAGGGGGACTTATGGTAGGCATTTTCTGGATATGGATCTAACCCAGTAATGCAGTGACGCTGTGCCCCTATTCCCTTTACTACTTTCAAGATTTGTGGTCCAAGCTCAATTACTTACAGACCGCCGTCATATAGCTATAATATTGCTGAGTGCAGCGTAAAACTAAACTCACTCACTTTCATGATTGATTTAAACATTACTTTGTTAGTGGAAAAGTGAGTTTGAGGAAAATTTCTGTTACATCACTACATATCTGCTGATGTAGGTGGAATGACCTATTTGATGCTCTCTGGTGACACCCACAAGCACTGGTACTGAGTGAGTGAGTGAGTTTTAGTTTTACGCAGCTTTTAGCAATATTCCAGCAATATCACGGTGGGGGACACCAGAAATGGGCTTCACACATTGTACCCATGTGGGGAATCGAACCAGGGTCTTTGGCGTGACGAGGGAACGCTTTAACCACTCGCCTACCCCACCCCGCCGCACTGGTGCTGAGGTGACATACCAGAAACAGTAAATGTGAACCAGGGTTCAAACCCATTATCCGCCACATAGCTGCAATGTTGCATATCTTAGATGAGTGGGTCAGTGCTCTCCATTGTCAGCCAAAGGAGTTTTAGTTTGTTTGTTGTTTAACCGTTCCCCAATCTTCCACTAATATGAGGGCGGTCTCCGAATAATGGAGTTTGGACCACCCAATCCTGTGAGTGACATCATGAACATCATTCTAGGACATGATGACGTGCATCAATCAAATCAATGGTGTATGACCACCATATCCCGTTAGTCCACTCTTTCGACAAGTGTAGAGGGCTGAAGACCAACTTTAATCTGGATCTCCACAGGATCAAAGCAGTTTTGATCAACCTATAACTTATGGAAACTGATGACCTATTCTGAACCATTCATAGGAAACTAGGTACACTAGGAAGTAAGGTGAGTGACAAACACAACTGGGCCCTCCTTAACAGATTTAACTTCCTCTTAAGGCAGATATATGGAACTGATGACCGATTTCTTATCTCTATTTAACTGCCTCCAAACACAAGCATATTCTGTCTATATAGCATACAGTTATTGCATCCCCTTATGGTTTACAATCGAGTGCTTCGTTTCTCAGGGACACGTAGCACAAAAATGAAAGGTCGATTGTATTTTTCAAGAAATTTGGAGCATTGATCTAAATTCTAAATTCATACAAAACTGAAGCAATCCATTCCACAAAACTAAATAAAAAACCCATTCAGATTATTATCGACACCAAATTAGTAGGGGATACACATGTTTGTGTGAAAGCTGTGTACAAAGCTGATTAGACTTCATTCCGTGTGACAACTATAATGTATTAATTCAAACATGCAGATGCAGTTAGTCCGGAGTGTCCTTGATGTTACATGACATATATATACTGAACAAAGCAAATTAAGCATCATGACTATTTTTAGGCATATATTTTTGTAACGACTGACACAATTTCATTTAAATATCGCCCAAAATATTCAAGATCCCTAACTTCTTTTATAAGTACAGTTAATATATACCCCAACTTCTCTCAACACAAACCCAAAACAGTCATGCCGAAATAAACTTCAAAATCATGAAATATTGTTATATGAAGTCACAATAACCTGCTGCTCAAGGCTCTCAGATGTAAATCTGACAAACATTCCGCCAATTCAAACATTTCCACAGCAAAATGTTCCTGATATTAGATACACAAAATTCCAGATACAACACTCAGAAATAAAATATCTGTTGAGAAAAATCAAGGTGACACAACCTCCAAAGCAAGCATGATACAACATTATTACAAAATTAACTCAATTGAGAGTAAAAAGCAAGTACAAAACACCCAAAATATTACACGAAACATTTCCTCTTGGGTATCCCAGAATCCTCACAAACAAAACTGGAGTGACAGTTAAAACTTGATAATAATGATGAAGACATTTTTGTATGCTACCAATTTGAAAATAATGTTATAACTTCATCTTCTCAATTAAATATTTTTAAATACACCTTCAGATGTGAGTACATTATGATCCTTTAGATTAAATTAATGAAGAAACCATCACAAAATGCTAAAAATCAAAAACAGTAACGAATTGAAAAATGAAATTTGTGGGAAAGATAATCAAGAGGAAATATTTTACAAAGAGCTGTAAAGGTTCGTTCCTTGCATGGCAGATATTCATCCAATAAACAGCAGCTTTTGGTGAAAGAAACTTAAATAATATATTCCAATTTACTTTCATAATTTCAAATTTTCCATCACAGTTAATAGTTCCAAATTTGAAATTACTGAATTTATACATAATAATTTGATTAGTTTGAACTTATTAAAATTAAAAGAAGAAATCATATAATTTCTTTTAAACGATAACATTTCATCAGTTCTACTTTACCTGAATGCATTACTTTGATACAATATGATAAGTTCATCTAAAATCAAGATTCAAATTCCTGCACAGAGAAGGGAGACAACTCAAACCTCCTTCTCCATGAACGTCATTCATCTAAAGATGCTGCATACATATGCCATGACAAGGTCGACCTTTACAGCCAACACTCTCCACACACAATCGAAAAGCAAGCCCATGTGTACTACACTAGATGACCAAGATGGCGGAGGCAACAGTGAGGGTGAAGGTCGTACTTATTCCTGCACAGAAAGTCTGACTGCTGGGGTCAGAAGTTAGAATGGGCTTGATGAGCTGAGAGTCAGCTCGCTCTCGCTCCACCTGTGTCAAAGGTCGCCAGTCCCACCCTGAAAGCAAGTCACATGTACAAAGGTTACACAGTTCAAGGTCACTGAATCAGTCACAGGTCAAGGTCAGGAATGACTCTGAACATGGATTATACCATACTGACATGAGCTGGAAAAGATGCTATTACCACAATACTTATATTTTGCTAGATATTTTGTTTCAAACTAGAAAAGGATTTTATCATATCAGTCATTTTAAAAACAAATAAACATTTACAAATGACATATTGGGGACTGAAAAGTAGACAGACTTAAAACCAAAAATCTAAGGTATTATGATACAGAAATTGTTACTTTATCAGAATGATCTATATAAAATACTGGATATTCTGAAAACAAATCTACATTCAGTCCTTATACATATTTAACCATTATACATAATCAACTTAAAATTAAAACAGAATTCGTCAAAATCATCATCTTACAAATCAGTAAAACTCTCCATACCTTTGAACATAGACACATGGAGAAAAAAGGTAGTAATGGACCAGGGAACAAAACATGCAACTATCATGCATGCAGACAATCAAGACACTATACATGGACAAAAATGTTTTCTTTCGTTAATGCCCACACATCAAAATTCCAATGATATGATGGCAACCGAGCCTGACCACCCAATCCACGCAGTCACCTCATACCACAAGCAATGGCTGCTGTGGACCGAGAGTATCTGTGATTTCCATTGGATAAAAACTTGAAATCAGTAACATAATATTAAGAATAGGATCAAGAATGTATACCACAAAAAAATAAATTGAAACGAAGAGAATACAAAAGGTTCCAAAGTTTCAAAGGTTTTCAAACAAAGATTCCTTCATGCTAAGAACAGGCAATACACAATTTTCACTGATGAAAATCATAAATATTATTTGAGGAAAACTACCTATCGTGTATTAAATGGGAACACAAATAAACCTAGAGTGATATTTATAACTGATTTTACATAACTTATTACTTAGTTATACACAAGTAGGGAACATGCATTTAATTGAATCTTATGAACTAAATGGTAAACACAGTTGCACATAATACTACATCAACTGGTTAATTAGTCGATTAGCTGGTTGATTAAATATAGCATTTTAGTTCCTGGTATAAAACAACCAACTTAAACACACATGCAAATACATGCAGGTTCAAAACAAAACAAGAAAACAGAACATCCCCCGAACAGTACATGAATATAGTACATGAATACAGTACATGAAAGACAAAACACTTCCTGAAACTCAAATATATCGCCTAGCTGCATCTGAGCTAGGATGTGATATAAGTTGTTGTGTGGTTAGTAGTATCTACCTGTTGTCATGTCTGGACTCCATGGTTGCTCTCCAGTCGGACCCCATAGCCAGAACCCATCTTGTGATGTCATCTGACCTCTTGACCCACAACGACCTTGACCCACAAACACATACATCTTAAGTGGCGTTTTGGAGTTCAAAGAAGTCTGAGTTGACATGGATTTCAATTTCTTTACTCTCTCAATTCAGCGATTCTGAGTAGATACTTACCTTTATCAAACAAGATCACTGGGACTTGTATTAAAATGTTAAATATGAAGAAGTTGTAATCCATACGATAACTCAGCCTTGATTAACAAATGCACATATATAACATGAGTGTCTTTAGGGAATCAGTTTGTTTGTTTTTGTAACACCACACTCAGCAATATTCCAGCTGTATGGCGATGGTCTGTAAATAATTGAGTTTGGACCAGACAATCCAGTGATCCAGACAATTGTGATACAATGACATGTTTCAACCAAGTCAGTAAGCCTTGGATCCCGCCGCTAGTTAGCCTCTTATGACAAGCATGGGTTGCTGAAGACCAGTTCTAACCTGGATTTTCACGGTGCTGGGGGATGAGTGTTTGTCTGCTAAACAACAGTGGGAAAATGGACTTTACGATCAAATTTTCAAGAAAATATTTCACTTATCAAGAATATTTCACTTACATAAGACATGTGTGTCTGCTCATGCTTGTCTGGAAAGTGAGTTTAGGTGTAGTGCCAGCCTATACGGTGGAGGATACAAGTCTGCCTCAGTTTAAAATGTCACCCAAGTCAGCAAGCCTATCCCGCTAGTCACCCCCATGGGTTACAGACATCCGCGCTTGTCTTAAGACATTCTGGTGAAGTGACAGCCAACAAGGAGCCTATGTTTATCACCATAAGGCCAGGCAAGGGAACAAGCGTGATTTTTCTAACTTCTTTTGGTATGAAGTGATCCAGGGTTTACACAGACCTTCCACTCTCAGGTTCTATCCATTGGACCACGGAGGCAGTCCACACATCAATGAAAATAGCAGCAATGAGAGATTGAGTGACTTGTGTTTAACACTGAAACGTATGTTGATAGCATCATTGCAAGTCAGTTTGCTGCGGAGCCGAATGTTGCGCCAGTTGCTGAAGTTTACCATGTTAGTGAAACAAAAAGCATGGGTATGGTGCCGAAAGACCAAGCAGCAAAACTGTGGCCAATCCTGTGCCGAAAGACCAAGCAGCATAACTGTGGCCAATCCTGTGCCGAAAGACCAAGCAGCACAACTGTGGCCAATCTGGGATTCAAACCTACAACCTGTTGACCCTGGCTGGGACTGTGCCACTGACTTACCATACTCCCCTGAAGTGGATGAGAGGACGTGATGGAGAGCAGACATTGTGAGGCTGGAGTGACTGGGAGACACGTTGGTCAGCTCTGCTAGACCGTCCAGGCTGTGAGGTGACACAATAGAACACAGTGTTAGAAATAAAGACATGAGTGAGACTATTGGGGCAGTGTCTGCTAGACCGTCCAGGCTGAGGTCACACAATAGAACACAGTGTTAGAAATAAAGACATGAGTGAGACTATAGGGGCAGTGTCTGCTGGACCGTCCAGGCTGTGAGGTGACAATAGAACACAGTGTTAGAAATAAAGACATGAGTGAGACTATAGGGGCAGTGTCTGCTAGACCGTCCAGGCTGAGGTCACACAATAGAACACAGTGTTAGAAATAAAGACATGAGTGAGACTATAGGGGCAGTGTCTGCTAGACCGTCCAGGCTGTGAGGTGACACAATAGAACACAGTGTTAGAAATAAAGACATGAGTGAGACTATAGGGGCAGTGACTGCTGGACCGTCCAGGCTGTGAGGTGACACAATAGAACACAGTGTTAGAAATAAAGACATGAGTGAGACTATAGGGGCAGTGTCTGCTAGACCTGTCCAGGCTGAGGTCACACAATAGAACACAGTGTTAGAAATAAAGACATGAGTGAGACTATAGGGGCAGTGACTGCTGGACCGTCCAGGCTGTGAGGTGACACAGTGTTAGAAATAAAGACATGAGTGAGACTATAGGGGCAGTGACTGCTAGGACCGTCCAGGCTGTGAGGTGACACAGTGTTAGAAATAAAGACATGAGTGAGACTATAGGGGCAGTGACTGCTGGACCGCCCAGGCTGAGGTCACACAATAGAACACAGTGTTAGAAATAAAGACATGAGTGAGACTATAGGGGCAGTGTCTGCTAGACCGTCCAGGCTGTGAGGTCACACAATAGAACACAGTGTTAGAAATAAAGATATGAGTGAGACTATAGGGGGCAGTGTCTGCTAGGACCCGTCCAGGCTGTGAGGTCACACAATAGAACACAGTGTTAGAAATAGAAAGACATGAGTGAGACTATAGGGGCAGTGTCTGCTGGGACCGGCCCAGGCTGTGAGGTCACACACAATGACACAGTGTTAGAAATAAAGACATGAGTGAGACTATAGGGGCAGTGTCTGCTAGACTGGCCCAGGCTGTGAGGTGGCACTGTGAGACTATAGGGGCAGTGTCTGCTAGGAGGTCCATGCTGAGGTAGACACAGTGTTAGAAATAAAGACATGAGTGAGACTATAGGGGCAGTGACTGCTAGACCGTCCAGGCTGTGAGGTGACACAGTGTTAGAAATAAAGACATGAGTGAGACTATAGGGACTATAGGGGCAGTGTCTGCTGGACCGTCCAGGCTGTGAGGTGACACAATAGAACACAGTGTTAGAAATAAAGACTATATGAGTGAGACTATAGGGGCAGTCTGCTGGACCTAGGACCGTCCAGGCTGTGAGGTGACACAATAGAACACAGTGTTAGAAATAAAGACATGAGTGAGACTATAGGGGCAGTGTCTGCTGGACCGTCCAGGCTGTGAGGTGTCACAACAGGACACAGTGTTAGAAATAAAGACATGAGTGAGACTATAGGGGCAGTGACTGCTGGACCGTCCAGGCTGTGAGGTCACACAATAGAACACAGTGTTAGAAATAAAGACATGAGTGAGACTATAGGGGCAGTGTCTGCTAGACCGTCCAGGCTGTGAAGGTGACACAATAGAACACAGTGTTAGAAATAAAGACATGAGTGAGACTATAGGGGCAGTGTCTGCTAGACTGTCCAGGCTGAGGTCACACAATAGAACACAGTGTTAGAAATAAAAACACGAGTGAGACTATAGGGGCAGTCTGCTAGACCGTCCAGGCTGTGAGGTGACAGTGTTAGAAATAAAGGCGTAAGTCAGAGAAACTGGGACAATTGTCCATTTCTTGTGTGATGGTGTGGCTAAGTATTAAACCACAGACTTTCCACACTATGGGCAGAAGTTCCATGCAGGTTAGTTTTAAAATAGAGCTAATTAAGTATGTATGTGACTAGCTGATGTTGAAGGTCAAGGCTGTTCCATATGACTAAACAAAGAAGAAGCACGCTTGACAAAAGAGACATTCTAAGGTAACAGCATGTTGACTGGAAGCTTCAAGAAAACCCAAATTGGTTACGGTTTTTTGTCTGTTGTCCAACCTCTCAGTCAAGAATATTAAAGTCATTTGTAGGTTCCGGACCCCATATCTTCAGATACTGTCAAGTTTAAGGGACTAAACTCTGTACATAATTTGGATCACTCGTCAAATCCATTGAATGAAATGCTAACACATCCCTACCTATGATCTTCTCCAATATCGTCCAGACTCTCCTGCCGAGACACAGATCTTCGTTTGCGAGACTCAACTGCCATCTGGGCACCCTAGAAAGAGTCATGTGACCTTGACCTTTGGCCAAAAGTATAGATGTGGAAGGACAAGTTTCATGGGGCTTTCAAGAGCCTTAGAAATCTATTGATACAATGAAATTAGCATACTAACTTAGATAATGGACACAAGATATTTTGAGAAATGGTAAAGACAAATTCTTTAGAATGTTCACTCAGTAGGTGACCTTGGCCTTTGATCTCATGAATTATGGTCTTATATTCTGTCCTCACAACAGTCAGGTCAAACTATACAAATGCAAGATGGAAGGATCCTAACTGACCTTGACCTGCTGACCTTTGATGACCTACTGACCTGTATGACCTCTCTGGTTGGCTGCTGTGCAGGGAGGTCGTCTGTGTCATCTGACTGTCCCGACCCCAGGTAGTGATGTGACTGGACAGCTGCACCCTGGGGATCTATATGAGGAGGTAGAATATTTCCAGTAATATTTTCCCAATTAAACATATGATAATATAGCATGTAGATATTATTTTCTTTCCTTTCCATTAACAAAAAAATGGGCATCCCCAAAAATGTCTGTTATCATTATCAAATAAAGATACACTATAGCACAACACCCAAAGAGTGAGTGAGTGAGTTGGGTTTTACGCCGCTTTTAGCAATATTCCAGCAATATCACGACGGGGGACACCAGAAATGAGCTTCACACATTGTACCCATGTGGGGAATCGAACCCGGGTCTTTGGCGTGACGAGCGAACGCTTTAACCATCAGGCTACCAACACCCAAAGAACAAAGGAATGGTGCTAACAAAGAATACAAAGAAACACTATCATAGGTTCCTGGCATGCCCAAGGGATGCAACTCTTTACAGCAAACTGCAGAATCTTCAATGACCTGGCCATTCGTAGCCCTATCATCTCATGAATTATGTAAGTACAGTCAAATCTCGATGAGTCGAATCGGTGGGGACCAAGTAATACATTCGACTTATCGATGTATTTGAGACATAAGTATGTCTATGAGGAGTGAAAAAAAGATGATCCAGTCCTAATTCCTCCGCCTAAGCATTTGTTTATCTAATGATTTCCCTATCAATAATGGGGGCACCTTATCAGTTCCAGTCTGATTAGCACAGACAGTGATTTCCGTAAAATCACTAATCTGCATTTTGAACTCACCGTCAGTGGCAGAAAGGTGTGAGCCGCGCTGGTTTGTTAATTGGATCAGTTTGCTACACCAATCAACTTCTCATTGACTGACTTCGGCTTATGTATACAAGATTGCTGTTGTTTGAATCTCATGGGACCAAATTTCCTTCTCGAGTCATCGTGTGTATTTATGAGACGAATTCGTGTAACTGGAAATCAAATGATGACAACTATAACAGGGAATGGTCGGGACCGACAGGTACTTCGAGTTATGCACAATATTCAAGACACCGGCATTCGACTCATCGGGATTTGACTGTAGTTTATAATGAAGCAAGATATTTTGTCAAAACGAACATGATGACAGATTATCAAGTGCTGCACCTGTAGGAAAAGCATGGATCCAGCGTCTCCGGTTTGATGTCATCTTGAAGCGCATCCGTGATGGTGCGAAGGGGTTGATGAGGGCCCTCTGGGGACGATAGTTCTGCAGGCGATGTGAGAAGCCAACTGGGGACCCTGCACTTCCAACCACGGGACGAGTGAAGAGGAACTCCTCACTCTCAGAGGAGTTGACAGACTCGCGACTCAGGGTCTTTTCTGAGGACAAGAGTGAGTGAGTGAGTTGGGTTTTATGCCGCTTTTAGCAATATTCCAGCAATATCACGGCGGGGGACACCAGAAAAATGGGCTTCACACATTGTACCCATGTGGGGAATCGAACTCGGGTCTTCGGCGTGACGAGCGAACGCTTTAACCACCAGGCTACCCCCGCCCCTCTGAGGACAAGAAGATGAATACAATCAATACAGGATTTTCCACTCTGTTTATTTAGGTGTTTGTTTGTTGTTTAATGCCACACTCGGTAGAGTCATCGATAAGTGAAGACATGAGATGAAATAGTCACTAATTACTGAAAACAAGGGAATGGGTGTCATTTGTGGAATGACTAAATGATAAACAGACAGTGACAAAGGCAGCCATCTCACCAAAGATGGGATAACATCCAGCTGATTGAGAAAGATCTTCTCCAATGAAGGACTTCGACGGAATCCCCACGGCAGAGGAAGATGACTTCTTCAGCACCTTGTCTGCACAATGTTCCATGAAATCGTCTGAGATATGCCTGATCCGGGGTTCAGGCATGCCCTGGGGGGCATCGGTGTTACATTTGTAGTTGCGTCTTCTAGTCTGGGTTCCGTAGAAACTGGCACTGCGACCAGAGCTGAAAGGAACAAGTTTTGGGTGTGTTATTTAAAGAAACACTCAGAAATATTCCAGCCACATGATGGCTGTCTGTAAATAAAAGGAAACCCAACTTCTCTGGATAGTCAACTTTTTATTGCAATGAATGCAACGTTTGGTGTAGATACTAACAACATCATCAAGCTAACAACCTTGGTGCAATTTGAGGACAACACTGTGTGTCAACGTCTAAATGAGACAACTTACAAGGCTCTGTGTCCTTGATGGAAGCTTGAACACCTGAGTGTTAACCCCTAAATGAGACCCTTCCCTTCACATACTTACACAGCTCTGGGCGCTGTCCTGGATGGAAGTTTGAACACCTGAGTGTTAACCCCTAAATGAGATCTTTCCCTTCACATACTTACACAGCTCTGCCTGTCCTGGACGGAAGTTTGAACACCTGAGTGTTAACCCCTAAATGAGACCCTTCCCTTCACATACTTACACAGCTCTGGGCGCTGTCCTGGATGGAAGTTTGAACACCTGAGCATCATATTCATCATAATCAACAAAGGGGAACTTGTCATCGTCAGAGTCATAGGATGTGTTGGCCAGCGCTGGAAGCAGAAAATGGTTAAACCTGGAAACTGGGCTTGGGTAATCTTCTCTCTGCTTGTGAATATTATCAAAGAGACAATATACTCTGTTGGACTTAGGCTAACTCTAATGGACCCAGGTTGTCTTCCAGTTGTAAACAGGTGAAGATCAGGGTTAGAATTGGTCTGTGGCAAGGTGACTAATGGGATCAGGCTCAGGCTCAGGTTTAACGTCGAGCTGGGGAATATTTCGCTCATATGACGACGTGCATGCGTGTGTATGTGTATATGCGGCTGCTTGTACTAGCCCAGACTGAAGCTGGGTTTATAGTGCTAGCCCACTGAGATACCATGCCGCAGCGAAGCATGAATACCCCATTCAGACACATTATACTGACTCTGAGCCGACCAGTCCTTGTTGTACCCATTAATGCCGAGCGCCAGGCAGGGACCAACAAGTACCATATTTTAACGTCTTTTGGTATGACTCGGTCGGGGATCGAACCCGCGACCTTCGGCTCTCCAGGCGAATGCTCTAACCACTACACCACGGAGGCGGTCCTAGAAACTCATACCAGTTTAATCTCACATGCACATAATCAGACGAATGACAGCAAGAATTGATTTAAGTGTGATGCTTACATATTTCATTGTTTTCCGGTTCCTTGGCCAGGAATTCAAGCTGAAAAAATAAATAAACAATTGATCACCTGGGACTTCTTTATGACAGTGGGGATTAATACACACATACACAGATGATGTCACACAAGTGTGTTTTAGGATGGAAAGTATCCTCAGGGATAAACATTGTATTTCGATGGCCTTGGCTAGATATCTTCACAATTTGTATGAGTGAGTGAGTGAGTGAGTTTAGTTTTATGCTGCACTCAGCAATATTCCAGCTATATGGCGGCGGTATGTACCAGTAAATAATCCAGTGATCAACAGCGTTGGCATCAATCTGCGCAATTGGGAACCGATGACATGTGGCAACCAATGAGCCTGACAACCCGATCCCGTTAGTCGCCTCATATGACAAGCATGGGTTACTGAAGATCAATTCCAACCCGGACCTTGACGGGTACAATTTGTATGAAGTAGATTATGCCTCAGATAAGTCTCTTACAAATGCAGATTTTCAGTATATTTTTTTTCATGACAATAACTACTGCCTTGGATGGCATGACAGTTTGAGGAGTTCACTTACCACTTCCGGTGGGGGTTTGATCCGTGGCACAAAGGAAGAGTTGAAATGAGACTGTATCTGGTTCTTTGAAGTGTAAAAACTGAAACACATGGCCATAGTAGTGTAAGGCAGTAATAATAATAATAATAACAAGCATTGTCACTAAGGTGACATAATCCCCCAACGCAAATTATCAAATCAAACTTATAAAGTAATGAAAGTTTAAGATGAAGTTAAATATCAACAAAAACATGACCAGTCAACCTCTCTTGATATCTTGCTGTTTTGTTGTTCAAACACACACATATTTTCAACACTGACTTTGACCTTGACATGAATGTCATAGTGTCATAGTGAAAATCCAGTGAACCGTTCTTTAAATATCTTGCTGACAATTCAGGTTAACATGCTGAAATCTTCAAAGTGTCTCTGTGACCTTGAAAATTAAGTGAAGGTCACCAAAATCGACTGGGTCCTGCGCCTTCCCTGGATGAAGCTTGGTGTCAAATAAGAAGAAACTCCAGGGAATGGCTCTTGAGGTATCGAGCTGACAAGCATAACATGTAGGTTAATATGCTGAAATCTTCAAAGTGTCTCTGTGACCTTGAAAATTAAGTGAAGGTCACCAAAATTGAATGGGCCCTGCGCCTTCCCTAGATAAGGCTTGGTGTTAAATATGAAGAAAATCCAGAGAACGGTTCTTGAAGTAGCTTAACATGCAGGTTTACATGCTGAAATTTTTAAAGTGTCGCCATGACCTTGAAAATTATGTGAAGGTAACCAAAATTGACTGGGCCCTGCGCCTTCCCTAGATAAAGCTTGGTATTAAATATGAACAAAATCCAGTGAACGGTTCTTGAGATAACTTAACATGCAGGTTTACATGCTGAAATATTCAAAGTGTCGCCATGACCTTGAAAATTATGTGAAGGTCACCAAAATCAACTGGGCCCTGCGCCTTCCTTAGATAAAGCTTGGGGTTAAATATGAAGAAAATCCAGGAAACAGTTATTGAGATAGCTTAACATGTGGGTTAACATGCTGAAATATTCAAGTGTCGTCATGACCTTCAAAATTATGTGAAGGTCACCAAAATCGACTGGGCCCTGCGCCTTCCCTAGATAAAGCTTGCTACTGAATATGAAGAAAATCCAGTGAATGGTTCTTGAGATAGCTTAACGTGCAGGTAAAACGTTAAAGTCCCCTGTGACCTTGAAATGAAAGTCAAGGTCACCAAACCTGACTGGCACCTTCCTTTTACTGTGATGAACCTAGGTACCAAATATGAAAAGAATCCTGTCAATGGTTCTTAAGATATTCCAATTCGTACATACGGACAGAGCCTAATACTATATCCCCCGCTTCACGCTAAACGGACGGCGGGGGATAATAATAATAGTGCATATTAACACACGCTGATTCCCACGCTTGCAGCATGCTCACAAGGCATAAATTACAGAGCAATTCCAGCCTGGTATGATCTAAAGATAAATGTGTAACGGTTTGGTTGGTACTCCATTTTAACATTACCTGTTGTTTATCGTGAGTGAGAGAGTGAGTGAGTGAGTTTAAGTTTCATGCCACACTCAGCAATATTCCAGCTATATGGCGGCAGTCTGTAAATAATTGAGTCAGGACCAGACAGTCCAGTGATCAACAGCATGAGCATCGATCATCACAATTGGGATACGACGACATGTGTCAATCAAGTCAGCGAGTCTGACCACCTGATCCTGTTAGTTGTCTCTCACTACAAGCCTGGGTGGCTCTCCTGGGTCTTCATGTGTATGCTCTAAGGATACATGTGTAAAGGTCTGTTGGTCCACTTTAACGTTACCTGTGGTTCATCCAATGTGGGATGTTGTAGTCGTCACCAACCTCCAGGCAGTTCTTGGCATTCTTGTTGTGGAACTGAATAGACAACAAACAACAGTGAGGTGAGGTGAAATTGGGTTTAACGTCGTGCTTGAGAATATTTTGCTCATATGACGACGTGCATGCATGTGTATGTGTATGACTGGCGGCTGCTTGTACTAGCCCAGACTGAAGCTGGTTTTATAGTGCTAGCCCACTGAGATACCATGCCGCAGTGAAGCATGAATACCCCACTAAGACACATTATACTGACTCCAAGCCGACCAGTCCTTGTTGTACCCATTAATGCCGAGCGCCAGGCAGGGGACCAACAAGTAGCATATTTTAACGTCGTTTGGTGTGACGCGGTCGGGGATAAAACCCGCGACCTTCCGCTCTCCAGGGCAGACGCTCTAACCACTACACCACGGAGGCGGTCTCAAACAACAGTGAAGTGGGAAGCAGTTGTTCAGAGGAATCCGATGGCAGTGTGTATATGACAGTCTGTTGAATATAACAACAATGCATAAGATTACATGCCATCAGGATACAATCAAAACATCGAGTCTGGCCTCAACAACCAAATCAGATTAAGAAATATCTGGTCCATCAATTTTGGTCTGCAGGTTGACAGGTTCCCTTATGTCCTGGCTGCTGCTGTGAAGTATTGTTAAATCAGAACCTGGTTTCCTTGGTTACGGCTCGTAGTACAAACATCATGGCTGTTGTTTTCAGCTCACAAATAACACTATACTTTCAGTTGCCGTGGTTACGTAACAGAGCATCCACTATCATTACCGAACAGAGCATCCACTATAACGATCATAAGGAACTTAAATATTTGGGGACAGAGACATATTTGGGTCACTGCTTCAGAACACTTGCAATTCCCTGACCTTAAAGAGTGGCGCCGCATGCAGTGGTTGCTCCCCCATACAGACCAAGTCACTCCCAACACCTGAAACACAGAGACAACACCATCAACAATTTTATAATTTTTATCATTCTGTGCTATATTCTGAATGCTATTGTAAGCCAAAAGCCATACACCATTATAATCACTGTCTGAAAAGTCTTAGTCAGCTTCCTAGGGAGAATACAACTTAAACTACTCATGTGGAATTGGAAGGTCTCCAGTAAAATTACTATCTCATCCTACCGGGTACCCACTCATTGCTGGCTAAACAGTCATATTTAGGACAAAGCCACATGACTGAGGAAAGACTAACTAAAAGAATATGGGTTTATGCTGTTTAAGCAATATTCCAGCAATCAGAAATGGGCTTCGCACATTGTACCCATGTGGGAAATCGAACCCAGATGCTCGTCACGATGACAACAAATGCTTTAACCACTAGGCTACTCCATCACCCCTGAGGGTGCTATGTGTGGGACAGTATTTAAGCTTTCAAGAGGTCCTCCTACACCTGGTCACACAACAACTAATTTCAGCAACAAATATTGCCTGCTTCATTGCACATGTGCTGTACACAGTTAAAACTATGTGGGGACTTGAACCTCTAGCGTCAATAAATTCGTTCCTCAGAAGTTTGTGTTTGGAGAAAGTTCAAACCTTTAGCTGAATATAAATTCTCGGTATGACTGAGATACATCAGACAATCATATCTCAAAACTCAAAAACAACACTGAGGAGATTGGGATGCAAATAAATTGAACCATCCAATACATCCTGTCGTTTGGGAATGTTATGACATCAACAATCAAACACTGTACTAACATGTTGTTATTTGTATATTCCTTTTGCTGAGATCAAAATTTGCGAATAGGAGCAAATCATTAAAAAATAACCCTGACATCTGATTGGGTCAAGAAGCCCAATGTCATTCACTGTACAGTTAGCTCAGAGTTTACCTGTGTTCTGATGCTGACAATACATACCACAGTCTATAGTCCTTTGTTTGGTGATGTTGGTCAGCTCTCGGTCCACTTGGAACACACCTGGACCTGGCGTGATCACCACGGACACTTTCCCCGTCCGATCAAAGTTCCGGTCCAGGTAGTAGCTCTCAAACACTGGACGAGAAGGAGATCATGCAGGGCTTGTCTAATACCTTCTAGTAACTACATATTGATTAGTTATCTCATACTGTCTAGTTTATTATAGACTGTCTAGCTATCTCATACTGTCTAGTTTATTATAGACTGTCTAGTTATCTCATACTGTCTAGTTTATTATAGACTGTCTAGTTATCTCATACTGTCTAGTTTATTATAGACTGTCCAGTTATCTCATACTGTCTAGTTTATTATAGACTGTCCAGTTATCTCATACTGTCTAGTTTACTATAGACTGTCTAGTTATCTCATACTGTCTAGTTTACTATAGACTGTCCAGTTATCACATACTGTCTAGTTTACTATAGACTGTCTAGTTATCTCATACTGTCTAGTTTACTATAGACTGTCTAGTTATCTCATACTGTCTAGTTTACTATAGACTGTCTAGTTATCTCATACTGTCTAGTTTACTATAGACTGTCTAGTTATCTCATACTGTCTAGTTTACTATAGACTGTCTAGTCATCTCATACTGTCTAGTTTACTATAGACTGTCTAGTCATCTCATACTGTCTAGTTTACTATAGACTGTCCAGTCATCTCATACTGTCTAGTTTATTATAGACTGTCCAGTTATCTCATACTGTCTAGTTTACTATAGACTGTCCAGTTATCACATACTGTCTAGTTTACTATAGACTGTCTAGTTATCTCATACTGTCTAGTTTACTATAGACTGTCTAGTTATCTCATACTGTCTAGTTTATTATAGACTGTCTAGTTATCTCATACTGTCTAGTTTACTATAGACTGTCTAGTTATCTCATACTGTCTAGTTTACTATAGACTGTCTAGTTATCTCATACTGTCTAGTTTACTATAGACTGTCTAGTTATCTCATACTGTCTTGTTTACTATAGACTGTCTAGTTATCTCATACTGTCTAGTTTACTATAGACTGTCTAGTTATCTCATACTGTTTTGTTACTTAAAGGTCACATGCAACGAAAACACAACTTTGCAGATTCTGATACCTTTCGGTATGGACTTACCAAACAAAGCGTGCCAAAATGCAAATTCAACTTATAAAGTTGAAAATAACGCGATGAAAAAAACGCTAAATCGGAGTTCAAACGTTTCACTAATTTTCCCAGACTTTTCTGGGGAATACCGGTTTCAACAGCTGGGCTGCGCTCATAGCACGCGCAAGCAGTGAAATAGGTTCGCGAACTTGGAAGCGGGCTGTCTGGTGAATACCGGTGAAGGCTTTGGTATGAGCTATTTTCATAATGTTTTGTTGATATCTCACAGGCACGCGAGCTTTTGTATGTTATGACAGTAAATAAACTGTTTATATAATTTCATTTGTCTATTTCACCACACGCTCTTCTTACCGAAGTCACTTTCTCAGTTCGATACTTAAAAGCAATGTCATTATTTAGAGTTGACACAATTTCTAACTGTGATATAGATATGTCGCTGTCACAGACAAAACTCAATGTCTTGTTTTATTGACACCTGTGTGTCTGCCTGCCTGTCTGCTAATGACAATATTCAATACACAACTGCGATCACTGACTACATGCAATTTGAACTTAACACCAATCAGGCTATACACCATAAACAAAACGCATTGATTTATGGCCCGAAGTTCGGTCTCTGTCACATTATGTAATTACACAGACAGGCAGGTGTGATACTTTGAACACATGACATGTTATGATGTCTGTTGATTGCAAAATGTTATACACAAAAATGAGCATGTATTTACAAAACCCAACTTTCTATATATATATACACACGCAATAAGCCGTGAAGGCGGCATCTGCTAATGAACCAGTCGTTACACTTGAGTGCACACCCACCCGCTCTGACTGGGTTCGGTATCCCGGCTGCTTCGTTTCGAGGGAGGTAAACCCAAGTACAAAATACTGCACTTTTGATTTGCGATTGTACGCTTATAATTTTGTTTATTTGTTTTTTCATAATCAGCAATGCATATTATATGTCACGAAGAAGTGATAATTGTGTTTTAATTATGTTTGATTTTTTGGTTGCATGTGACCTTTAAATAAGTACAGTCCAATTATCACACACTGTTTAGTTACCATATACAGTCCAGTTATCACATATGGCAAGTTATCACATACTGTCTAGTTATTACATATGGCTAGTTATCACATACTATCTAGTTTTCTCACACTGTTTAATTATCAAATTCAGTCCAGCTATCACATACTGTCTAGTTATCATATGCAGATCAGTTATCACATACTGTCTACTTATCAAACACAGTCGAGTTATCGTATACTATCTAGTTATCATACAGTCCAGTTATCACACACTGCCTAGTTATCCAGATAACAGCATATGAAACCGGCACCACTCACAGTTTAGGGACACGTTGAGAGTTTCCAGAAAGTTGCCCTGAGCTGCCTTTGAGTTCCACGCCGGGGGCATGTGGAAACCCCTTTGTTTATGGTATCGCAGCACTCTCGTCTGATACTGGTTGAAGTACTTCCGCAGCAGCTTCAGGGTGTTGGTCCACTCCTCATAGCGTTCATTCTGTATCACAACCCTGGAATACAAGGCAGAGTCATCTTGGGATTTGCAGCACTGTAAAGTCTTTGTTCCCATGTAGATGAAAAAAATCAGGGTAGACAACTCTGACAGTCAAAACATGAGAATGATGAAAATCCATAAAATGTTTTGAACTAATATTGGCAGTGTCCAGACAGGGTAGATAACTCTGACTGGCAAAATATGAAAATTTAGAAGGGATGAACAAATAATTAAATTATTAACAAAATCTTTTGAATTGATGTGTGCAGTGCCCAGACTGGGTAGATAACTCTTAGTGTGATAATATGACAATTTAGAAGAGATGAGCAAACAATGAAATTATCCTAAAACTGTTTTTAATAAATTTTGGTAGTGTCCACAAAGGGGAGATAACACTCACTGGCAAAAAATGAAACCTTAGAAGTGATGGGGCAAATGCTGAAATTATTTCAAAATGTTTCAAAGTAAAACAGGCATTGTCCAGACAGGGTAGATAACTCTGACTGGCAAAATACACCAATGACTGGCAAATGCATCTTCTCGTTGCAGGTGTTTTATGTCGGAATTGAGTTTCATAACCAGCACAGTCAGACTCACAACAATTACCTGTAGAAATCTTCATAGATCCGGCCTTGATAGTCAACTTGCAGACACTCTTGAACCTCTGGAGGGAAATCATCTGAATCGGACAGTGTAGACACATGTACTGGCAGTAGAGGTGAGGTGAGGTGAAATTGGGTTTAACGTGCTTGAGAATATTTCGCTCATATGACGACGTGCATGCATGTGTATGTGTATGTGCGGCTGCTTGTACTAGCCCAGACTGAAGCTGGTTTTATAGTGCTAGCCCACTGAGATACCATGCCGCAGTGAAGCATGAATACCCCACTCAGACACATTATACTGACTCCGAGTCGACCAGTCCTTGTTGTACCCATTAATGCCGAGCGCCAGGCAGGGACCAACAAGTACCATATTTTAACGACTTTTGGTATGACGCGGTCGGGGATCGAACCCGCGACCTTCCGCTCTCCGGGCGGACGCTCTAACCACTACACCACGGAGGCGGTTCACTGGCAGTAGGGCATATACAGAGTAGAGGTGTAATGATCCAGTCAGGCAGATACGATATGTATCCTGACAATGTGGGTGAGATACGATAAACATACTGATACAGTAGATATACCTTTATTTCTGAAGTTCATACTCTCTCCCTTTTTGTAGGTTAATCATTACAAAGATTATTTGTTCTAAATTTTCAGAGAGCAAAGGACATGTGGTATTGTAGGGGTGTTCAGTAAGTTTGTCTGCCTTGTCTGACCTGTGTAAATAACGTGTGGGGCAAGTAGACTCACCAAGGGACCGGGTAACTCACCAAGGGACCAGGTAACTCACCAAGGGACCGGGTAACTCACCAGGTAACTACCAAGGGACCAATGCAGGGACCAGGTAACTCACCAAGGGACCAGGTAACTTACCAAAGGACTCACCAATGCACCCTGTAAAGAAACTTACCAAAGGACTCACCAAACTTTAGCAATATTCCAGCAACTTACCAAAGGACTCACCAATGCACCCTGTAACTCACCAAGGGACTGGGTAACTTACCAAAGGACTCACCAATGCACCCTGTAACTCACCAAGGGACTATGTAACTCACCAATGCACCCTGCTACTCACCAAGGGACCAGGGAACCCACCAAGCAACTGGGTAAGTCACCAAAGGACTGGGTAACTCACCAAGGGACCAGGGAACTCACCACAGGACAGGTAACTTGCCAAGGTACTGGGTAACACCATGGAACTGGGTGTCTCATCTATGGACCAGGTAACTCACCATGGGATCAGTTAACTCACCGAATGACCAGGTAATTTGCCAAAGGACCAGGGGACTCGGCAACTCTGTAACTCAACGAGTGACTGGATAACTCCCAAGAAACCATTTAACTCACCAAGAGATCGGGCTCGATAGAACGTCCTTGAGAAGAGTACAATAGTGACATCATGGCAACAGTTTTGTTCCTGGAAGAAAATTATAGGAAAGGCCTTCATTATATTTGGCTTTCCATGATATCTCATCATGGACATGGAGCATTATTTCAAAGATGCTCAAATATGAACTAAAAACAGCTTACCCTACAATGGTGTACACGGTGTGTGTCAAGATTAATCAATCAAATAAATTTCACAAGACTTCAAACAAGGACTGAAACACATCTGAGTGACTACTGAGTTATCTAGGATCCCAAACTTAGTGATCTTTGCAAACAAATGGAGAATCTGCCCGGCCTTGCTATCAAAGCAGATCTTAAAAATCAATATTCATCAACTAAATATTAATTATCAAGAAATATATAAGTAACTTTGAATAAAAATACAACATAGAAAACTTGAAACCATCAGCTTGTTTCATGCCACTGGTGAATGTTGACACATTTCTGCATGTATTACCAACAAAAACAGCAGAACAACTCAGAAGCGGACATTGAAAATAGACGTAACTTTGTGCACTACACTCAATATCCAATACTTAAAACCAATAATGAAAGTCTGTTCTTTACCAGAATAAAACCTGATTGATCATGGATATTACACACGACATGAATTTACCTTCCACTTGACAAAGAGATCAGTGAGGAAGCCGTTGACCGCCTTCTCAAAGTAGAGATCGCCATTGATGTCAAAGTCCCACATCTCTGCGCTCATCTGTATGAAGATCTGGACCACGGCTGTAGATGATCTGTAAACAATCTGCACACAGAGGATGTTCATATACAGGACTATTCCAGCAGAAAGGAATAAGAAACAGCCTAGAAATGAAGGAAGTACCTTATTCGTAAAATAGAATTCCATGAGTTAGTAGATACTTTGGGGAAAGCAGTCAACAGGTAGATCTAGTGGGTGAATGGAGGTGTTTGTTTGGGAGATGGGATGTGATGAGGGTGATCTGATGGGGATGGGGGTGGGGTGGAGTTGGGATGGGCAGGAGAAGTGAGGATTAAGGAACTTAACATGGGGGATGGGGGTGGGGTGGTCTGTTAATAATCGAGTCTGGACCGTATAATCCAGTGATCAATATCATGAGCATTGATCTACGCAATTGGGATACAATGACATGTGTCAACCAGCCTGACCACCCGATCCTATTAGTAGCATCTTATGAGTCAGTGAGTGAGCGAGTTTAGTTTTACGCCGCACTCAGCAATATTCCAGCTATATGGCGGCAGTCTGTAAATAATCGAGTCTGGACCAGACAATCCAATGATCAACAACATGAGCATCGATCTAAGCAATTGGGAACCGATGACATGTGTCAACCAAGTCAGTGAGCCTGACCACCCGATCCCGTTAGTCACCTCTTATGACAAGCATGGGTTACTGAAGACCAATTCACACAAACTGGCCCTTCCAGCAGCTTTCAGTATTACAATTAGTCACCCGTGAAGCTAGCACCAAGTGGTAACAGGAAAACATACAGTGTTTATGGAGAGAAAAATTCAAGCCATCACAGTGGGAATACAAAATCCACTTTATCTCCACTGACATTCCTCACATTTGGATCCACTCCTGTGGATCTTGTGATTGCAAATTACCTGCCCTTGATTCTCATTACTATTTTACCGACCAATCGAACGTCCACATAAAAGAAAGGTAAGGGAGGTAACTTACATTACCAAGAAACCGAAACCAGCCCAAATATTTAAGGAGAAAGACATCCTTTCCATGCAAAAGATTTCTCAGAGCTTACTTTAACTTGACCGTCGGGTTTTGATTATTGAATTTCTCCTAAATTGATTACAATCAATTGTACTGACTGCCATTGTGGTACTTCCCACCCAACAATGAGGCTGGTTTGCTTACATTCTGAATGGTACACTGACTGCCATTGTGGTACTTCCCACCCAACAATGAGGCTGGTTTGTTACTCACATTCTGAATGGTACACTAGACCTAGTAGTCTAGCCAGCCTAACTGGTAATGGCAATCTAGGGCAATGGATCTGAGATTGTGAGAACCATAGGACTGGATCCAGGGTAAGTGTGGGTTTACCGAAATGTGAGCATTGGAGATATAGAGGACAGTACTCCAGTAGAAGTTATAAACAACAGCATTATGCAGTATATCTGGACCTACCCTGGTGTCCTCGGTGATGACGCCACAAGCCACCTTGTCTCCCTTGGACCACATCTCGTTCACTGTGGCTCTGAAAACACCAAGCTAAAGTCAGCCACAAGTGGAATAGTGGATCAAATTATCATCAATAGAATTAAATGAATAAACAATACCATTTAGATAGCGGTCAAATGTTATATAAATGCCATGATGTGGCTACCATGTTGCTGTTAGGGCCTTATTTAGCTGACATGGCCTTATTTTGCTAACAAATGTTTTATTTGGGATCACACTTTCTCAATAAAGTACTGATTTGGGTACTTTTTGGGTTGAGCTCCACCTGGTATTTGAACCCACTCTCTCTCTGAGTTCGGCACAAAATTGTCTGAGTTACACACAAAGTCAGCAATCTAACCCATTCAGCCAAGCCCTCCACAGAGATCAGTCTGCCAGTGTAAAATTGCACTCTACACACTAAAGTCAGCAATCCAGCCCATTCAGCCACCACACCTTCCACAGAGATCTAAGTCTGACGAGTGGTAGTCACATACTTTGTGCACCACTCTGACATATCGAAATTGGCAGCCTCTGATTTAGAAACTGTGACTTACATTTCCAAACATGCAATTTTTCACACTGAAAGGAAGAGTGAAATCTTTTTTTCCCAAAAAATTATTGGAAACAAAAAATTAAATAAACCAAGATGCCACGTATAGAGTTAATAAAATCAAGTGAGAGTACAAATTTCACAGTGAATCCTAATCAAGAGATCTTTAGGTGACACGTCTTCTGAATACACGATACATCTAGAAGTCAGTGATGTCTTACCGCATCTCTGCGAATTCTATTTTCTTGTTGAGGTAAACACATTTCCTAACCTGTAATGTAAACAAAAAGCATTACAACATCTGTGTAAAGCAGATGAACTAGTGGAAAAAACTTTATCTGAAACAATGAAACATTTCGAAGATAAACACATTTTCTTTCTATTCGTTGTTTTCCATCAAACACCAAATTTATTCACCAACTGTGACCAACAGATCTCCATTTTAGTCTGCTCTTTTAACAAGCATCCTACCGGGTACCCACCAGAGTCCTCTTTAGATTCCAGCTCTTGACACACTAGGGACATATGGCGTCCTACAAGAATTCTACCAGGTACCCACCACACTCTTCTTCAACAGATCCCAATTCAGCCTGCTCTGATGACAAACTTGAGAAACTGGGAACATATGTTACCCAACTTTTCCTCTAAAGATTCCCATTTAGCCTGCTCTAACGACAAGCTTGACACACCACGATGGACTGATGTTATTCTACAAGCATCCTACCAGGTACCCACCAGACTCTTCCTCATCCTCCACATGTCGCTGCGGCTGTAGTACTGCTCCTTGTACAGGAGCTCCACCAGGTCCAGCGCAACATGCTGCAACACACACAATACTTACAGAAAGACCTACCAGTTATAACCCAGGTCCTTGATTTTCGAAGCTCTCTTAGCGCTAAGATAAGTGTCATATCTTAACATTAACTTACAGCTATCTTAGCGCTAAGAGAGCTTCGAAAATCAAGGACCTGGGCCTAGATTTTTGAAGCTCTCTTAGCGCTAAGACAGTCTTAAGTTAATGTTAAGGTATGGCACTTACGACTATCTTAGCGTTAAGAGAGCTTCGAAAATCTAGGCCCAGGTCTTTGATTTTCAAAGCTCTCTTAGCTAAGATAGCTGTACGTTAATGTTACGATATGGCACTTACGACTATCTTAGAGCTAAGAGAGCTTAAAAATTATAGGCCCAGGGATCCATTCCATAAAGCAATCGTAGCGCTAAGGTGATCGTAACTCCCATACTTTAACATAGACTTACGATTGTCGTAACGCTACAATCTTTCTATGGAATGGGACCCATGTCAAAAACATCTACAACATCGGTACAGGGCAAAATGAGATTAACAATCATAATCATGATCATCAACCAAAATAGAATTTGCACAAAGAATAGCATACATGCTAATTAAACCATTGCTTACACTGGCAACTATAATCGTTGTCCTGCTAATACAAAGATGGCATGCTTACCTTGGGATCAATCTTGTTGACGTACACATCCTGGTATGCTCTCAGCTGGAACGCTGTTGCTATTGTCGTCTCAATGCTCACAGTCTCCGCTACAGGAAATTATTATTATGTTAATTAACTTAAAATTAACAAATAGTTTGCTCTATTTGCTTTGGCTTATTCTGCCGTAAAAGCACCAATTGATAAGCAGGATGTGCTTGAACCTATCAAGCCCCAGAACCACCAAGGTGAAATTGCATGCTCTTTGGCCTATTCTTCCCCAGAACCACAAGGGGGAGCTAGGTATGATATTTGGGTCGATTCAGCCTTAGAATTCCCTGGGGCAGATAAGAGCTTGAGCATCTTCTATCCAACAGATATATGCATGATGTACTTGAGCTCGTTCAGCTTATGCCTGGCTTTCACCATTCTGGTGACCACGAATAAAGAATTGAATTCATGAAGGGCTACGGTTCGATTCACCGAATATGTCGAGTGAATTGTAGTGAGTGAGTTTGGTTTTACGCCGCTTTCAGCAATATTCCAGCAATATCACTGCAGGGGACACCAGAAATGAGCTTCACACAATGTACCCATGTGGGGATTCGAACCCGGGTCTTCGGGGTAACGAGCGAACGCTTTAACCACTAGGCTACCCCACCGCCCCCCGAGTGAATCGTAACAGCCTTAGGAATCACTACTTGAGAAAAGTTTGAAGTGCTCTTGGAAATCCTCTGCACAAGAAAGATAAACATACTGCCATTAAGCTTTTTCAGCATGGCATATCAAATAAGGATTCATATAAGACAAGCTGGTGTGTAGGACATGCTGATCCTATAAGACATGGGACAATGGGGACATATTGTGCCCCTGAATCACCATGAGACACTAGAACTATGTTGAGCTTATGCCTGAATTTCCCTACAAGGAGATATCAAAAGAGTGCCATAAGACATTCTGATGTGTAGACATGCTGATCCCAAAGGACATGGGACAGTTGGGATTTATTGTGCATCAGAATCACCATGAGACTACAAATAAACAATATTTACAGACAGTTGACATCAATGACAGCCAGATTTGACAAATACCTTTCAGCTGTACAGCTTCCTCTGGCAATTTGGTAATCTGCACCAGCAAACGGCTGCAACAAACAGTCGCAAAAATATACACTATTGACTAGACTATAACTAGACTGTATCAATAGTGAGTGAGTTTAGTTTTAAGCTGCTCTTAGCAATATTCCAGTAATATCAGAGTGAAGGACACCAGAAATGGACTTCACACATTGTAACCCAGTGTGCTAAATAGTCCCTGGCCCGTTAGCCTGTGGCTAGTAAAAATCCAGTTGGGCCAGTAAATCTTAACAGTCACTGGCCTGGCTGGCTAGTGAATTTCCATGGGGTCATTTGTATTTGATGGTATTTTATACCTTTTTGTAATCCTTTGCTTAGTTTCTACATTCAAATTATTGGCTAGTGAATTATTAACTGGGTTAGTAACTTTCTAACATAGCTAGCCCAACTGGCTAGCAAAATGAAAACTATTTTGCACACTGCACACCTATGTGGGGAATCGAACCCGGGTCTTCGGTGTAGCAAGCGAACGATTTAACCTCTAGGCTACCCCGTCGCCCCAGTCTCTATTAATAATCATTATGAACTTAAAACGATAAATAATATTATTACAAAAATGTCAGCCATGAAAGTTTTGTAACTGTCTTCTTTTGCATCTTTGGCATCAGCTTGACCCAAGGAACATGGAATATCCATCATCTGAATGTTAGCCAAAGACTTCTGCCATAGTAAACACAGGGAAAGGACAGTGACAACAGGACCAGTAAGTGGAAAATAATTACTGGTCCGGTCTGTACTTCACTTGTCCAAAATAACATTCATAGATTTACTTGACTATCAATACAACACTCACTGGCCACCAGGACCACTGATAACTTATCACTTATAGTTTGGCATGAAATGCATGTGGACCCGTTTTTTTGTAAATATCTCTTCATCCAATGACCCAATCGATCTCAAACTGTGCAAGTGGATGTTTTGTCAGACAACCTAATCACATTGTAAATCACCGATTTTATGCATTTGTATTAAAGAATCTGTCTATGTAACTGTCAACAAAATAAACAGCAGAACGCAAAAGGCTTGCAGAGGGAGGGAGCCAATGACCTGTAACAGCGGCAGTGTTGGGTCATAAAGGTCAACGTTCGTCAATGTAGGTCAGCTTTGCTGATGACCCTGATGTCAAAAGAATCTAACTTTGGATGCCTACCTTTTTGTACAAGGTTTTGTTTATTGGTTGTTGGTTTATTTTTCACAATTGTTAGCACGATGTTCTTTTTCATGCCAAGAGCAAAAGTTGTACGTTTCATGTAATCTGACACCTTATAAATCGGTTTGCTACGTTTGCTCTCTTTTAAATTTTTTTTAAACACATTGCTAATTAAACGTTTAGCATCATCTGAATAAGCTTTCATGATGACAGCTAGAAGTAGTCAATGTGAATGATCCAAACGGTCTATCACTGTGCAGTGCACAGGTAACTATCATGAACTGCACATGCATTTACCTTTATGACCCAACACTACCGCTGTTACAGGTCATTGGCTCCCTCCCTCTGCAAGCCTTCTGCGTTCTGCTGTTTATTTTGTTGACAGTTACATAGACAGATTCTTTAATACAAATGCATAAAATCGGTGATTTACAATGTGATTAGGTTGTCTGACAAAACATCCACTTGCACAGTTTGAGATCGATTGGGTCATTGGATGAAGAGATATTTACAAAAAAACGGGTCCACATGATTTTCATGCCAAACTATAGTGGTCCTGGTGATTTTTCACTAGCCAGGGACCACAGGACCAGTGTAAATTTGGCACACTGAAACAATGGTCAAGATTAAGTCTACAATGAATCCAATACAAGGAGAACATGATACATATCCCAATATTGGGTAACAAATACAATAACAAGTGAGCAGTAGATTTTTATTCATCATATTTAGCGAAACATAATAAAATAAATTCTTCGACATGTTCTTACCATTTTGATAATTTATCACAACAATGACTAGTGTCAAATTAAAAAATATACAAGTGTTGATATTGGCTTGGAATATACTAGTAATTTTGCATTTTATGCTTTGATAAATAACACCAAACTTCAAGTAATAACAATCCTTAACAAAAGTTTCATGAATATTTGATTCTGGTGATAGAGATAGGCTCTGGTGTATTTGTAGTGTAAAACTGAGACTCAGTGTACATGCTGCAACTAGCTTGATAAGTATGATTATTACCTATTGTCAACAGCTGGATCGATGAACATGACATTGTGAGAGAATCAGAAAGTTCAAATAATTCAATCGTTAATGTTGATAGGTAGAGAATTCCAAAGACAAAAAGCTGCATGTTTGACAGATCGCTTGTGGAATGAAGCTAAATGCATGTTGGGGGCTGTTAACAGGAGCTGGTTCTGGGAGTGAAGAGTTCTGGTTGGGGTTATTCTGTGTTGAGGTTGAAATAAGCTCATGCTTTACCTAAATTCCACTTCTGGGTGGTAGACTTCCAACACATCTCCCGCGTGGACATTGGGGAAATCCTTCAGGTTAATCTGGATGTCAGCAGCTGCAATGTACGACACAAAACAACACTGACCATCATAACTGGGCTTTACTTTAGATTGCTAAAACCAATCCACAGTGAGGCAAATATAATAAACAACTCTATAGTCTGTTTGCAGTGAAAACGTACAGATGAATTTCACTTTAACCAAAAAAGTAAATCAAGTGAAATTAAGACTGCGAATACTCATAAATTTGCCTTGCCAACTGAACATTTAAATCTCAGAATTTTATTCATTGTAGGACACAAGTTGTTTAACAAATGATCATACATTCAAATCGCTATTATTGGTTTGTATTACAAGGGGGTAAGCGCAGTAGTTGGAACAGTGAAACAAATGCACGTGCGGCTCGTGATGAGCGTTAACTTAGACCAACTCTACTTGTTCTCGGTGTTTCATTTAATGTGCATACACCCTTGTAATACAAACCAATAATAGCGATTTGAAACTATGATCGTTTGTTAAACAACTTTTATCCTAAGTTGAATAAAATTCTGAGATTTAAATGGTCAGTTGGCAAGGTAAAATTACGAGGATTTGCAATCTTAATTTCATCTTATTCGATTTACTTTTTTGTTTAAATTGACATTCATCGGTACGTTTTCAATGCAAACAGACTATAATAGGGGTTAACGAATACAACAACAAACCAGTAGTTGATGTATTATTCATTATATTCAGTGAAACAATAGCACAATACATACCTTGATATGTTTTTATCATTAAGACAGTGCTAATTTATTACAGTGACAAGTTACCAAATCAAATCAAATATATAAGAGCATTGACCATCAATAAGTGATTGCTTTATGAGCAAATGCAGAGGGCATTAGGTACTTTTCATGACTTCATCAAATTTTGGGAGCTGAATATGTTATATATGTTACTGACAACTTGTTCACTAAGAAATGTGTTCATTAACATGAACCGTTCACAACTTTGGAGCACCTGTTCACTAATTGGCTTTTCTGTTACCCAACATGTCTGACGTATTCACAACTATGATCAGCAATACCAACATTTACTGGATGACTTGTATAAACATGCTGAAATTTTAACTGGTTCACTAACACATACACATTTTCTGAGGTGTTTTGAAGTTTTGTCAGCATATGTAAACAAGTAAAAAAAACCTGGCCAACATGTTTCTGTCCAAATATTAATGACAATCCATGCAAGATATTTTTTTAATGCGATTTGTTTGTTATCTCGGTAATTTAAACGTGTCAAACGCTATAATAAAATAACACTCAATTTCAATGACTGATTTCTTGTTGCTATACGTGTTGTCTGACAACGTGTCAACAAGAGTAAGTATGACTTTGTGACCCTATCACCTGTGGGCACCTGCATTGACAGGCGATCAGCTGCTGATAGTGAGAGGGTTACGTCAGAACTGACCGTAAACAGAGCAAACGGCTGAAGTTCGGTTATGTCACCGTACCATTTTGAAGGAAAACGTGAAATTTACTGAAGCAATAAATGTAAAACCAATGCAGAATCCAACCTTATCTATTACACCACTGAGACATCAAACATGTCTTTGCATTAAACACCTGTCTTACCGTTGTCCTTCCGTTGATGTTGGACAAGCTTGAAAGTTTTCATGATTCGCCCATATCGTGAGTTCTCGATTAGAGTTACCCGCCCCTGGATATTGCAGAAAACAGTTTTATATTCATCATTATAAAACTAATGCTATGCATACTATGTGATCTAGGTGAGCTATAATATATGATAAATTAGGTTACGGTAGATAATAATTTAATATAATAATTGTTTGATGTTACCCATTCAGTGCGGACCTGTTATAACACAAGTACCTGTTCCGGTTCCAAATGCAGCATGTTTGGAAGTTTAGTTAGAAATCGAAATGGCCTGTCAAAACTGACAGATTTTGGTATTTCTTCGGTAAAGTCATTTAGAGGTGAGGTTTTATGTCATGGTGTGACAATAATACATGACGAACTGAATATGCAAATGCAATAGTATTTTATTTGTGAAGGAAACTACGACCTTTGCTTGCGATGTCAGATGCTCTATTTCACTGGGACAGTTACTTCCCTTAGCCTTGATAGGATCTGCTCTGCATGGGTTTGGATCCAAGATTCGCCCGATTATGTTACTGGTTTGTTAGCTGAACACATGACTCAAGGGGGTGTTTTTGTAAATCATAATACCCACACTTCTTGATCGATGCTCATGATATTGATCATTGGATTGTCTGGTCCAGATTATTTAGAGACCGACACCATATGGCAGGAATATTGCTGAGTGCAGCGTTAAAGAACAAACAAAATACTTCTTGTAAGAATGGGCAAACAAAATCTGTCATTTCGATTCACATTGTTGATTCATGTTATCATGTTCATAGTGAGTCCATTAAAGCTGATGACAACATTCACTGAATTTTCTAATTTAGACATAACTTTTTACACTGTAGCTGAATATCTTGAGACTAATTTAATGGTTAAACATGTTAACTTTTTACACCCGAATCCCCACATGGGTACAATGTGTGAAGCCCATGTAGCTGTTGGAAATTGCTGAAAGCGGCGTAAAACCAAACTCAGTCAGTCAGTCAGTCTCTGACACAAGTGTAAAACTAGAAAGACAATGTTCACACTCTCTGAATGACTTTTTGTAGTGAACCTGTTTCCTCATTGATGTTAATGATTGGAATGCTGGTAATTCTACTTCCAGGCCCACCATGTGCTGTTACACAGGTGGCCACTCTCATGAAGCTCGAGGATCCACCATCGTATGACCGTAAGTTTCAAACATTGTGATCTTCCCACAGAGGCAAAACGATTCCCAATTATGCTTTTCAAATGCTAACTACAATAAATATCTTTTGGTTACAGTGTGAGACCTGGTTGATTGTGTCAACTGACCATCTGACATTGTGGCAAAGCTGTAGTATTGCTAAATATGGCCAAGATACATTACTAAAGATCAAGCTGAGTATTGTGATAATGCATGTACTTGGACCTGACGCCATGGTAACCGTATTGGCAAACAGTGTAGTGAGTCAGATAAACCTGTAGATTTCTACTGTGTGACTACAATATTTTTGTTCACTGAACAACCAACAGATATAAAACAAACTGCAGGCACTGCTGAATGAGTAATCTCGTATCGATCATGTAGGAGATGCACGTTAAGCGCAAATGACATTGTGTCTTTTAGGGTTTCTTCATGTTCGGATGGCTGTTAGATTTTTTGAAACTTTATACCCAGCAACAAAAACATGATAACGACAGCAACAGCCCTGGAAATCTGTTATAAGATCTTTGTGTTTAGAAATATTAAATTTTAATAAATACTAAAATTTGTATGGGCACAATGTTTTAAGTCCATTTCTGGTGTCCCCCGCCATGATATTGCTGGAATATTGCTAAAATTGGCGTAAAACTAAACTCACTCACTCACTAAAATTTGTAAATAATTAGTCTCAGATTTCAAGATTGATTTCTCAGTTGTCTTATGTGATAACTGGTATTGATAAATCATGGGTTAATTGAAAAACACTTTGCCCCAAATATGTGAAATTTACCTCCATTAAATTGACCTGACATGATATTTTACACAGGGGCTTCTATTGCTGAAAATAATACGTTCTGGGTCCTACATTTGTTCACTGATATGGATATCAGTGAATGAATGTAGGACCAAGGATGTATTATTTTCAACAATACAAGCTCCTGTGGTATTTTATAAGCCTTCCTATGTTTTTGTTCTTGTTGTTAGATGTGGAGTTTCCTGAGAGAAAGAGGTTGAGGTTCTATGAAAAAGTCCCTCAGTTACAGCAGGGTGTGCGAGCACCGAAAACTCCCAAAGATCTTCATCTGATGCGAGGCCCTGACAAGATCCACAACAAGTTACAGTACGGACAATATGGCATTCAGGTATATAGTCTAAAATCATTTCAGCAATGTGCTTCATCTTGTGAGGATTATGTTAGCCCTGCCAGTTCCCTCTGCTGAATGTGAACAAGCTTTCTCAGCCCAGAAAAGAGTTAAAAGTTATGTTTTGAGCTGATTGTCTGTGCAAAGACTTCATCAGAAGGTTCAGAACTTGCTGAGTTTGACCCAGAGAAGTCTGTTAGTAAATGGATGTCAAATGGCAAGAGACTGACTGACTGAGTATGGTTTTACGCCGCTTTTAGCAATCTTCCAGCAATATCACGGCGGGGACACCAGAAATGGGCTTCACACATTGTACCCTTCGACATGACGAGCGAATGCTTTAACCACTAGGCTACCCCATCGCCCCAAATGGCAAGAGAAGAATTGCTAGTGGCCCTGGACAGACTGATTGGTTAATGTGATTGGTTAAACATTGTGACTGTGAAACCAAAGTGTTGTGACTATGAAACCAAAGACAATATCTGAGCTCTCAGTACCAGTTAGAGAAAAGCAGGAAGCTTTAGTCAGTAGCTGAATAACTGTTAAATCTATCTGCATTTAATTTGAAATTCAGTGACATTTGACAGGGTTAAAGTTCTTCTGAAATAGGATGCCATTCTGTTGTTTGAGGTTCTCAATCTCCAGCCCTGGAAAAGTAATATAAATGAATCATTTCATTTATCATTATGATGACATTTATGATATAATGTACTCAATTTTAAAATTAGACAGTTACTATTTGTGTTCATACTTGTTAAAGTGGCATCCAGTTGGCATATTTGTTTTGTTTTTGAATCACTGAACAGAGTGATGAAATAAAACAAAACATTGGTTGGAAATGTAGTACTTTATTCACAAAATATTCTGGTGAAATAACATTACATGGGTCTGGCTAGTAAGCTTTGGCTAGTAAAAGAAAATATTTGCTTGTCAAAGGTCAACTAAATAAAAAATGTCCGCAGAGCCCCTGATAGATCAACATAACTTTGTTGGATCACAGGCAAACTGTAGCGCAAATAGGGTTGCGCAACAGAGAGAAACATGACCAGGCTTCTTATGTGCGAGCAAAGAGAGCAAAGGCTGGCAAAGTACTTCCCTTGCTTCATTTCGAAAATATTTTTAATGTCCAAATAAAATATTGCCACCATCAAAGGAAGACGACACCAATTTTCTCACAGGGTTGTGCTATCAGATTTCCAACCTCATTTTTAATGATTACTTTTATATTTTAGATATATTTCATTCAACATTTTAAGTGCCACTCGCGGCATATCAAATAGTTCCTCCTGCCCCTGCCGGCCCAGGTTCTATTAGAATAAGCAGAAATTCGCCTAATTTAACCATTAGATTGGTGATGATTACTTATCTTATCTGCCATCGTTATTGTTAGATTCTCGTAACATATATTCTTACAAAACTCTTCTGGCGTAGAGAGTGAATGAAAGCAAGGGAGGTAACTCTGCAAGTATTCCATATGGCAAACATGTAATTCAGGAAGTATGTGTAGAGATAACTTCCCTGTTCCTTCACTCCATTGAACTTGAAGCTGGCAGGGGTAATGGAGGCGAAGAACGATTTGATATTGAATAGCTCAATAAGGGACCGTTCATAGTTTATGGCTAGAGGGGGTGATGATGATTTTAAGGGGGTCACCCATTTTGTTCTGAGGAGGTAGGAGGTGATCAATTTTGTACCGGTACATATGTTTCTAGAGGGGTCAGCAATTTTGTACATAAAAATATTTAAAAATTATGCTTTAGAATTTGGAAAGGGGGAGGGGGATTCATTGATTTTGTACATGACATGCAGGGGGGTCACTTACTTTGTACATAAAGTTTAGGGGGGTCATTTACATTGTACATGCTTCTCCATAAAATTCATCATCACCCCCCTAGCCATAAATTATGAACGGTCCCTAAGTAAACAAGTATTAATATGTTACATCACAAAGTCAGCATGAGAAGCTTTGTACACTACAGATACTGACTAGAACTTTCATCTCTTCTCAGGCACTGACCGGGGGCCGGTTACGATGGGGCCACTACGATGCGCTACGTCTGACGATCGGTCGCAAGATGGATGAATCGAGGATGTTCGCCATCTGGCGCATCGACCAACCGTGGAAGTCTGTGTCCAAGAAGGGGATTGGTACACGAATGGGCGGAGGGAAGGGCAACATCGACCACTATGTCTACCCACTACGAGCAAACAGGATCATTCTAGAAATGGGTGGAAAATGTGAATTTAAGGAAGTGGAGAAAATCTTGAAACCTCTGGCCAAAATCCTGCCTTTTCGAGCACGTGTTGTGAGCCATGAGATTCTTGCAGAAGATGCTGAGCAAGAAGCATTTGTGAAGAAGAACAATATCAACCCTTTTACGTTTCAGCACTGCGCTCGGCACAACTTCCTGGGTTGCAGAACATGGATGAGTCCTTATGACTTTCAGTGGCATGGCAAATATAGATGATGCTGGCAGTTTTTGATATTCATGCTAGCCCAACAGCTAGAGACTGAAGAAATGAGTATTATCCATTGATGGTGGTGGTCCCTGACTAGTAACCTCTGAGGGCTATTCATTTGAATGTTCTCTGTGCTTCAGTTTTGCTAAAAATGGGACTTAATATTAATCACAGAAAATGTCAACAGAGTAAACTTATGTTAGCTGCAGATTCTGAGGACTGTTGAGATAAACTTGGCAATTGTCCTCTTTAGTGTCTTATTTCAGGCTATTCCAGGGTATCTTGTGCTGAAGGGAACGATGAGGTATGGTGGTTAAGATGTCCGCTCAGCAAGCTGAATGGCTGGGTGTCATTCCCAACATGGGTGTGATATGTGAAACCCATTTCTGGTGTCCACCTGCCATGATATGGCTGGAATATGTCTTTAAGTGGCATCAAGCCCCTTCATCACTTACAGACCGCCTCCGTGGTGTAGTGGTTAGAGCGATCGCCCAGAGAGCGGAAGGTCGCGGGTTCGATCGCCGACTGCATCATACCAAAAGACGTTAAAATATGGTACTTGTTGGTCCCTGCCTTGAGCTCGGCATTAACGGGTACAACAAGGACTGGTCGGCTCAGAGTCAGTATAATGTGTCTGTGTGGGGTATTCATGCTCCACTGCAGCATGGTATCTCAGTGGGCTAGCACTATAAGACCAGCTTAAGTCTCGACTAGTACAAGCTGCCGCACATACACATACACACGCATGCACGTCGTCATATGAGCGAAATATTCTCAAGCACGACGTAAAACCCAATTTCACCTCACCTCACCTCATCACTTACATACTGTAGACAAGAACAAAACAAAGAACATGCTTGTAAACATGGTAACATGGTAACAGTTATCATGGTTATCTATATATTTCCCCTACTGTTTTGCTGGCATTAGTGAGTGAGTGAGTTTAGTTTTACACCGGAAAGATTACAATGGGGTACACTAGAAATGGGCTTCACACTTTATATCCATGTGGGGAATTGAACTTGAGTCTTCAGCAGGGCGAGTGAATACTTTAACTACTGGGCCACCTCACCACCCCTCTATCATTACTGAATTGAAGTACTGCAATTTTCTTTGATTTCTGAAGGTAGTCTACACAATTTACATAAATAATAAGAAACTGATCCTAAATTTTGGGTGGTTTCCTGAGTTTCAAAATATCCATGTTCTGAATAAATTCCAACAGTCCTCCGGGTTTAGTAAAGACATGTTTACTATACTGGCTGAACATCCTCAATGTAAAATTCATGTGTGAAGTGAAATTTCAAAGAGAGGGTGTATTATTTGAAGTTGCATTTCTATATTAAGGAGGAAACTGCAGTGTGGTAGATATGGGTAGGTTTTGTGAAGTGTGAGAGGAAGATTTCAGGTGCTGCAATTTCAATTTGATTATTGAAGTTATCCCACACAATTTACATAAATAATAACAAAATTATCCTAAATTGTGTATAGTTCCCTAAGTTTCAACTATCCATATTCTGGACAATTCTCAACTGTTCTTAGGAGTATAATGACTGAACATCCGTTAGTGTAAAATCCCTATGTTAAGTGGGTGAAAACAGAAAGAATTTGCATGTGTTATTCAGAGTTGCATCCTTTGTTTTGGTTGAAACAGCAGTGAGCTAGATATGTATAGGCTTTGTGAAGTGTGAAAGGAAGACTGTCAGAAAATAAACCAGAATGATTTCACTGAATTTGTGTTTGTGTTTATTTGAGTTTTATTTGAATTTGCTTCGTTTTTACAAAGAAATGCAATGAATATCATGTGACCAGAATTGCTATACATACTGATGGTCAGTCAGATATCGTGAGACAGGTCTACTGGACAAGTCAAAGCTAGAAAAAAACAAGAAAACAACAACAAACCTATATTTACCTGGAGTAGGAAAATATCAAGACGCTACCAAACGTTGCTCTATGCAATAAATAAAAAGGTGTCATCGATAAAGTTTCTGTTTCTGACTCGCCAACTTCTAGAATACCGATAAAACAATTAACTTACTCATTTAGTTGATGGATGTCAAATTCCTATTGTAGAGATCGGGGGCGGTGGGGTAACCCAGTGGTTAAAGCGTTCACTCGTCACACCGAAGACCGGGTTCGATTCCCCACATGGGTACAATGTGTGAAGCCCATTTCTGGTGTCCCCGCCGTGATATTGCTGGAATATTGCTGAAAGCAACGTAAAACCATACTCACTCACTCACTCACTATTGTAGAGATCAACGCTCACGATGTCAACCACTGGATTGTCTGTTCCAGATTTGATTATTTATCAGAGAGCTGCTGTATTACACCAAATTTACTGTCTGTAGTGATATGTGAATACATGACACTTTTTATTCTTCGCCAGGACGTTTGGGAGCTGCCAGTTCCCCAGCAGACCCTTGGAACTAAGCTGATTTACACCCGTGAATTATAGGCCCCCATAGAATAGTAAACCGGGGCGTTGTTTATCGCTTTTCTGACCGGCAGTGGGGGCCAATGCCGTGAAGATCCCTGTTAGAACTGGTCTTCAGCAACCCATGCTTGTCCTAAGAGGCGAGTAACTGGATCGGGTGGGAAGGGTCACTGACTTGATGGACACATGTCATTGTATCCTAATTGCGTAGATCGATGCTCATGCTGTTGATCACTGTATTGTATGGTCCAGATTCGGTTATTTACAGACAGCCGCCTTAGAGCTGTAATATTGCTGAGTGCGTCGCTAAGCAACACACCAAACTTGCATGATACATGTATATACAACGGAAAGAAGTATCTGTGCATTACGTAAAACTGCAAAAAACAAAAGTTACATGAAAAGTTATAAAAATAACCCAAAATAAACATGTAGCAAAGCACTTTCATGATGTTGATGTCACGTATCATGCGTGGCACGTGCACTTTGTGCACAGTGAACTTACTCACTTTTTGCATGACTTTTGACACCTGAACTTCACAATCTGATTAAAAATTGAAGAATGGTTGATTATTCTCTCGCCTCTGAATGTTGTGTAAAACACCTTATTTTCAACCTAAACTGCGTCTCCGCGCCGTGGGAATGGCCCAAAATGAGGTGGCGAGGCATTTTGGTGTCCATCGAAACACGATTTCATCTCTGTGGAGACGTTTTTTTAACATAATGTGAATACGAGATATTTGCCTCATACCGGCCGTCTACGTGTGACGTCACGTCAGCAAGACAACCACATTCGGCCGACCCATCTAAGGAACCGATTTCAGACAGCCAGTTTGACTGTTCGGAACATTGCTGGCTTACGTGCAATCAGTTCCAGGACTGTATAACTCATTTCCAGCATAACGTCCGGCCCCAACTTAACGGCCTGCAATACATTCAATTTTGCTCCTGCAGGCAGGTCTTGTCCGATGCATACAGCATCTATATACAGGAGTCATGATTGTGAATCTGTGATGGTGTTTTGTTCACTGACCCCAGCTGTTTCTCCGGACCTGTCCACCATCGAGCACACTTGGGATGAAATGGAACGACGTTTAAAGCCCAGAATCAGCCATTGACGTTACCTGAATTGGGACAAGTGTTGGTTCAGACATGGAACAACGTTCCCCAAGCTGTCTTCAGTCGCTAGGTGTCGTCTATGCGTCGTCACTGTGAAACCTGCGTCAACGCCAATGGTGGACACACACGATACTGAATTTGTGAACTGACCTTTGACGCCAAATGTCTTCAAGGGTGTATTACGTTGCCTAGTGTCAAATGATATCCTGTCAACAGTTAAACGTTGATTAAGGAAAACACCCCAAATGATATTAAACCGTATTATCTTTATGCATGAAAACATAGCATAACATCCAATAATACTCATTAACTTATTCCAGTAGTATAGCTTATCTATTGACTTCAAATATAACAGCGTCCTCATACTCAGAACAAAGGTCGCTATGATCCTTTAATATATCTTTATCTCGCTGTACACACGCACCTGTCTCTCTGAACGTGAATGGTCGGCACCGAAGGACCCTTATCTGTGAAACAAAATGGCGTCCCGGTATTACTACCACGTATTGACAACACTTCTCATAACAAATAGACTGTTCCCGGTTTGTACGGAGATAGTACTTGGTGAAAATGTGGATGACGAATTCGACTTTGACGGTCTTCCAGGAGTTCAGCATGAGTTCAAAGTGGAAGTACCGGCGGGGAAGGAGGACTGTTTCTATCAGTTCGCTGCGGAAGGGAGTAAACTCTATGTGTCGTTTAACGTACGTTGCATTAGCGGTATTCGTGAAATGTTGGTAAATGCAAACACTGTAGTGTCGAAGTTGAAGGTACCCTCGAATACACTTCGAATTATCCGAGGTTGGACGCAACCGCAAAATGATGACTAAAATGGAATAATTAGGGACCAAACTTTCACTTCGAAACAACCGTAACTTCGACACATCAGTGTTCGACACTACGGTGTTTGACCATGTATTATTACACTCAGCTGTCAAAATTATACAATGGGAATTCTGGTGTAGGTATGTCTCAATGAATCCCAGATTGCGGTAATGGACGGTTTCAAACAATTGGGTGGTTGAGTTTTTATCATTTATATTCCAGTGGGAATTTCGGTGTACATATGTCCCGAGTAATGCCAGCTTGTCGTCAAGGACCACTGCACATTAGATTAAGTGGTTGGACTTTGATCTTAAAATCTTAAAATCATTACCAATGGGAACTCTCGTGTATGATGATATTATTGTCAGGTTTTGTGGATGGCGCGTCATTGTTAGAACTTCCTTTGGCTTCCTTTTAGTTAGGGAATTCTGAAAAATCACTCTTATTGATTGAAAATGGATAGTAAGTACTTGGACAGGGACTTACAGGGAAGACCACATCTGAGCCTGGTCTCCCGTCAGCTGGGTCGATCCGCACACTATCAACCACTCTGGCTGCCTAGAGAATCTGGGTTGGAATATAGTACTTACCCCGAAAGCAGAGGTGTTCATAAAATTCATCACTGATCGTCTAGTCCAGACTCATTTGTTCATAGGTCGCTGTCATATAGCTGGAATATTGCTGTCTGTGACGTAAACGTAAATGTAACACATAAAAATGATAAATGCATCTACCATACTTATCTACAGTACGGTTATGTTTTCATAGACCGACATATGTAACACATGTTATATTTGGCATTACACTCTGAGAGTGCGGGTTCGAATCCCAGATGGAACTCAACCTATCATAAGTAATATAATCTGTACTTTTCTGAATGAAGTGTGACAGCAACTATAACATATGTTACATTTGACCACTTTCTAAATGGCGTTGTGCATTCATGACCGGTATATAGTCTCTGGGTATATGAAGCGTTGACGCGTCTGTTATATCCCGTTAGATTTGTGTTCTGTTTCTGTGTCAAGACTCAACGACAGCACCGGCTCATTCACATGCTCCACCAATAGATAAGACAACGGGACCTGATTCCCTGCAGCGTTCTTGTCCCATAGAATGTAAAGGGTGTATGCAGTACTGAAGAGTACAGGAAATTGTGTGTTGTAATTTAGAGTTTTCTGATAGTATGGAAAACCATATTTTAATTGGAAGCCTGGCCGTTTCCCAGACATCTGTAAGTTTATAAAAAGTACAGAATGACTGTGACAGCTTGACTGCAGAAACGTTTCAGTAACTGATATTATCGGCAACATCTGGGCCGTCGGTGAATGATGACTGTCAACCAAAGCACACACCCACAAAAACATAAACAAATAAACAAATAAACATGGATGTGTTTAGTCGAGCTTCACGTCAAGCTGTTAGGGACCAATTCCAATGTGGAATTCCACCGAAAATCTAATAACAAGGTTGTAATAACTCTGTTTCATTCAGGTCTTGAGAGGAGGCGACAGGAACATCAACTTCTTCCTCATCGACCAGAACCATGCCGTGATAGACGCCCACTACGAAAAGCCAGACGCCATGGTGGAGGCAGATGTCAAGGAAAACGGTACTGGGGGCGCTTTACATCGCCGACAAGTAATACGCACGCACTCGAAGGCTGGCGGTACTTTGCACTTAAATGGGTCCTCCGCTTTGTTTAGCCTTTATTTTGAACCTATTGTAAACAGTGGTCTTGCATTCTCGTCATCTAAATTCACTCAAACACAATGTCTCAGTTTGACCAAAGTCACTCATTACAGTAATCTGGCGCCCGGCTCGTTTTGAAAAAGCTTGGTATATAGCGATATGCGAGACGGAGCCCAAGTTGACATGGTGAAATTCTAATTCTAGTAATTCTATCCTGGAAATAAATAAGACCGCCTTTCAAATGTCTTTTTTCCAGGCTATTACCAGGTCTGTTTCGACAACACACAGAGCAGGTACACCTCCAAGCTGGTGTACTTCTACCTGGTAACCATCATCATGGACAAGTGGAGCCAGTATATGATTGACGTGTCTGAGATTAAGGACCTGACTGTCAATCTGTCAGTGAGTAGTCCGTGAGGTGTTTAACGCCAGTTTGAGTAGGATTAGAGCTCTGTCAATGAATGGCAGCTTGATGTAGGAGGATAACCTCAGGCGGCGCTGGTCTTTAGATGTTTCCCACAAACCGAAGCCCAGCAGTCGTGTGCGGAACTTACAAACATAAAAATACTCACCGATATTCGAACCCACGATAATATGTTACTGGTAAGCCAAAGGGACGCAACTCTGCACGGCACAATGCGACACCTTATACCGAAAGGCCATCTCTTACAGTTACAGCTGAGGTTATAGTTGCCGTCATCTTTTAAATGCTGTTGAGTAATTCACTATCCGTGAAAGGGGCTGAGGGCTAGCGAAGTGGTCAAAGCGTTAGCACGTCACGCCGAAGGCCCGGTTTCGATTTCCCACATGGGTACAAAGTCTGAAGCCCATTTCTGAAAGCGGCGTAAAACCATACTCAATCACTATCCGGGGTAGTAGCCATCCTCTATTATCTAGGTATTTTATATTTCGTACGGAAATGTCACCAGTAGTCAACTTGCCTTTTTACGTAGCGAGGCAATGGGATAGCCTAGTGGTTAAAGCGTTCGCTCGTCACGCCGAAGACCCGGGTTCGAATTCCAACACGTTTACAATGTGTGAAGCCCATTTCTGGTGTCCCCTGCTGTGATATTGCTGGAATGTTGCTGAAATCGGCGTAAAACCATACTCACTCACTTGATACGTATCGTCTCGAATACTACTGGAATGTCTTGCACGTGTGATCTGGTTTGGTTGGTTGTTGTGTAGTGCTGCACGCAACTGTATTCCAGCTATATGACGGGGTCTGTAAATAATCCAGTCTGGACCAGATATCCAGTGATTGATATCATGAGCATCGATCTACACAATTAGGAAACGATGCAAGCCTGGAACCCGTGAGTGGCCTCTTAGGACAAGCATGTGTTGTTGAATACCAATTCTAACCCGGTGAGTGAGTGAGTGAGTTTAGTTTTACACCACACTCAGCAATATTCCAGCTATATGGCGGCGGTCTGTAAATAATCGAGTCTGGACCAGACAATCCAGTGATAAACAGCATGAGCATCGATCTGCCGATCTTCACAGGTTTGATGTCAGTAACAAGAGTGTAGGAGGGTTTTAAGAAACAATCACTTTCATATGCTAAACGATAAAAATATCAATGTTTTTGTCCCAAGATAAAAACTCCTCCCTCCCTACCGAGGATGGTAACACTCACGTTTACTTTCAGACGATACTCGAGGGCGTGGAGCTGTCCCTGACAGACGTTGACAAATATCAGCTGCACTCTCGCCTCAACGTCATACGCGACTGGTACCTCCTCAAAGCCAACGAGCGCTACGTGGGGTACTGGTCCACGGCCCTGTGTGTTGTAGTCCTGGTGGCGGGGGTGGGGCAGGTGTTCTTCCTGAGGAGGATGTTTCGGATGCCCGTCGTCACCCCCACGTCCAAACCTCGGGCGTGATTGATATTAAGTTTTGATGTGTATATATCGTTATAGTCGTTATATAAGTTTTCAATCATCTGGAATATGTTGAATGTGAGTGAGTTGGTTTTGAACAGTATTCCAGTAATATCATTAAATGTTTGTTTATTGTGGGAGCAAAGCCTTTAGTTACTGAAATCCCGTAAAACAATTCAATACTTTAATACAATAACCGACGTCGTGATATATGTCAGTTGTCATTGCCTTGTACTCGCAAGTGTCCTCGTGCTTTAACTAAACAGTTCAGGGCAAGACTGTACATAATTACATCATACACGGGTAGAACGTCTCTTCTTTATGCTACTAGTGATAAAATCAGATCTGTTTATTTAGAATAATGGCCCATCTAAGGGCTTTTGGCTATGCTCGTTTGTTACGGATGGTTTTGTGAAAGCACGAGACATATAAGGTATCATCTTCGCTTATCCAGTGTATTATACTTCCATTTACTATGCTATAAACGTTGGACCCATCCGCCACCAGTGTCGTACCGGAAGTGATCTCACCAGATCTGTCACTTTCACATTTGGTGCAGAACTGCTCTCACTCAGTACAGTAATTTGATTGGACGGCTATTTTTAGTGTCGTATTATTTGAGCTCAACACAAGACTATGACATCTGATGGTCACAACGGAATATATACACATGTACAATTTACTGGATATTCAAGGGTGGTATGTATTCAAAGTACTTGCTCACGTATATTGTTCCCTACATGGTGTGTTGTGTCTCGTCGTGTTTATAACAAAATAAATGTGATAAATACAAACAGTGTTCTTATTCATTTTTTACATGGCAAAGAAGAAGTTGGGTTCAGGGAATTTCTGTGCATTTATCGTTCAAACTATGTGGTTCTCATGTTGGTGACTGACCATTTCATATTTAGATCTGTGCAGATCTAGATTCAGTGTGACAAACGATTCTCCGCAAGGTTGTATCACCAGATGGATGATTTAAAATTTTCGATCGCATTATTCCAACGGCTTCAGCTTTTGGTGTGTTTAAGGTATAATCAAACATGTTCTTTTCCCAATGATTTCCCGCAATATTGCTGGAATATTGCTGGGTGCTGCGTTAAACGACAATTGAGTGAGTGAGTATGGTTTTACGCCGCTTTTAGCAATATTCCAGCAATATCACGGCGGGGGACACCAGAAATGGGCTTCACATATTGTACCCATGTGGGGAATCGAACTCAGGTCTTCGGCGTGATGAGCGAACGCTTTAACCACTAGGCTACCCCACCGCCCCGTTAAACGACAAACAAACAAACCCACTGATTTCATACGACTCGAAGTTGTTCAATCTAGGTTTCAAAATACAAGTTCTCAGTAAAATTTATGGTTAAATATGTGGCGGAAATTTCAAATGTTTACGTCTATGCTGTCAGTCAGTCCAACATTCCGTCATCTTGTGTAAGGACGACCACGAGTAGGACGTGCTGCTTGTAGGTCACGGCCTGAGGTTGAGCTGGAACTCACCTCACTAATGAGCACTAGAGCCGATAAATATGCTCATTCATGTCTTTGCGTATTTGTTTATCATGTATTGTATAACCAACCAAAAACTTTTGGATCTAAAGTATTCTTCGTCTTCGTCAATGTATTCGACATGCATTCGTTGACACAACTCAAAAGAATTATGGACCACGCTGAAATATTTTGATCAATGATGCAACAGTCAAGTCTTTAATAAGCCATGCATAATAGGATAAGGTGAGGTGAGGTGAGGTGAGGTGAGGTGAGGTGAGGTGAAATTGGGTTTAACGTCGTGCTTGAGAATATTTCGCTCATATGACGACGTGCATGCGTGTGTATGTGTATGTGCGGCTGCTTGTACTAGCCAGGACTGAAGCTGGTTTTATAGTGCTAGCCCACTGAGATACCATGCCGCAGTGAAGCATGAATCGAATACGATGACATTTTTGTCAGCGAACCTGACCACCTGATCCCTTTAGCCTCCTCTTACGACAAGCATGGGTTGCTGAAGACCAATTCTTGCCCGGATGTTCACGGTTATGTTTTCAAATTAAAAGAAAGAAAACCTGCCATAATACAAAACTGCTTATGGGTGTATTTGACATTTTAATGTATTTAGCTTTCTTTCTGCACAAATTAACAAACAATTAAACACGGTATGGGGCAAGTGGTTGCATATTTAATTCTCTTGGTAAATATTTCCCAAATCGTCAGTGGCCAAGTTATTTTTACATAAAATTACCAACAGATTAATTTTTACAAAGTCTTACATGCATGAGTGATGGTTGTAGAGACATTTAAATTAAGAAAAGATCTTTCTATTTTCAAAGTATGCTTGGCATACTTTGGGTGGCTAACCTTCATCGACTTTGATCGTTATCAGCTAAGTCGTACTCTGTAGCCAGCTTTTATATTCATTTTAAAGTATTTGGAATAGTATCTCAGTTATAAACGGGCGTATAGTGAGAGATTACGCGAGGAATTTAAGTTTTAGGCCGTTATAAACAGTTTAAATGTTTCTCGGCGTGTCATATAAATGTGGCGACAAGTCCTATTTTTCCTATTTTGGGTATAATCCACGAACATTGGTCCCGTGCTGACAAACCAAAAATAATCAGGGGTTCTGGGTATCTTGGATTCAACCTCGCGATTATAGGATTCTAGGACGCTAAAGGGACGCAACTCAGCCCGTCGACTAGGCCAGCTAATGTCCCCTTACAAAGGGAGATAACCACACAGGATGGTGACGTACGGTAGCGTCTAAAACATTTAAATAAATATGAACTTTTAGTATGAATCACTTTGGAACTGTCACTTTATTGTCGTTATCAGTGGCCCGTTATCTTACACCACCGGAAATAGACCCTTATCTTCAGATCAAAATGGCGGCGAGGCATAAGTACGGCATTTTATCAGTTCTCCTGTTGACGAACGAAATACTCCTAGTTTCCACAGAAACTGTTCTTGGTCAAACTGTGGACGAGGAATTCGACTTCGATGGCATTCCCGGAGTTCAGCATGAGTTTAAAGTGGAGGTTGCCGCGGGGAGGGAGGAGTGTTTCCATCAGTTCGTCACAGAAGGGTGCCGACTCTACATCTCCTACAGCGTACGTGATGCTTCATGCGTTTCTGTAAAGATGGACTTTCCTCCATGGTATATTGTTTCCATTCTATGAAATGTGTATGATTTGTTGGTTATTCAGCGCCGCACTAAGCAATATTCAACAGGATAAGAGGGCAAGAGTTTGACTTGGGACACATAACGATGTGGCGATCCTACCTGACCACCCTCATTAATCTAGAATGACACTGACTATGTTGCTTATAATAGACCTGCTGTATTGATAGAAAAAGCGTTCAGTAGTACAATAGGAAATGATATCTGAAAGTAACTGTCACCGTACTGTCGTATGTACATGACTGTAAAATAAAATATAATGCGTCTTCCACATGCATGTCTGTCGACATGCATGATTTTGCGTGTATGCGTTTGTGTGCGTTCGTGCGAGCGTGTGCGCGTGCGCGTGTCTCACACTGTTTCATCGTTCAGCACAAACCCCACCCATCCTACTATCGACCAATCAGGATATGCTACTAAGTCCGTTAGGGGTCATGGTCAAATAATTTTCGACTTACGGAAAACCTTAATAATTGCCTTGGCAAACAATTGCCGCGAAATCATTGCAAGTAATAAGTATATTCCAACATGGTCCAGGTTGTGAGAGGCGGCGACAGGAACATCAACTTCTTCCTCTTGGACAAACACGGCGAAGTCATCGACTCCCAGTACGACAAGCCCGGTGCGATGGTTGAGAAGGCGATCGAGGAACAAGGTACATTGTACATGTAGTCGGAGGGAGTTGTCTCCCCTTCTCCGGGATCCGAATTATCACTTAATGTGTATTTGCGTTAAATTTAAACTTGCGTCATATAAATCCCACAGCAGTAAATTAGGCTCGAACTTTCGTAAAGTATGGCCATACGACCTGGTGAGCTGACGCCTATATATTCCATTAGTGTGTCACTCTTTGCATGAAAAAATAATTAAAATAGATTGATTTCTACAATAAAATATTGGGATTTGCACAGAAGTTAAACATTTCATGAAAGAGATGTGGAGGACATTTCGAAATCTGATGCAAAAATACTGTCCGATGCAATTCCCTTTTTTGACTTGTACCATACGTTCACGAATTATTTCAGGCGAACAATTGACTAGACTTAGCATATGTTTATGCCGGGTGCCACCGGCGGGGCAGGATACGATCTCCTTTTGCGAACACTTGTATCATCGCTGTTTCATAGTGGATTCATAAACACATGCTCTGTCACCGTATTGCATGGTGACAATCACTGGGTTGTCTGATCCAGACTGATCCATTGTACAGCTGTAATACTGCTGAAACAAATATATGCTCATGATATAGTCAATTATTCAATCGACTCTGCTTTTAACAGAGATTTCTTATGAACGTTTACCCATTACTCCTGCCGGCAGAAATTAAACGAAATATCATATTGCAAAATTTAACCATTAAACTGTTGGAGATTATTTTTCTTATCTGCCGTCGTTATTGTTAGAATTTTCGTAACATTTCGTAAACACCTCCCTCGCAGCGGGTAAATGAAAGCAAGAGAGGTAGCTCCGCAAGCATTCCATATGGCCGACATCGGTTCCCAATTGCGCAGATCGATGCTCATGCTGTTGATCACAGGATTGTCTGGTCTAGACTCGATTATTTACAGACCACCGCCATATAGCTGGAATATTGCTGAGTACGGCGTAAAACTAAACTCCCCTCCCTCCACATGGCGGACATGCGATTCTACAAGTATATTTAGATTTAACTCCCCTGTTCCTTCACTCGCAGGGGTAATGGAGGCGAATAACGATTTGATATGTGGCGCTTAAATATATTGTACATGAGTAATTATTAAATATGAGGTCGGAAATCTTAGAGCACAACCCTGTGAGGAAATGGGTGTCTGCCTTTGATGGTGTCGATATTTTATTTTGATATTAAAAATATTTTTCGAACCGAAGCGAGGGAAGTACGTTGCCAACCTTTACTCGCTTTGCTCGCATATAGGAAAACTGGTCATTTTCTCTTTGTTGCGCAACCCTATTTCGCTACAGTTTGCCTGTGGTTGAAGGGATATTGTTGTGGGTGTCTGTGGTTGTGGATTGGGTTGGGAGCTGGCAGTGGGTGAGAAGAAGCGATGTAGGTTAACACGAGAATGAACGTGGATGTCAGTGTTCATACCGGGTTGTTGGGGTGCAATTTCTGCGCCACTACAACTATACAGAGGTGGTCTAGTCAATGTTTATTAATTCCTTTTTCATTTACATTCCGACATTTTTTACAAGACAAAAAATATCTGGCTTCCAGTCCATAATATTGTCAAATCTTACAAATCTGCACGTACAAAGACATTCTTTTCTCATTTATTAAAAAACAGTAAGTGAGTGAGTTAACTCCCAAAACCCTTTTTGGTAAATGTACATGTATCAGGAAGTGTCAACTCAATCGAAACCCTGTGTGACATGTGTCTGAGACCTGGCATGGCAACGGCAGAATCTTAATCATGGAGAATCTCATACGCTACTTTCCGACAGTCCATAGATGATGTCGGATCCGTCGGCAATGTCTTATCTGCTGGACAGGTGAATATCCGGGTTAGAATTGGTCTTCATTCTTCAGTAACCCATGTTTGTCGTAAGAGGCGACTAACGGGATCGGGTGGTCAGGCTCGCTGACTTGGTTGACACATGTCATCGTATCTCAATTGCGTAGAACAATGCTCGTGCTGTTGATCAGTGGATTGTTTGGTCCAGATTCGAATATTTGCAGCCGCCGTCTTATATCTGGAATATTGATAAATGTTGCGTCAACAACTACCAAAATAATAAACAACCAAATCTTGACTGATAGACCTCCTGAAACTAGGGACATAACTCCGTGAATAAGTGGTCTCATTCGTGACCAACTCGTGTTATTCCGGGACAAGCCGAATAGCTGGAGGTTACGGAAAGAGGCGAGTGGTGACGAGTGTAAGTGGTCTGACCAAGACATAGTGGACTATAAACCTGTGGAGTGTAGAAGATCGAATCGTGCACTGACATGAATCTTACAACACGCACAGAACTCCTATTCGGAGAATCCATCTCCTTCTAATTTATCTGAAAACTTTAATCCACAGTGTATTTCATATCTCGCCATTGGTGTGTTTCAAAGCATATTCATGGACGTTTTCTTTCTATTTTCAAGGGTACATGGAATTCTGTTTTGACAACACACACAGCCGATTTGGTTCGAAGCTGGTGTACTTCTACCTGACGACCTTCCTCATTGAGAGATGGGGCCAGTACTTGAAGGATGTGGAAGAGCTCCGTGGTCTCACGGTTAACCTCTCAGTGAGTACTGGTAATCTGTATCAGGTGCTCACGTATGTGGAATGCTTTGCCCGGCATTGTTTCTTCAATATTTTTGCATTGTTTCTTCAATATTTTTGCATTGTTTCTGCAATATTTCTGCAGTGTTTCTGCAATAATTCGGAAATGTTTCTACAATGTTTCTGCATCATTGGTGCAATGTACCCGGAAACATTCGACCTTTTTTTCTGCAGTGTGTCTGCAATGTTTCTACATTGGTTCTGCAGCAATTATGCAGTGTACCTGAACATTTTCGACAATGTTTCTGCAATGTTTCTGCAATGTGTCTGCAGTGTTTCTGCAATGTTTCTGCAACGTAGCTTCCAGCTTACATTTCGGACGTTTTCAGGTATGTGTGCAATACCAACAACAACAACAACAACAACAACAACAACAACAACAACATCAACATCAACAACATCAACATCAACAACAATAACAAAACAAGAAACAGAACTCGCACTCATTTTTGACATCGCGCCCACTCTATAGTCCTTTCTATAATGGTAACAATAGTAATGATAAGACTGCCAATCTGTCTATTTATTCAGAATTATTGTGCGCGTTGTTGTAATTTGAAACTGATATTTTGTTTAAGGGGAACCAAGACATAGCTAGTGATACTTGCTCGTGTGTGTGTTTGTGTGGAGGGTGTGTGGGAGAGTTGGAATGCTTTCAACTCTGTCCAAGCTACTCCTTTACCCCTTAAACTCAAGTGCTGAACGCCTTAGGTTTGACATGTTGGGTGGGAAAAATGCGTTATAGTTTTACAGCTGTATTGTAACATTAGCATGATGGGCAAGGACCCTTACCTGTGGCGTAGTGGTAATATCGTTAGAATAACGTCGAAATGTCCATTAGTCAATATTCTCTTTGCTTAGTTTGAAACTGAAGAATTAAGGAAAACCAAAACATAGCTAATGATACGAGATTGTTATATTTTGGAGTTGTGCGCCTCACCTAGCGTTATTCAAGCTATAACATTGAGGCATGTTAATAATCGGCTCAATTCAAACCGGTCTGGTTGCTAATGGAAACACCAATAACAAACGAATTATAACCTTTTAAATACGAATTCCCTGACCAACCGAGGATGGACAAAAACTGATGTGTGTTTTTTTCAGTCAATACTTGAGGGGGTAGAGCTGTCTCTTACGGACGTGGATAATTACCAGACACATACCCGCCTCAACGTCATGCGCGACTGGTACCTCCTCAACGCCAACCAACGCTACGTGGGGTACTGGTCCACAGCCCTGTGTGTTGTAGTCCTGGTAGCGGGGCTGGGGCAGGTGTTCTTCCTGAGGAGGATGTTTCGGATGCCCGTCGTCACCCCCACGTCCAAACCCCGGGCGTGACAGAGATGCAGAGTATTCTTTTGATACTGCTAAACATGTGTTTACATATCGTCTCAATCATATTTCTGGCAGCCGGACAAATGTTCATTGAAAGTTGCCTCTTTTGACATTTTAAATCATTTTCAAGGAATCACATACTGGTATATGTATGTTGCAATCTGATGTTTCTGGAAAACTGTAATAAAACGGTGCGAAACATGCTGGGAAGAAATGTCTTCTTCAGATGCATGGGTGTACTGAGGAGGTGACTGAAAATATATGCCTTAGGCTCATTTCTAACAACGTGTGTCTATTGGGTCTTTAGTTCTTGGTTTGGTTGTTGTTTAACGCCGTACTCAGCAATGTTCCAGCTATATGACGGCGGTCGGTAAATAATCGAGTCCGGACCAGACAATCCAGTGATCAACAGCATGTGCATCGTTTTACGCAATTGGGATACGATGACCTGTGTCAACCAAGTCAGCGAGCCTGACCACCCGATTCCGTTAGTCGCCTCTTACGACAAGCATGGATTTCTGAAGATCAATTCTACCCCGGATCTTCACGGGTGATATGTCTTCATGATTATTGGATTTTCGGAAAAAATAAGTAGCGTGTCACATGTTGTGTGGGGGCGGTGGGGTGGCCTAGTGGTTAAAGCGTTCGCTCCTTACGCCGAAGACCATGGGTCGATTCACCACATAGGTACAATGTGTGAAGCCCATTTCTGGTGTTCCCCGTTGATGTTGGTTAAGTAATGCTAAACGCGTCGTAAAGCCATACTCACTCACTTACTCGCTGTGTTAAAAGGTTGTAGAGTTCGTCGTTGTATCGCTACACCATGTTAGGATGCCATTTTTTAAAGTAGAATATGTAACACCCTTAACTGTTTAATAATTATTTATTATATTTTGTCAGGAGTTTGAAAGATTGAAGTAGCAATATTGCCTAGGTCTTAAGTCTTAATTTAATATTACATGATAATCTGTGATTACTAATATTAGCTAACCTGATCTGACGTCGATGACAGGAAACATACTTTTAAAACCCCGCATAACCGGCCTGGTGGATAAAACATAACACGGGACGCATAAAACCCAGAATACCGGCTCGGTGGATAAAACATTACACGCGACGCATAAAACTCCGTATACCGGCTCGGTGGATAAAACATTACACGGGACGCATAAAACTCCGTATACCGGCTCGGTGGATAAAACATTACACGGGACGCATAAAACACAGTATACCTGCTCGTAGTATAAAACCAAACATGGGACGCATAAAACTCAGTATACCATCTCGGTGGATAAAACCTAACACGGGACTCATAAAACCCCGTATAGCCCTCATGACAATGCTACAACTTATAACATCGTGCTCTAACATTCTGACGCCAGAAGATAGGGTCTCCCTTGCATTCCCTGCATTGTTCAAAACGAATGTCGATTTCCGAAAGTAATCCTACTTTTTATAGCCAGATACTGCATGCTCTTTACTGCACAATTTTCACGTCCAAGATGATTTCAGTTGCGTTGTGGCGATGCTTTTTTTAATCCTTGTAAGAAATCTCATCAAAATCAACATTTTCAGGTGAAGAAGTGGAATTGTGCAAAATCATGTTGATACTTTTGTTACATATTTTGACAATTGTTTGAACGAAATAGACAGATTTTTAAACTAAAAGATTTTCAAAAATACACAACCACAACGCCTATGCGCTTCTTTTTCTTTTTTGGTTGTTGATAGAATACTACTTACCCCGGTCTGTGATTAGTAATATTATTTAACCTAGTCTGTGATTAGTAATATTACCTAACCTAGTGTGTAATTAGTAATAATACCTAACCTGATGCGTGATTAGTAATATTACCTAACCCAGTGTGTAATTAGTAATAATACCTAACCTGGTGCATGATTAGTGATATTAATTAACCCAGTGTGTAATTAGTAATATCACCTAACCTGGTGTGTGATTATAGTAATATTATACACATAACCTGGTGTGTGATTAGTTATATCACCTAACCCAGTGTGTAATTAGTAATATTACCTAACCCAGTGTGTAATTAGTAATATCACCTAACCTGGTGTGTGATTATAGTAAGATTATACACTTAACCTGGTCTGTGATTAGGAATATTACCTAACCTAGTGTGTAATTAGTAATAATACCTAACCTGGTGTGTGATTATAGTAATATTATACACATAACCTGGTTTGTGATTAGTAATATTACCTAACTTAGTGTGTAATAAGCGATACCTGGTGTGTGATTAGTAATATTACCTAACCCAGTGTGTAATTAATAATATCACCTAACCTGGTGTGTGAGTATAGTAATATTATACACCTATAACCTGGTGTGTGATTAGTAATATCACCTAACCTAGTGTGTGATTACAGTTAGATTATACACCTAACCTGGTGTGTGATTAGTAATATTACCTCACCCAGTGTGTAATTAGTCATATCACCTGATCCGATGTGTGATTATAGTAATATTGTACACCTCGTAATATTACCTAACCCAGTGTGTGATTACTAATATCACCTAACCTGGTGTGTGATTATAGTAATATTATACACCTAACCTGGTGTGTGATTAGTAATATTACCTTACCTAGTGTGTAACTAGTAATAACACCTAACCTGGTGCGTGATTAGTAATATTATGCACCTAATCCAGTGTGTAATTAGTAATATCACCTAACCCACTGTGTAATAAGTAATATCACCTAACCTGGTGTGTGATTATAGTAATATTATACACATAAACTGGTCTGTGATTAGTAGTATTACCTAACTTAGTGTCTAATTAGTAATAATACCTAACCTTCTGTGTGATTAGTAATATTACTTCACCCAGTGTGTAATTAATAATATCACCTAACCTGGTCTGTGATTATAGTAATATTATGCACCTATAATCTGGTGTGTGATTAGTAATATCACCTAACCCAATGAGTGATTATAGTAATATTATACATCTAACCTTGTGTGTGATTAGTAATATTACCTAACCCAGTGTGTAATTAGAGTAATATTATACATCTAACCTGGTGTGTGATTAGTAATATTACCTAACCCAGTGTGTAATTAGAGTAATATTACACATCTAACCTGGTATGTGATTAGTAATAGCACTTAACCCAGTGTGTAATTAGTAATATCACCTAACCTAGGGTGTAATTAGTAATATCACCTATCCCGATGTGTGATTATAGTAATATTATACTCCTAACCTGGTGTGTGATATTACCTAACCCAGTGTGTGCTTATACTAATATTATACACCTAACCTGGTGGGTGATTAGTAATATTACCTCACCCAGTGGGTAATTAGTATTGCATAACCCGGTGTATGATTATAGTAATATTATACACCTTACCTGGTGTGTTATTAGTAATATTACCCAACCCAGTGTGTGATTATAGTAATATTATACACCTAAACTGGTCTGTGATTATTAATATTGCCTAACCCAGGGTGTAATTAGTAATATCACCTAACCCGATGTGTGATTATAGTAATATTATACATCCAACCTGGTATGTGATTAGTAATAGTACCTAACCCGATGTGTGATTAGTAATTTTACCTTACCTGGTGTGTGATTATAGTAATATTATACACATAACCTGGTGTGTGATTAGTAATATCAACTAACCCGGTGTGTGATTAGTAATATTACCTAACCTGGAGTGTGATTATAGTAATATTATACACCTAACCTGGTGTGTGATTAGTAATATTACCTAACCTAGTGTGTAATTAGTAACAACACCTAACCTGGTGTGTGATTAGTAATATTACCTAACCCAGTGTGCGATTGATAAAAAAACCTAACCTTGTGTGTAATTAGTAATATCACCTAACCTGGTGTATGATTATAGTAATATTATACACATAACCTGGTGTGTGATTAGTAATATTACCTAACCTAGTCTGTAATTAGTAATAATACCTAACCTGATGCGTGATTAGTAATATTATACACCTAACCCAGTGTGTAATCAGTATTATCATATAACGCAGTGTGTACTTAGTAATATCACCTAACCTGGTGTGTGATTATAGTAATGTTATACACCTAATTTGGTGTGTGATTAGTAATTTTACCTAACCCAGTGTGTGATTATAGTAATATTATACATCTAAACTGGTCTGTGATTAGTTATATTACCTCAGCCAGTGTGTGATTATAGTAATATTATACACCTAACCTGGTGTGTGATTAGTAATATTACCTAACCCAGTGTGTGATTATAGTAATATTATACTCTTAACCTTGTGTGTGATTAGTAATATCACCTAACTCGGTGTTTGATTATAGTAATATTATACTCCTAAACTGGTCTGTGATTAGTAATATTACCTAACCCAGTGTGTAATTAGTAATATCACCTATCCCGATGTGTGATTATAATAATATTATACACCTTACCTGGTGTGTGATTAGTAATATTACCTAACTTGGTGTGTGATTATAGTAATATTATACACATAACCTGATGTTTGATTAGTAATATTACCTAACCTAGTGTTTAATTAGTAATAATACCTAACCTGGTGCGTGGTTAGTAATATTATACACTTAACCCAGTGTGTAATTAGTAATATCACCTAACCCACTGTGTAATTAGTAATATCACCTAGCCTGGTGTGTGATTATAATAGTAATATTATACACATAACCTGGCCTGTGATTAGTAATATTACCTAACCTTGTGTGTAATTAGTAATATCACCTAACCTGGTGTATGATTATAGTAATGCTATACACATAACCTGGTGTGTGATTTGTAATTTTACCTAACCCAGTGTGTGATTATAGTAATATTATACACCTAAACTGGTCTGTGATTAGTAATATTACCTAACCTGGTGTGTGATAAGTAATATTACTGTTGACCAATTCTAACCCGGATCTTCGCGGGTCCTTATCATCTGTTAGAGTTGAACATTAGAAGTTTGACATAGTGATGCACAGTTAGATTTTAAGAGACCTCACGGCTTTCTCCAGGATACCGCACTTCTCAATAATAAAGAATAAGTAAGTGAGTATAGTTTTACACCGCTTTTAGCGAAAACATCACGGCGGGGTACACGAGAAATGCGCTTCACACATTATAATAATGTGGGGAATCGAACCCGGGCCTTCGGCTCGACGAGCAATCGTTTAACCACTAGGCTACCCTACCACCCCCAATAATAAAGAAACATTTTTCCCAGGGTATACTGTCGTGATGATGTCCAGGCTTGATGTCAGTTTCAAATTAATGACATTCATATCAAATTTATATCATATCATAAATGAATATGAAATATTGATTCACAGTGTCGTGTTGTTTCAGATTATGTGCTTGCTCAATTCTATGCGTAAATATATAGAGCGACAAAAGAATACTAAAAAGACCAAAAGAAGAATGAAATGAACCTTTTTTAATCGGAATATTCCCAAAACACCAACCTTCGGTGCCTCCATATCACAATTTTTGAGGCCCAATAGAGCAAGTTCTTCCAACGAGGTTCTGAGGGTGTAGCTTTGAGAGTCTTGCTAAAAAGGTAACGTAAATATTTTAAAAAGTGTCTGGATTGTGACTTACGAGTCATACCGTAAGTTTATTTGCTACAGCCCAGGCTAGCTATTCTCGAAACGTTTGTAGCCCTACGAACTTCCTAAGCCCATTCTTAACACATTGGCTACGGCCAAAGTTAATAATTCTTAGGGCTACGAACGTTTCGAGAATAGGGGCCCTATTCGATTTACTTGTATGAAAACATAAACATTAATCATGTTCAGAACATTTTATTAATTACAGATTACAGGACAATGCGTTCTACGAATCTTGCTTGCATTCTGTCAAAGTCCATTGTTCTGTTTTATAGTGTTCCTATAAAAAGACAAGGATATGATTTAGACATGAGCATATTAAAGTCGTACATATGGAATCCGTGAAGATCCAGGTTAGAATTAGTCGTCAGCAACCCATGCTGGTCGTAAGAGGCGACAAACGGGATGGGGTGGTCAAGTTTGCTGACTCGGTTGGCGCATGCCATCGAATCCCAATTGCGTACATCGATGCTCATGCTGTTGATCACTGGATTGATGGTTCAGACTCGATTATTTACAGACAGTCGCCTTCAAGCTGGAATATTGCTGAGTGCGGAGTTAAACAACAAACAATCATACACATGACCGAACTATTATCTCCAGAGTATCAACGAGCAGATAAAAGAGTAGTTACAAGAGCAGTCTTGGATTACGGATTAGTTGGATTACGACTGCAATAACGTTTTTATCTAGCTCACTCGGTCATATTAACGCTACCCGGACATAACGACCATTATGATCTCACCTGGTGGCGGAGATGGTCCCTGGTTTGTGTCTGGCTCTCCCTAGACACTGCAGTGAAGGAAAAACGCAACTGATTCAAGTAGGTTTAACGTCAACAGCGCCATGGTAGGGTACAATCTAAATTCCATTTACGTGTTAATAGCTTCTTGCCTTCTCTAGGAAATCCTGTTAGAATTTGTCCTCAGCAACCAATGCTTGTGAGAGGCGCCTAATAGAATAAGGTGGCCAGGCTTACTGACTTGGCGGATACTTGTCTTCATATCCCATTTGTGTACATTGACTCTGTTTACACTCCCCCGTCAGAGAGTAGCAATACTGACGGACACAACGTTAATCAACAAACAAGCGAAATACCTTCTCGTTTTTTCGAAAAGCAGAACTATATTTGACTATACCTTTGCTCTTTTTGATAAATGTTTGAATGTGCGAACAGCAGATGGTGAATAACAGCTTCTAAGTTATATTTTCACATACCAGGGTGGCTTGAACTCCAACCTCGGGCATTCTTTAGGGGTGGACGTAGTGTAGTTCAACGTTCCTTCCTCTTCACAGGTCGTGTGGTTGAAAATGTCAAGAACCCTGGAGGAGAAAAAAGGGGGGTGTTGTCATGGTTATCACTTTAGAGGTGATGACTCTCTGGATGGTTCAGAGCAGTAGATGTAGTTCTAATTAACAATGTCAAGTGAGGGAAAGGTGAGACGGTACTGAAATGCTCAAAGAAGTAAGTATAGAATTTTTTTTTGCTTTCGTTTTTTAATGTAAGACCCTGATCTAAGTGCCGCACAAACTACAATACTTGAGTACGATTTGTTAAAATCATGCAAGTTTACATTGATGGTGGGGTTGAGCCCACCTGTGACCGGGTGTAAAAACCTTGGAGTCAACTTTGTGTGCAGACTCTTTCAGTGTTGTCACAACCCCTAGTGTACAGTACACAACCCTGTGCACTTAAAACAACCCACGCATCCGTTGGTATATGACCAGATGGTGGCCACACGAATACGTGCAAACACCTAGTTGCGGGTACAGCAACGTGCGGTGAACTTGGACAAAGTGCTGTGACTATGTGTCCCAGTCCACCCAGCTGTGAATGGGTACCTCGTTAGGATGAGAAAGCCACAAAAACTCGATGCGCCTAATGGCTGCAATAGTTGTATACTCCCCGGGGAGTTGAGATTGATAATACGATGTGCCGTTGAGATTGACATCCATTGATCGAGGGATAAAATACCAGCGCCTTGAGCATGCACTAGTTGCCTGGATATGTATATAAATATCCGATAATAAAAAAATAATAATAATGTTTTAAGGCAAAATCATCTGTAAAATGTGATTTCTCAACTTACGGATTATCAGGATAGGCCACGTATATGAGCCACGAACAGCGGTTGATCTTGACGTCACAGCACGGTTCGTCCACATTACAGTCCAGCAGTTTGAAACATTCGGTGTCGAGGTTGTATGTCCACAGACCGCCAGCAACATCACAAAACACTATGGTATCTTTTGAAGAAAGAAAATATCAAGATCTGGGCTTAGATTTTTGAAGCTCTCTTAGACCTAAGATAGTCGTAAGTTAATGTTAATGTATGGCACTTACGGCCATCTTAACACTAGGAGAGCTTCGAATATCGAGGTCCTGAAATCTTAGGAACTATAACAGACAATGACAGTACATCTTGGAATCGGTTATCTCAAGGAATCATGATGACAACAGCTTTTTGTTTCTAAACAACATGGTCTATTTTTTCTTCTTTTTTTCTTGTTTTATAAAACGTTTGATAAAGATAATTTCTTTATCATAATAGGTGAATAATCGTAAGTATCGTTAGTTAAATGTTTTAAAGAGTTTATCAGACAACTGAGTAAGATATCAATTACCCAAGTATCAGCTTTTTCATGAACAACTACTCAAAGGTGCCAAAATATGATTTAAGAATGTGAAGCACAACAAATAAGATGACAATGATAATGTCATGGAATTTCAGAGAATGGACTACATATATAACTTCATTGTTAAATACAAAAATGATGCAACATGTGCGTTATGGACAAAACATATGTGTAAAATACATAAACAAATCTCTGATACTAACCCATTATAGACAGTGACTTCCCTGACACACGAAATATTGACTATAGTTTCGCCCCATGAGTTTCGCCACCAACGCGATAAATGACAAATATTTTGAAAACGTCAAATATTGTTAACTGACGCATAAAATTCAAGGTGCTTACCATTATCTACAAGTGCCTGAAGACCAGCACTGCTCCATCTTACTTGTCATCTCTTCTAAACAACCATAGACCAACAAGACCTCTTAGATCACAAGATAAAGATCTGCTTATCACAAGACCATCCAGGACCAAATACGGGGACCGCTGCTTTGAATGTGCAGCTCCCATGCTATGGAACAACCTCCCTATGTCGCTAAAATCCGCCCCAAGTCTACAAACTTTTCGAAAACATTTAAAGACACATCTATTTGAAATGAAATAGACTGAACTGCACAAGCGCCTGTGAGCAGCCTAGCTGGAACTCGGCGCTATAGAAGAAGATTATTATTATTATTATTATTATTATTAAATACAGAATATTGTTAAACAAATTAAACAAGTTTCGGAATATAATTCATATACACACCATTGTCAATGATATCAAAAGACTTAATGTTCATCGGGAACTTCACTTTGGTCTCCAGATCGCCACCTCGTCTGTTGACGCACAGGATTTCGTTGCAATCGCTGAAATACACTCGCCTAAAGGGAAAGAGAAGGTAATTAATTACAGTGAACACTAATTACTGTTATTTGCTCGACAATTTTACACCAAATATCAACTAGGATTGCTTTTAATGTCCACCCGCAATGTGTTTCGTGTACTGTATGTCTGCAGGTAACACCAGTTGTTTACACACCTTAGCTTGCTACAGCCCCACTTAATTACTTGGTTACACTGAATAACCTGACAAACTATATGCTGTCTAACATGTATGGGTGCTACTGACTTTGCCTGTCACACTGAAGGTCTGGGTCTGATTTCCTAGTGGGGTCAGTTGTTGAAGCAGATGTTGGTGTCAAATGGCTTGATTTTGCTGTAATATTGCTAAAAGCGGAATAGAACCACACTCACTCACTCACTCAATTCAGTGGGAATCAGAATGAATTCACGTCACGTATTTACTGGTCACACAGTTTAACAGACTCTTTAGAGATCAAGATCAACTAACTTCACAAACAGAGACAGGTATTATGATTAAATAATCGTCGCTACCATCTGTTTATTGTTAATTATAAGAGGATGTGGTGGTTTTACAGACCAATCAGCACTAAAGTCTGACGTGCTGATAATATACATACAAGCTGGAAAAGTGAAATAAACCCATTTGACTTAAAAGTAGAGTTGGTACAAACTGACATGAAAAAAACCCCAAACAACAGAAATTCATAAAAACCTAATTGTGAGTAATTAATGATGGAACTTGTGCGTTATGGAAAAATATACGTAAAATATATAGACAAAACTTTGATACTAACCCATTATAAACTCGCACTTTCCCGGCACATGAGATATTGACTATAATTTCGCCATGACGTCTATTAAAGCAATAAATGACATTGTTTCCCTCAGAGTCTTCCATGGCGATGAAAACCCTAGGAGCACAAAATCCAAGGCCAGTCGCTTCACCATCAAGGGGGACTAGAGAGAACCAAAACAGAATAATATAGAATAACGACTTCATGCCAATAGGAAATAATTGCATGTAAGTTCACAAAACAACGATGTGGAATATTATATTAAATTTGCATGCACAGCGACATGTTGCCATTGCTTTGCACATTGCAATGTAAATGTACTGCTGTACAATGCTACACACACGCGCACGCAAGCACACATACATTAAACATTGAAGTTTCAAGACTTACATATCAAGTGGACATTTTAGGTACTTAAGAGTTTAATATGGAAATTCTCATTTCAGAAGGCTATCAAGATATTTTCTTAAGATTATCCTTTCATCATAAATAAGCTGTTTGTTGTTACATAGATTTGGTTTGATGAGAAAAATATATAACTGCGAATTATATTCCCAGTTTAACACCGACGTTTTCATAGTATACATGTACTCCACTACAAGCTTAATAGATGCCTGTATTGTTGTTTAAACTGTCATATGTATGAAGATTGGCGTAGACAAGAAGCAGGTATTAAAGGTGTCATAACTTACTGACAAGATCTCTTTGACGGCCCGCAGGCAAACGCAACCGATGCAAAATGAGAGGGTTGTTGGTGGTGTAGAGGATGACGTAAACAGAGGTATCAGCTCCAGTAACTGTAAGAGCGCTGACATTGCCATTCGTTACTATACTTGGCAGGATCGTTCCGACCGGGTCAACCACAGCAATGTCAGAGGAGTTGCATCCAGCCACCAGCGCAGCACATCCCTCGACTGTGTTACAAAGAAGCATATATTGAGAATTTGTTCTTCAGACTGTTTTACCCAATGCCATTCTACATTGATATTACCTAAACACTTGTCACACAAGTTATATAGAATGTGAACAGGGTCCGACATACAAGCACTAAGTACGATCATTCAAGTATCAACATAATGTTTGATGAAAGCCTTTTAGGACTGAATTTGCAAAACAAGTAGCGTTTGTATTTGGTTCATATTGTTCTGAGTTATTTTTGTGCTCGAATATTCCTAAAACCTACAGATCAAATCATAGATCTCCTGTACCAATCTCGTCTGTTTTAGTAAACAGCTAATCAAGTCAGACCAACCGTTTCTTATATTACTGGACAATACTTACGTGCCGGACAATCATCTGGTTGGTCTTCTATCAGATCATTGAGGTCGCTGATCAGGTCACATAAGGTGCTGTTGATGTCGAGTACACTTGTTTCAAAGCAACCCGGATCCCCAGGAGCTAAAACGTAGACATTGTTGTTATTATTAAAGGTCACATGCAACCAAAAAATCAAACATAATTAAAACACAATTATCACTTATTCATGACATATAATATACATTGCTGGTTATGAAAAAACATATAAACTAAATTATAAGCGTACAATCGCAAATCAAAAGTGCAATATTGTGTACTGTCTGTGTAATTACATAATGTGACAGAGACCGAACTCGGGCCATAAATCAATGCGTTTTGTTTATGGTGTATAGCCTGATAGGTGTTAAATTCAAATTGCATGTGGCCAGTGATTGAAATTGTGTATTGAATATTGTCCAAGCTCCACGAACCTATTTCACTGCGCATTTGCTAGGAGCGCAGCCCAGCTGTTGAAACCACTTCATTTCCCCCAAGCGCTGGGGGAAAGTTAGTGAACCGTTTGAACTACGATTTCGCGCGGTTTTTTTCATCGCGTTATTTTTCAACTTTATAAGTTAAATTTGCATTTTTGATGATTTGTTTCGGTAAGTCCATACCGAAAGGTATCAGAATCTGCAAAGTTGTGTTTTACGTTGAATGTGACCTTTAATGTAATTTCATTGCTTTTGCTGCATGGCAGGATGGGTGTCACCCATTATGTTCTGGGGAGGTAGGGGGCATAAGTTTTGTACACATGTACTTGGTGGGAGTGGGGTTGTTAGCAATTTTGTATTTATGAATATATTAAAATAAAAGATATGGGAGGGGGACGGGGGGGGGGGGAGATATCTTGTACATGACATGCAGGGGTGTCAATTACTTTGTACATATTATTTGGTGGTTTTTTTTCTTTCTATTTTACCTCATTTGAATTAAACTTCGACAGATCTCGAATTTGCGGAGTGATATGAACAGATTATATACTAGCGATTGAATTGAAAATGCGTCATTGAGGATTGCAGATTTGTATATGATGTGTAGTGGCATTACCAATCATATCACTTGTTATTTTCACTTTTGTCGATCCGTTATTACGTTTGATAAACTAGAGTTCAACTGCCTTCTTGCATAATACTTAAAAACCCACTGGCGATGTGGAGCATATGAAAAAGTTAGAAAAGGGAGATTCGGTGATGCACTACAGGACAGCAGACCAACTTACCCTTGCAATGAATTTAGCACACATCTGTGATTTTCGTGTCCAGTGCTATGACCCTAATAGTCTTATGCCTTGTTTGCATGCACTGATTTGTCCCTGGGGCACAAATGTCATCATGGGGTACACCTTCAGAGGTGGAGCAAATTCGGATACCCCTGAGGCAAATACTGCCCATGGGGCCAAATGGTTCATGTAAACGCAATTTTGACATTTTTAACACCTATTTTGGGGGGGGATTTATGTCACCTCGATAAATCGTAATATGTTCATTTTCTCAGGTTTCTTTTCATAGAAGTAGTTCTAGTTAAAACAACATGTAACCCAAAAAGAAGTAATGCTATATATTTGTTGCATAACCATTCAATTTAGAAGAATTGATGGTTGTTATGTACATGAATATTCACTTATGTTTAATTCAATAAAGATCAGATGGAGTCCAGTATGTATTTGGTATTGAAATCAAGTTTTTTATGTTCCTGACAATGTTTTTAAGATTTCTGTTTGTATCATCGCTGCTTCTCTTCTTGACACAGTTGTTGCTTAGTTCCCTTCTGCAGTAAATTCCAGAGTAAGTTCCTCCCGAAGGGTAGCTCCGTTGACATTGTTCTGTGCCAGTTGCTCCATTTGGAGTCCAACACCGGGATCATCTTTGTCAACATTGAACAACTCAATGAAATGCGACATTTGCATTTTCGCAGCTATTGTGCAGTGCCACTGCAGCTGCCACATCTATTCTTTTCAGAAATCGTCTCCAATAACCTTTGAAATGCCCAAAAGAACTTTTGATATGGCATACGAGCCTATAGTTGAAGTAGGTCTGAGGAGGGGTGAGTCCTCCTGTGTTTCTGTAAGGTTTTAACAACCAGGAACACATAGGCTGGGTCCTCTATCAAATCTACTGGTATGTCAACATCATGGTTTTTATCATCTACAGTTTGAATCCATTCTGATGTTGGTGAAAGGAGACGCTCGTGAACAACTGCAGCCTTTAGATCCCAGTTCACGAACCCTCTGGCATCATGGATGCGCCCTGGCCATCCAATACAGACATCCGTGAGCCTGTAGCGGCCATCACATACAGACTGCATTATGGTCAAGTACCAGCCTTTGCGATTGACGTAATCTCCATGACATTACTTTGGACAAAATGTGTGTGTGTGTGTGTGTGTGTGTGTGTGTGTGTGTGTGTGCGTGCGTGCGTGCGTGCGTGCGTGCGTGTGTGTGTGTTTGTGTGCGCGCAGATTAGAAAGTTTTATTTGTTCTTGAAGCCTGTGACGACCTGCTTGAGGTCATCACCTTCTGGAAATTTCACAACGTCAGGAACATCTCTTGGCATATGCAGGCATAAGCCTCATGGATGACCAGAGACACTGTAGGTTTATGAAGAGATTCCCCACGGTACGATACTCTACAGAAGTGGCCAGGTAATACAAGGTGACAGCTATTCTGTGCTCTGTTGTCAAAGCTTGACAATGCATCTCAATGTGGGGTTGAAGTTTCTCACAAATATCTTGGAAGATAACTCTTGGTATTCTGAAGTTCTCTTTCCATTGTGCAAATACTTTTAGGTTACATTTCACCAGTTTCTACTTCTTGGTCTTTCCCATATGGATCATTTTCTGAGAAAAGACGATAACAGCAGTTTGACAGAGTCTGTATTGCTGTTGGGATCGAAATTGATATGTGTACACTTCCATGGCTCAATATGAACTGTGATTCATGATTTGTTGTTATTACTTTTATCATTATATTTCCCAGCTATTAATGATAATGTAAACGCACTTCACATTTGCCCTTTGCCACCCTGAGAGTAAATATACTCCCGGGGGTATAATACCCACAGGGACAAATCGGTGCATGTAAACAAAGTTTTAGTGACTCTGAGGGTGTTGTGATTCATAGATGAGATATTCGAGCAATTGAAAGGTCAAAAAGTCACACGTGCCCAACGACTTATGCGTTGAAAAGAAACTGGGATTATTTTTTTCATTTCTTCTTACATTTTCAACCCCACATTTGCCTGATCGCGTCAGTATGTAATATCAGTCCTATTGCGTGTGTCTGCACATAACACCAGCGACTGGATGTTATAACTGCCAGAAATTTGGCCATTTATCAACTCTGTGTTGAAAATTGTCCAGAACGTATATCCAAATGTTGTAATTGCGGAGGTAACCACAACGCTGCCTAGTAGGTTAGTGTGAACTACAAAGAGAAAGTAAATGCAAAAGGTACGAGTAGAGAGATCAAATCTCCCGTATGGTTAAGTCCAACTCTATCTTATGCGGCTATTGCTGAGGCTTACAACTAAAACAACAGTTAACCCCGCCATGTTCTGTTGCCTCTAGATCTGGGTCTAACCCTATCTGTGTTTGTAAATGTCAGTCACAGGTTTCCGATTCAAACCAGGGTATATCAAACCCTCCTATATGTTTTGGGGAAGTAATAAGACGGATTACAAAGGTCAAATTGTTGAACACTATGATTAGGCTGAAGAAGACCACGCCCTTATAAGTGATGGAAAAATGACTTGCATTGATCTTGGCAAATGGCTTTTCTCCTTTAGATCTATTAACAATACCATCAATATCTAGTAAATGTAACTGGAATGTTTTACAGAAAGATGCGTTAGGTAGTGACCATTTTCCCGTATTTACTGAAATTCAGGTCCGACCACTTCGTGTTTCTTGTGATAATATCCCTCGGTGAAAATTGAAGAAGGCAAATTAAGCGCCTTTTTCTTTTCTGTATTCTGAACATACCATAATAAAATGTAATATCTAAACTTTCTGCCCTAAGGTTAACGTTATTCAGATTTCACACATGTATATTACAGGGAATGTGTGAAACCAGGGATTTCACGTAATTCCTAAAACAGTCAGTGAAATCGTGAAATCACTGATACCCCCTAGGGATTTCATGTATTCCCTAAAATTTAGAACTGAGGGATGAAATGAGACTCAACACTAACGTTTTAAGCTACACACATTAATTTCACACATTCACTGATATCCTAGCAGGGAATGTGTGTAATGGAACACCATGAAGATCAGTAATTTCATGAAATCCCTTGAAATTTTTGGGAATACATGAAATCCCAGGGGATCACAGTGATTTCGCGAAATCACTGACTCTTTTAGGGATTACGTGAAATCCCTGGTTTCACACATTCCCCGTAACATATATAAACAGGTGTAACCAAAGAATATCATCATGATCGTTCTGCTGGGTCTTGTTAGATACCCGATTTCTCTACTAATAAGGTGTACAGAATCCTGATTATTTTGCAGTTCAACTTTTGTCCATTTTGCAAGCCCTGCGATGGTAGATGCACATGGCCATGAAGCAGTTATTTTTACAGATACCATGGCAACATTTTAGCTGTAGAAGCTGGTGCAAATAGATCCAGAAATGGAATTGTTTATAAGATATAACAATGTCCTGAAGTTGATGTAAGTGACTTTCGAGCCAATCAGATTTTGAAACTGTTTTATCGAAATCTGTTTCAAGGAGATGGCAACAGTCGTGGGGTGTTGGTACTACGGGCCGAGATATGTACAAACTTAGACCATGTTCATAATCTGGATCCGGTTGTATCGATCATTACTTCATTAACTAATGTCAACATTAAACCCTTATGATACATTAAATCCTTAATTCATCATTAGTTAATGGCATCATTTAAAATGGTTGTATCAAACACTTATTAGCGTATCATTATCTAATGACGTCCTAATGTAAATATTTTCATTAAAATCGGGGATTTCCCTATATATTTCCCACAATTCCGCGACGTAAGCGTTACTCTCGGTCGTCTGTCAAAATGGCATCTTTACGGCTAAACCTCGGACTAGACTCCACCTCCTACACTGAGGGTTACATG